GTTTCATGAAATTTATTATCCTATAATGATTTTTTTTCATACAAATTTCATAATTATTTTGACGTTTATGAAGCACATATTTCAGCGATTTTTCTGAAAACATTCTAATAATAAGGCATGGAAAAAATAAAATATCTAGGCGTCTGCTCTACCAAAAGTCCAGTCCAGCATCCAAACCGTAACGTCTTAATTTGTGTACATTAAAACTTTACGAGTTCAAGTTTGTTCACAGACTAGACAACCCCGATGCACCCTGCATATGACAAAACTAACTTGGCCGCGGCCCAGTCTTCTTCAACAAATTCTTCATTTTAATACCTTTGTAAAGGTAATATTCTGACAAATACTGTTGGACGGGTTAGTTTAAGCATTGCTAATTCTAATTAGAAATTAGTCTATGGAAAAATCGTGTCGAATGGATCCATAAATCCATCAAAGCATGCGTCACTTTTTTCCGAGATCAAATCACGCAAGAATTACAAAGCTGTTGTGGGTACGAGTTTGTTTAGTCAAATTTGATTTACAATATGGAGGTTGAATACTAACTGGCGAATTATGACCTCGCGGGTAGTTTGTCAAGTCGGATGGTGTCTCGCGGTCGTGTGAATCTTATTAAATTTTACTTTTTTAATGGCGTTTTCGTACATCACTTTCTGCACACTTTGAGACAACAAAAGAGCATAACCTTCTAAAAAGTAATTTAGTTTAAGTGTCGGTTTTTATGTGTTTTGAAACATTTTTCAATACGTCGCAATGTTGTACAATAAAGATGCAATGGCAAGATTAAAGTTCACACCAATCAAATTTAGTCACAGTTCATTTCCAACGCCAGAAGAGATGTACTTCAATTTGGCTATAATACAACAAGTAAATAAATAATGATGATACAACTAAAGTGTTACCTGTTCAAGTCAATAATACGTATTCGTTACCCAACCAGTAATAGATACGCAAATATCCTGAACCCAATATACAGTAAATGTGTATATCTGCCATTAAACTTTCTCTCTCGTTTGATCTCAAAGGCAAATATTTTTATTTAGTCACAGGAGATTTTATTTATGTAGATCACGATCGAGAATATTAAATAAGTAATCTTTCTAAAAAGGGATTTAGGGCGAAAGTTTTAATTTTGTTTTCATTTCGTTCGAGTATTTTGGTGGGTCTTGTATGTACACAAAATATGTACATAAATAGGCGCAATGCAAAAAAAGATTTTATGTACAAGGAGAATGACATGTCAACTAAATATTCCTGTTACTTCTCGGGGCAGATGTTTGGCCAAATTTTAGATAACAATGAATCGACTAATTTGAGATGATTGTAGTACATATAAATTTGCAACCTTCCGTTTGGGGAGGATTTGCACATTAAAAAAATATGCAGTGTAGCCTTATTTAGTCCGAGTCAGGTTGTTATTAATACCTAATTGAGGTGGGTAACATTTTTTTGTATTATTCGACAAATTTTGCCCATCTTCAAAGTTTACTCTTAATTCAGCATATTTTAAGTGTGTGCAAAATTTCAAGTTGATCCGATAAGTTTTACGAGCGTACTCGATACACAGACAGCCAACCTGACTCAGGCTAAAAATGAGACTTATTATTAACTACTTTTCAATATCAGTTGGCAAAGGTGCAATGAAAATGCGGTGGTGATGGTAATGATTTTGTAGAAAGGAAGTCAAGAGTAATCCGCAATTCCTGTTAATTTCGACATGTCACATCAACCAACAAAATGCGAATATGTCTGCAACCTCATCTCATCGCGGGCATACATACATCGTCGTTCTGCTTATTACTTTTTTACTAAAGTACGTAGTAGCAGCGAGATGAAGATGCTCGCCACTAATTGCTTTTGCCGCATTCATTGTTGAGATAAACATTTTTGGCGTAATTTTCCTGTCAAAGTCTCAGCCCTTATCTTTTATGATCTTTGGTTTGGTTGCATCAATCTTTCAAACGCTTACAGACGAACTTGCTACAAGTTGGATGAGCTTTCCAACCGCACTTTAGGAGCAAAACTGAGGGAGCTGCTGCTGACGTTGACGTTTTTACTTTGTTTTGTTGATATTATTGTTTGGGTTGGACTGTTGCTGAACTTGACGGCACATTCATTATGCTGTTATAAAACCTTCATTTTCCATTAATTTTAAAATCTCTGAACAGATTTAGAATTGTAAACTAGGCTAATTTGATGGCGATAAATCAGAGTTTCATTCAACAGGAAGTTACTTTTAGGTGTAACCTTGATTTTGCAAAAATGAATGGGACTAAATATACAGATGTTTTTACGAAATGGTCACGTTATACATCGGTTTATTTTCAATACAAGCTGTATATAAACCCTTTTAAATTTATTATTAAATTTGGGCTTATTTTGTAGTGTTTCTTGCGGGTTTGCTACATTTCTTGCAATGAATTGTAATGGAAAGCAAGAAACGCAAGAAATGGGAGGTGCAAGAAACTGGGAGAAAGTGCAAGAAATATGCGTCATCCAGCCACGTGTCGTACGAAGAATGACGTAGTTTTTTGGGGGCCTTACATTTCTTAGAAGTCAAAACATCTGCAAAAAAACACCTTCTTGCCGTTATTTCTTGCACGTGGTTACTTGCTCCCGAAACACTGATTTGGTCATCGAATATCGAATGTATGCACCTTTTTAACTAAAAAATAGAAGTAAAAACCCCTGCATTTGGTGATAGATTATACAAAATCCTTTGTCGCCAGACTTGTCAAGCTTGTTCAAATAATTTGCCAACTAAACAAGCAGTCAAATGCATTTAACTGTGGTATGGATGGATCAAATGAATTTGGATTTTACAGCATTGCATCATTTCACTGCTGGTAATCGTTAACACAATTTTGTAAATAATCGTCAGCTAATTTGACAATTAAATTCTAATTGCGCATGCTATCACTTTGCACAACTTGTCACTCCATTCCATTCCATGCCATGCTTCATGTCAAACAGATTATGATGGCTTCATCTTTGACGACCTGTTGTTTGTGGGGTGTCTCATCATCTTGCCAAATCATCGTCACTACTGACTGTCGCCTGTCTCTGTGATTTCACAGTTTTACACAAAATCATTGAATGAATTGTATTGTTCTCTGTGTTTGCTTTGGTTTAAAAATTACGCAAGAGTATTTTTACTTGAAGGGAACAATCACAAGGCAGGGGAGAGAGATAATGGTCGTCGTTTTTTAAGCATTTAAGGCAAATAAGAGGAAAAGCAAATGTTTATGTTTGTAGATTTTAATTTTAAAATCACGACGATATGTGCAAATATACAGGGGTGGGCAAAATACTTCAAAATAATTTAAAATGTAGAGTATTTTGAGCTCTGTTCTTCTCAGGGTTTGGATTTTCAGGGGTGTTACACCTACAAAAAGATTTACACTCACAAAAAGACGAGAATCTGCATCGAGAATACAGCAGTCACACAAAAATATAGGGTTTGAGAAGAAATTTACCTTTTATCGCTGTCAAAATACGATTTTAAAAAATTTAGAATATTTCGACAGCAATAAAAAGATTGATTTCTTAAAAAATCCTTTGTAAGCCTGTTGCTTTCTCCATGCAAATTATCTACTTTTTGTGGGTGTAACCGCCCCAGAAATCTAAACCCTGGGAAGGACGGACTCCAAATACTCCATTTTAACGCAGTATTTTGCCCACCTCTGCAAATATGAACGACAAAAGTATAATTTGGATGAAATGGAAATCATGCAACGTAATACGTTTGAAAGTTATCGTGATTAAATACATAATAGTTATTGCTGAGTCAATTTACAAATATAACACTGCACCATAATTTGAAGATTTAAAAAACTGTAATATGGAATCCTAGGTTGAAATTGGTCGTGGTAATCCTTTTGAATGTGGTGGTACTGAATTCCGTAAAATTCAAACCACTTCCGATTTACCAGATTTGATTAGATGACAGGTTCTTGAGCTTTGGGTGGTGTTTGAAAGTATTCCATCGCGCATCCCATTTTCTGTATCACAATGAATGAGAGGTGTTGACTTCTCCCGTTGTACTTTTGCATTGTAATGTCTAAATTTGAGCCGTGATGACAATGCGTTTTTCTTTACGCTGGCTTGCTTGGCTGTATTTTCTGATTGTTAAGTATTTCCACCGTGTCCTTTACGTAATGTGGTGTGCTGCTGCTGAGGATAGACGGTTTTGTCGGCTTAAGTATAAGATCATAGAGCTGCGAATAGTTAGTTGGTTGGGTTCAATTGAGTTACAACATTTGAGTTTAATCCTGTACAAAATTTTGTCAAATAATGAGAATTGGTTTTGGTTTCTATTACACTTTGTGGGATGCAAAATTAACAATATGGAACGAATTGTTCACAGCTTATGGCTTGAAAAAAGTTTTTGATGGTCATTATTTAGCAACAATTTGTATGTATATGTACGTAGTAAGTGCATCTTCAAAGTTCTTAATAGCGGTAATGAAGATAATGACGAAGATATTTAATCCGTATTCTTTTTTTGGTTAAGTGATGATAAGAGAGAAAGAAATATATGTAGATTTGGTAAATTATGCAATTGAACAATGGAGGTCTCCCACTAAAGTATGCTAGATTTTGAGCAAACTAGTGTCAATTGATAACAAATTTAAATATGCGAAATCTTCAAAATAAAATATCTGACAATTCGCAGGTTTGGCGGAGATATTTGCATCCGAAGAGGAGAAAACTCTCAGTAAATTTGGACAGTACATAGTTTGTCAAGTTTAGGGCGCATTTTTTCCTCTTCGGATGCAAATATCTCCCCCAAACCTGCGCAAATCGTGTCTGTTGCAAATTTCATATTGATTAAATTTGTGACAGATTGGGACTATTCGGTCAAAATCTCTGAGCACACGTTGAGAGACCTCCATTGTTACCAGCTGCATCTTAATTACATTTCTAAAACCGATATACATATGCATATAAACGGGTAATATGTACGCATTTGACTTAACACAATACTATCTTAATTACAGAATGGGTCCACCATAAGAAGAAATTCAGTCGGAATGACTACTCTTCTTCATCCCCAGAAATGGACAAGTATCGCAAGATAATCGCGAGAGACAGCAGTGTTTCCGCTACGAATATTCACAAGAGAATAATGTCTTGGTCTTTGAGACGACCAACAATGAGAAGCCACATCACAACCACCACCACCAATACGACCACTGACCAGTATGATGATTACTCCAATTATTGTAGAAATGCAGTGCCATGCCGTCCACCAGGAGAGGAAAGTGTGTCCAATCGAGATTGTTTAATGGGTCAACAAAGCCCAACCTCAACCTCGTCGTCAATTAGAGGGGAAAGATTGCGACATGCAAAATCAGACTCAGATGCCATACAAATCCCACGTCAAACCAATTTAAGTTCGCACCAGCGCAAATATAACAGAACAATAATACAAAAGTTGAGGTTGAGTCGTCCAACTGTTTTTTTACCCCCATTGTTACTCTTTATTATAGCTCAAATTACTCTAGTGAATGCAAATATTCTTCCGCAATTCTTGTTGAGTGATGGACAAAGTGAAATTGTGTTGAGACTTAAGGAAGGCCCTGCGTCGCCGGTGGGTAGTCTGATTTACACCTTGAAAGGGATCGACCGTGACGGGGATCCTTTGACGTTCGGGCTCAAGGGGCAAATTGCGAATGAGATTTTAAGGATTGAAAATAGAGGTGGGTGGTCATAGCCTATGAATCATAGGTCAAATTTGTAAATGTATTTGTTTGTATGTGATGTAACAAACCCGTTTAATGAGACGTGCCATTTTTACCTGGGAAAAAAGATCGAAGGCTTGTACATTTCTTCTGTATTTTCTGACAAATACTCATTTAGAAGAGAAGATGCAAAAATTTACATATGCTTGTCTCACATTACAAACTGTTTGGATTTACCAAAATATGTATGTTTCGTGCAAAATTTTATTTTATTTTATTCATTTCTTATACATATCAGTCTCATTTAGCCAGCAACATTTTGTAATCTTTGAAATATAATGAGGGTGTATTTTAATAACCATTACAAAATTTAGTAGTGGTTCCGTAAATAATTATGATGATAATGATGTATGTCATATCCAGGTATTATTAAATAGTTAATGCCAATAGTATGTATGTTCATATGTAAATTCATGGTTTACAATAATATATATCCAATTATAATGAATATTATAACTTTTACTTGTAATCAAATAGGGCGAGACACGGCAAACCTCTATCTGAAGAAGGAGTTGGATCGGGAGGTAAGTTGAGACTCGACGATACTCGGTTTGGACTATGGGAAAATGAGACATGCTCTTTTAACTCTGTATTCATGATCAATTTCCTTACTCGGCGATCACGATGAGATAGAAAACGATCAATCCAACATACGATTTCTAAACCAATCATCATTACTCGATTAAGATTAAAATAAGTAGACAATCAATACGTAAATAAGGATTTACTTAATTAAAATTATGTACTTATTTTAAATTCATGCATCTGAAAATTGAATCGATGGATTGGAAAACTTTGACCGATTCTAGAAGATCGAGTTAACTGATTTGGTAATAGCTGATTTTTCCTACCTGATTGCATACCATTGATGAGAGCATAATAGAATCTCTGGGAGTTAGCATTGTTACACGTTTCTCTCGGGAAAAAGGAAGAAAATGGGAATATTTTCAACTGAATAGGAAATTTGTTCTCGTCATTTCGCCTCATTTCGATTGATCAAAGTTGTTATAAATAAGCTGATTTAAGTTTTCACAAAAGAAGACGCTTAAAATTCCCAAGCCCCATGTCCTGGGAATTTTGCATCATTCAACTGAAACTATAATGTATTGCATTTCCTATTGTGTTTCAAATTCATCGGTTTAGATTCCAAGTAATGATTTAGTTGTGCAATTTTTCTTTGGGGAGGTCTACTTATTTATTGTGATCAAATTTATGCAATCCTGTCGTAGCGAGAGTTTCATTACTATTTATTGCCGGATAATAGTCGTAAAATTAAGAAAAATGGGTGATGTGCAGTGTAGCAAGCACAAAACTCGAAAGTTATGATAAGCAGTGTTTCGTTTCTTGCGGGTTAGCTACATTTTTTTTGTACAGCGAAACAAGAAATGCAAGAAATATGAGGTGCACGAAACTGCAAGAAAGCGCAAGAAATAAGCACCAGCCAGCCACGCGCCGTATGAACTTTGCGCGGCGGAGCGTAGTTTCTCGCGCCTTGGATTTCTTGCAGGTCAAAATACCTGCAAAAAACCACTTTCTTGTAGATATTTCTTGCACGTGGTTACTTGCAACCGACGAAACACTGACGATAAGCTACACATGTACGCACCGATTCCTTGGCAAAACTGAAATTATACGAGATTCCTTCATACTTCCGTATGCAATATTTGCTCCTGTGACAAAGAAAACACCCATCATTCACTCCCACCCTGATCCTCCCTGTCATTACGAGTAACCTTCTAAACAATAAGAGCAGGTCAGCTACATTCATCTGCCCAGTCAGTTGTCAGTATAAACTGACTTTTGTAGTGCTTCATAATCCTTTTTTATTTTCCGTATGAAGGCACACAAATTACATTTTGAGAGACTGCTCTGCTCTTCCTTGAGACACATCCCTCAACAATGTCATTGTCTTTCGAGTTTAATTTCATATTTTGAAATGTAATTAGAAACCACAGCCATGTCATTCACGTCGTCTTGAATTAGTGACAACATAAACGGGATCAAGATCAAATTGCATGCAAAGTTGGACTCTACAACTTGTCTCATGAGCAGTATCTTCAGCTATGTACACACACATGTACTTGTCCAATGTTATTATTGTAAATTGCACATTTTAAGGAATGTCACGATAGTATGGACAACTAAATGTCAATGCTGTATTTATGGCTAAATTCGACAAAATTTTTGTTGACACGCTATCATTTAGTCAACATGACGCAAATCCTAAGAATGGAGATCTCCCAGCGTATGCGCTCCCATTTTGAGCAAACTAGTGTCAAATCGATCACAAATTTTAGCAATTTGCAAAATACACTATCTGCCAATTTGATCAAAAAAAGAGAGCATACGCTGGAAACTCGCATTATTTATTAGCGATGGTAAAAGAGTTAGTGTCTTCATTTTTCCAATAAATGTCACGAATACTGAATTTTCCACGCACTTCTTATTCCCAAATTACAAATGTTTACACATAATTTCGAACTTCATAGGTTGAGGACGAATACATGATCATTTTAACACTTAATGACGGAAAATTGGCGGAACCAGTACAACAATCGTTGCTGCTGTTGGTGGAAGACACGAATGATGAACGGTACGAAATTATTTGCTACATATTGTCACCACGCTTTTCATAGGTTTTTCGTACTTCTAATTGTAAAATAATCCGAATATTAGCCCCGTATTCAAACCGTATCAAAGCACAGTTAAGGTTACCGAAAATGGAAAAGTTCCCCAAATTATCACCACATTGGAAGCAAATGACCGTGATGAAGGTCCCTACGGACAAGTATGTATAATAAATCAATTGACTAATTATTGAGTACAACTTTTGCGGAAGTGTTTACACTGCTTGAATATTTTCAGGTGATTTACAAGCTTCAATTGGAAGATGGGGATGAAGGTTTCTTTACTCTGAACACTGTGAATGGACAAGCCGTCGTGAAGCTGGTTAAACCGTTGGACTACGAAAGAAAGTTTCTGCACCAGATCAAAGTCTTGGCGATGGACAGGGCGGAAACCGAGGCTCAGGTATGTACATACCTATTAGAAAGCATAATGTTTAATGCAGTACTCGATCTCCAAAATCAGCACATTTTTTAATCATTTCTCAGCTCTGGAATTTTAAAATTCTAGACCACAAATTTGTAGAGCTGGTTGTTGCCAATTTTGTAAAAATATACACTCCAGATTTTGAGAGTTTTTGAAGGAGGAGATCTCAAGTTAAAAAATATCTATATATATTAAACCGACATTTGTAAATCTTGCCTTATTCTTAATGGCGTGCAAATCTATCATTTTTTGTTTAATTTCAGAAAATTCACAAATTTGAGATATTTTTAAATTTTAGTTAAAAAGGATACTAAAAAGAGAGCAAAGATTTGGGCAAAGATTTGCATATTTTTATCATAAATTTAAAAAATCTACATATACTAAACTGGCATTTGTAAATTTTACCGTATTTCTAATGGCGTCTGAATCTACCAAAATTTAAAAATTTCAATAAATTCACAGAACTTGAGAATCCTTCGGAAAACTTGGGACTCATCAAAACTAGCTTAAAAAACTCAAAGCTATTCTATTAATCAACTTACTGACTACACTTTTGTCGCTCAGAATTTGTAAATAATTTCCCAGGGCTGAGAAATGATTAAAAGAGTGCTGATTTTGACTATTTTGGTGATAAGTGATCAAGTCCTATGCTAAATATTTGTATGATTTTAGCAAATAATAGCCTCTCCACAAGCTTAATTATGTATGTATTCCGTCATTTCAGATAAATCAGGCCATAGCATCAATTGTAGTGCAGGTTCAGGATTTAGAGGATACAGGTCCCACATTTATCGCCGTCCCACCCGTCACAAAGATTAGGGAGGACGTTCCTGTCAATTCTTTTGTATTGCAAGGTAGGTGACCTCTGGCCTCTTGGCAATGTAATGGAGAAAGTATTCCTAATTAAATTATGCAACATTTCTAGTTCGCGCAATTGATGGAGATCGTGGGATTAATAACGCCATAAAATACAGCTTGGTTAACGACAATGAAAAAGTTTTTGAAATCGATTCGGATTCTGGAATTGTATATACGAAGGAACCCCTGGATCGAGAAAATGCTCGGGGAGGTTCCTACGTACTTAACATTGTGGTAAGATGATTATTTCTGCAATCAATGCTTTTATCCGTTAGCATTTTATTATGCCGACGTAGTATCATTTTACGCACGTCACAATGGAGGTCTCTAGGCGTATGCTCTCCGATTTCACCAAATTAGTGTCCATCGATCACAAATTTAACTAGTATGAAATTTGCGAGAGGCACGATCTCCCAATGCGCAAATTTGGCAAATATATTTATTTGGATTCGGAGAGGAGAAAACGAGTCCTAAAGTTGACAAATTTGACAGTTTCCAAATTAGGTGCACATTTTCTCCCCTTCGGAATATTTGCAAATATGTATCTCCACTAAATCTGCGCATAGCGAGAGCGTGCCTTTTGCAAATTTCATATTTCTTAAATTTGTGATCGACTGACACTAGTTTGTTCAAAATCTGAGAGCATACTCTGAAACACCTCCATTGCTCGATTATATCAGATTAAAACAAGAATTTCTACGTGGTTGTGTGGTTGTGTTGTAAGATTTTAAATACTTCTTGGGACCTTCATGTGGTCAATATCCCCTTTGATTAAAATCATACGTACAATCTCCGCAAAATAATTAACAGTTAATAAATCTCGAGACCTACAACCTAGTTGTCTGCAAATTCCTGAATCTTGACGCACAATGCGGCTAACCTGTGCCAAGAATAAAACCACAGGCAAAACCAAATGTCAAAGTTTTCTCTCAAATTACAAAATATGAGTTGATCGTGGTCACAAAAGTTGAGAAAAGAATTTCATGCTTTGTATGAATTCGTTATGATACATGTTTGGATGCAAATATTTACTACACAATGTCATAATTCTCAAAGTTTATAATTTATTGGAATGCAGGTTCACATTTCACAATTAGATAATTATTAATAATTTGCTAATAATATTTACTAATTATTATGATACCCTGCCTGAGGTTAATTTTGATATTTGACGATAACCTTTTAGGCCACCGAACAAAGCAAAATCAGTCCAAAGCCGTCCGTGGAGACAACATTGGTTGTTAATTTATTAGACATCGATGACGAAAGGTAAATGATTCAGATTATTTCAAAGGTACAAAGTACCAATTATCTATGTGGTTATAATTATGCCTGAATTATGCAATAGACCACGCTTCAAAAGCACGTCGTATCTGGCTGAAATTACGGAAAATAGCCAGGAAGGAGTCCCCGTCACATTTCTTGCGAAAGGAATTCCGGAAGTTTTCGATCACGACTTGGTATATTTATTTGTCATGCAGTTCTCAAAGATCCACAATATTTACATCGCGGCTGTAATTATAGGGCCTGAACGGGACCTTTCGCCTGAAGACTGACGGCGACGGGGGCATATTCGAGGTGACCCCATCAGAGGGGATAAACCATGTCTCATTTCTTATTCGGGTGAAAAATCCGGCACGTCTGGACTACGAGAAAATGAAGGGTAAGGAAAAAATCAGTTCCTTATTTCATTTACATATGTATAAAGCAATTTAGGTGTAAAATTCTTCGCTACACTGCTAGAAATCTAATATAGTCAGGTAGGTATTGATTTCTCGGTATTAATGTTGCTACCGAATTTTACTCGTCCGAAAAAATTTGCTACCGAACTGGTAAAACTTTAATACCAACCCATTACTACAGGGTATTACTTATCAATACCACGATGATTCTACCAAAGGGTAGAATCATGCACATACATAAATACCTCTTGGTATTATTTTAATACTGGATATTAAGAGTTTAATTAATGAAACGTGTAGAAATCAACTTCACCATAATCGCGGAGGACATGACGGGTGACAAATTCTCAAAAGTTCCAATATCCGTCGCCGTACTGGACGCGAACGATAATATTCCCGAATTCGAAAAAGAACAGTATGAAGTGCTCATTAATGAAAACTCTCCCCCGGGAACGGTCATCGTCCGAGTTAACGCCACGGACCCTGACTCTGGAAATTTTGGGACGCGTGGTATCCGCTACACCTCCATTACGGGATCCATTGCTAATGAGTAAGCTACAAAATAAATGATACCAACGTGCAATTTTACATAATATGTATGCTAATTCCAAAAAAGGAAGGGTGCAAAAAATTGAAACGTGTCGAGAATACGGAAGTGCATCTTTTTGCAATATGAAACTTGCATGATTTCTGTTTTGCAAACTTACTTACTTAATCGGTTTGCGGTCAATAATGCTCTAATGAATAATTTCTCAAACTTATTGAATTTCCAAAGTAAAACTGAGACTTTGCCTAATAAGTTTTCTTCTTTTGAAACCGCAGATTGAGCTTGGATCCAGTTTCTGGTCTAATCACAATTAAGGCAACAAATAAAACGAGTCTGGATCGTGAACTGGCCACAGTTTATTACCTCAGTGTGGAAGCTCAGGATAACAAAGGAAGAGGAAACAGGTTGGCAAATCCTTAATTTTTGAGACGATTTCTTGGCTTCTTACCTTACACTTCCTCATATCCTTATATGCACAATATAGTAAATGTATCTACACACATTGACGTTGAGATATGGCTTAGTTTTAATGGAAGTAATCAAAACTGGATTTGAATTAGTTAAATACTAGCAGACTTATAATTTTTGTGTCAGATCCCGTCATAAATTTCGCGTAGGATTTCAATTTTTGGCGAAAATTCAGCAGTAGTAAATAGTTTGCAGCAGTGAATCAATTGATGAAACAGTACGTATTTCCTAAACTCATCTTACATATGTAACTTTTTAGTCTGGTATTATTCATTTTATGGCAGTTTTTTTCCCATTTTTTGTTGTCGGCTACTTTACAAGTTAAACGAGGGGTTTGAAAGCCACCAACAAACTGGGTAATAAATCTCAACGCTCGGTATTCGAGTAGCAATTATCTACGTGCATCCTTCAGATTTTGTGTTTTTTTAGTGTACGAATTTTTCATTTTACTCTGCGTATAGTGGATTCAGACAGTAATTTCTCTGTTCTCGCTCGACATGAAAATGCGGAAAGGTTGCAAATTGCTGTGTTAAATGAATAAACAAGTCGAATGAATAAGGGATAGCTGGAAAAATCGCAGAGTGTCGATGATGATGGGCAAATGATGGATAAATGATGGTTAATAACATAATTGGCAAAACCGGCATTTTGAGTCAACGTTCTGTTAATATGCACTTTACGGTCTAAATAGGAGTTCAATGCTTTTAAAGTTCAAAAAATTGTATCTTTCTTCTTGCTTTTCTTGAATTTCCTGACTCTAATGAAAGTAAAAAAAGTCAATATATATTTAATATCACTTGAAAAAAGGGAGAAATGATGCATTTCTTTTGTGAGTTAGAGGGTATTATGTGTACATTTGGATGATGTCTCTGCGTGTCAGTAATGGATTTGTGGGTGTTTGTGGGTGTGATGAGTAATTGCATTTGCTATACCTCTAAACAACAATGGAAAATAAAAGTGACGATGGCGATGATTATGTGTGTATGTACATATGTACGAATGTATGTACATATCACCGTATGTACATAAATATTTTAGCGTATTTAGTTAGTACAAAAGGTATAAAATAAGTGCTACATATATATGCGACCCTTATGAACTAACATTTAGTAATACTTTTAGGAAATGCATGTTTTTAACGCCGAATCCATTAATAATTGACTAGTTTCATACATACATAAACCTAATTACTTTTTACTTGCAGAAAAAATGTACAGATTATTATCAATTTAAAAGATGAGAACGATGAGTCGTAAGTCAAATATGCATACATACACACAAATTACTATAAAGTTCAGAATATTTCAAAATAATGTTTGCAAATATTCCATTACAATTTTCAGGCCAGTATTTCTTCAGTCGAGATATGAAGCGAGAATTTTTGAGAATGAGATGGAGTTTGTGTCTCCGGTACGATTCCAAGCGAGAGATAACGACTTAAAAGGTTTAACTAATACAATTTTTTGAATATTTAATAACAGAAATGATTGGTCTTAATCTTAATCGTTAATTTTGCAGATACTCCAAACAGCGAGGTACATTACACGATCATTGCTGGGAATGAGGAAGGCTGGCTGGAGGTGGATGATCTCTCTGGAAAACTGAAAGTCGTGAAACCTTTCGATTTTGAAAAACTTTCCACGTCCCCAATTTCGCCATTGTCGAATGTTAAACATTTGAACTTCACGATCCGGGCGCATGACAGGTAAATACATACGTTAAAAAAATTACTGCTTATTTAAAACTAATCATGATTTTTATTTTACAGCGGAATTCCATCCCGTTTTGCATTAAGTTTCCTCACTCTTTTCGTCTTTGACACGAATGACTTTTCGGTAAGTGAGTTAGATTTTTTCAGTTTTAGTTAAATATAATTTCTAATAATAATTTCAGCCAAGATTCACCCGAACTCACATGTCTCGAATAATTCGGGAAGATTTTGTCGGTGGAAGTCAAATTGCGAAAGTTGAGTCGTCCGATCTCGATGGAAGCTCACCATTCAACCGAGTATTTTACCGAATTGAGACCGGAGGTCAGGATAAATTTGTGATAGAGTCGGAAACTGGCGTTCTGAGACTGACTCCGGGAGCACAATTGGACTACAACATAAAGCCGAATCACATCTTAGAAATCATTGCACAGGTATTTATCGCATTAGTAATTGCATTTCTTGTTATAAGGAAGGAAAATGTTGTAACAATGATGGGGCAATATTAGAATGTTGAGTTTTATTATTCCGTATGAAAATTTCAAGAGCAGAAGTTTCGCCAATTTTTCCACGAAGAACTATTCGCAGGGCGATATGTGTGAAAACTATGCATAATTTTGCATAATATCCCCAAACGGTTCTGCAGAATAGAGCCGATAGAATTTTTTTGCAGAATCATGCAAGTTTTTCATGCAGACATATGACTTTGAAGACCCCTTATGCAAAATTGTACACACGATTTTCATACGGGTTGTTTATGAACTTGATTTGATTAGATTAAGTACATACATAAATAAAATTAGCAGCTTCTTGGCAATCAGGGAAAGCTAATGTTGACCTTTGACATTTTCAGGATGGGGGCGGACGACAAAGTGAAGCTCCGTGCGTGATCAACATAACTCTGAAAGGTTAGTGACGCAAAACCTTCATCGTGATCAACGTTCTTTTAGGCAGTCAGTCTAAAACCTGTTCAGAAACGATGCTCATCTTTGACCTTTGTGCATTTAGATATCAACAATAAGAAACCAAAGTTTGAATTTAACGCTGTCGAAGAGGAGTCAAACGCTGGTGGTGGAAGCAATGGGGTCTATTTCACCAAAGTGGCTGAAAACAGTCCCAAGGGTCACTTTATCATGCAGGTGAAAGCGTCGGATCCCGACACTTCTGCCGTGCTCCGATATAACATCGACTTCAACAAGTCTGACGCAAGAAATGAAGACGGAAGAGTCCTCCTCACGAATACGAAGACCAAACCGGGCAGCAAATTGAGGGGGGTCGACTTATCCAAACTCTTTATTCTGGATCCTACCGAAGGGATTCTCAGCGTGGGGGGTGGACTTGACCGAGAATTAATGGAAACCGTGCGACTTTACGTGGTCGTGCAGGACATTGGTTCTGAAACTGGAGAACAAAAAGCATCCGCGAGAATTGAAGTGACAATTTTAGACGAGAATGACTCCGATCCCAAGTTCCGAATGAACCCGTACATGGCTTCCGTGCCGGAAAATGCGGAAAAGGGGACCAAGATAATTACGGTGATTGCTGATGATCCGGATAAAGATCGGGTGATACGGTGAGGATTATTTTTTGAATAATTTTTTAATGACACGTATGAAGTCAAGGATTTCGTTTTGGACGTCCAAAATGTCCAAAAGCGTCCAACACTGGAAAATGGGGCAAGATGGTACAAGTTCTTATTAACGATCTTTTTTTACAAATCTATGCAAAGAATCTTTGCCAAAGTTCAGCCAAAGATTTTCCAAAGGTAATCCCCCATTAAGGTTAAGAATTTTGGTTGGTGTGTAAAACCACGAAATTTTAAAGATCTTTTGTTCTCACATGTTTTCTTTGAGAAATTACGAAATTTTCTAAATCATGTTCTATTACACACCAAAATACTTAAAATTAATGCGAGATTACACATACATCAACGGATCGAGAACTATCGAATTATCGAATTATCGAATTAGAATTATCGAATAGAGAACTTGTGACATTTGTCATTTTGCCCCATTTTGGACATTTTGGACGTCCAAAATCCGGTGTCCAAAACTGGTTAAAACTGGTTTTGGACAGTGGTTAAAAGCTAAACCCGAATAAAATCATTATCGCTACATACATTTCTCTTATGTTACAAATATATATGTTTATGTAGGTACTCTATTGTATCGGGGAAAGAGATTGGAAAAAATCAAAAATTTCCATTGGCAATTGACCCTGAGACTGGCGTTATTGAGCTCGTGGATCGGGTAGATCGGGAGTTGACAGATTGGATTAATTTTACCGTTTTGGCTGAAGATTCGGGAACAAATCCAAAAAATCGACATTCATCCGTACCCGTGTTTTTACGAGTGATCGACCAAAATGACAATGCCCCCATGTTTGTCGACAATTTGACAAATATCACGGTTCCAGAGGTATGCAATACGAAATTTTGAAACTTTTTATTCATATTCAAACTCTGTAACAAATATGAGTTATCTGATTTTATTTTATCGACAGACCAGTGCATTTGCATATGGCTAAATATTAAATATCATAAAATATAAATATGTACGTAGGATGCACAAGTTGGGTCGATAATAGCCAAAGTGGTCGCAAAAGATATGGACTCTGGAAATTATGGGAAAATCACGTATCTATTGGATCGCAAATCCAGCATGGGGAAATTCACGATTGACTCTGAAACTGGGTGAGAATAAACTATTTATAACCTTAAATTCGTGGACAATTTCATTTCTTAACTTTGGGGGGATTTATGATGTTGGCTTGCGAAATTGTCCTCGTGAACGACCTGACTTCAAATTGCTCGCAAACTTAGCATTTTTTTCATCTCTCTCTCGAATTTTAAAATTTGTATTTTCATTTCCAATGGAATTTGAAGTTGCTGGAAATTAACAAAATGCAAAGTTTGTGCTGCGAGCGAAGGCTTGAGCTGCAAACATTGAGAAAATTCGCTCACAAACTTCGCAAAATTGTATATGTTGTAATGCGATGTTTGCGAAGTATACGAAGCTATCATAATTCTCGTCGTCGATGTTTTACCAATAAATTACTTTTCTAGAGCGATTCGAGTAGCGGAACCTTTAGACCGAGAAGAGAAGTCCAGCTACACCCTCGTAATCCAAGCTTGGGACAACTTCCAGTTCGGCTATGCTTCCGGAGAAAGTAGAAACGCCTTCAAACAACTGAATCTCGCAGTGTCCGATATCAACGATTCGCCACCAGAATTCTTGGATGAAGATGTGCAAAGTGCGACGGGAAAATCTTTAAGAAGTGGGCCCACGTGCGCATCAGTCACAGAATTCCATGAAGAACTCATCTTAACAATACGAGCGAAAGACCGTACGTGTTTTATTAAGACAAAAATAATGAAATCAGCGTAACAAAAATTATGCATATTAAAAATTTCCTATTCAGGTGACGATGAAACAACCGCTAACGGAAAAGTAACCTTTAAAATCAAATCAGGAAATGAGTTGGGCCTATTTAAACTGCAGTTGGGAAAAAATATTGCAAAAGTGCTGCCTGCCAGGTCGTTAAAAGGGTTTTATGGAAATTATACTTTGACGATTGAAGCACAGGTAAAAATTGTGGCATGAAAAGTTCAATGAAACTTGTTTATGTATTTGAAAATAAAATTTTATGCTTTTAATTAGGATGGTGGAAGACCTCCGAATGTTGCCACGAAGGAATTCAATTTGTGTGTCTTAGACTATAACGACAATAAAGTAAGCATATTTCAATTAGACTACACTTTTAGAAATCTGGCAGATTCACATGGTATTAATTTCTCGGTAATAAAGCTGCTTTGGTATTAAAATTATACCGGCCCGTAAAAGTTTGCTACCCGAGATTATTTTAATACCGGATTTCTAAGAGTGTGCCTAGAAATCTTAATTGAATGCTTGATAGTAAAGTTTGATTGGATGCGATTTCAGCCAAGATTTATCAACCCAGCGCAAAACTTTACAATTAAAGTGCCAGAGGTACTGTGAATATTTAAGTATTATATTAAATTGCGAACTATTTGGAATCTAATAATAAAGTACAAATTGTTTCTTTACACGTACAGAATGCAACCGTGGGCTCTTCGATTATTCAAGTGAGAGCTGTGGATTCAGATATCGGAGACAATGGGATTGTGAGGTACCGATTTCGCCAAGAGTTTTCCCGACACTCGGAAACTTTTCATATTAATCCAACAACTGGAGTGCTAACTTTGGCCAAATTGTTGGATCGGGAACGGCAGAAAGTTTATTACGTAAGTATTCCGTCGTAAAGTTAAGCCTACCGATACAGGATACTAGACATAAAAGTATTTAGTTTGAATGGTTGAAATAAATAATAGCTAAGAATCGAAGCCTACGATCTGGGTCAACCCACACCGTTATCATCGGAACTAGACTTGACAATTGTGGTGAAAAATGTGGATGATTTCAAGCCGGCCTTTGTAAAAAATGAGTTCATTGCACAATTGACAGGTATGCTCTAGCTTGTTTAACCTGGACAGTGGCCGCGGAAACGTGGGGACAGAGGGACAATGTCGCCACGGTTATTTAGTGCCCCCCCCCCATGATCTTGTCCTCACATGTCCCCACGGCTTCCGTGGAGCCTGAACATGTAGAAAGTTTGTATCCGTGTAATATTTTCTTAATTTTGATCCACAATTTATTCCATGTGTAGAAAACATATCTCCGGGAAGAGAACGAATCCAACTGCCTGGCACGATTGACCGAGACGATGAAGACGACGAAGAAAAGAAAACGTCTCAAGTTTGCTATTTTATCCTTTCTGATTCCAAAAACTCGACAGAATTGTTCGAAGTTGACGCTCTTTCGCACGTTTTAACTACCAAAGTACGACTGGACCGTGAAAAGCAACCCATGCATAATTTTACCATTTTGGCAACCGATAACTGTCATCAGGACATAAAGCGGCTACACTTGCAAGTTTTTGATAAGGGATCATTGTTAAGCGTGCAAATCGAAGTGGCCGACGTGAATGATAACATGTACGTGCATAAGTTTTAATTTACAATGGAGGTCTCCCAACGTATGCTCGCAGATTTTGATCAAACTAGTGTCAATCGATCACAAATTTAATTAATATGAAATCTGCAAAAGACACCATCTCTAACTGCTCAGATTTGGCGGATTGGTTTGGATTTTGCAACCCAAAAGGAGAAAACGCACAGTAAATTTGGAAAGTATAAAATTTGCCGACTTAAATGTGCACTTTCTCCTCTTTGGATGCAAAATCTTAGCTAAACCTGCGCATTTATGGTGCCTTTTTGCAAATTTCATATCAATTGAATTTATGTTTTTTGGTCGAATTCGGAGACCTACATTGTTACATTGTTAGCAATGTAGCAAATTTTAATTGTTACATCTTACGTGTGCACAGGCCCATTTTTACTCAGCGAACTTTCACCGGAGGTGTATCAACGAGTAGTGATTACGGAACAGAAATTTTAACTTTCTCCGCAACGGATGCAGACACCCCACCCAACGCGAAACTCACATACTTTATCATTCATCCGATTACAATGTCGTTATCCGAGGGATTATCCCATCTGATAAACAATGACAATCCACTCTTTTCCATCGACCCAAACAGTGGCATCCTTAGCTTAGCTTTTGACCCTCAGCCAGACATGAAGGGCCACTTCAGTCTCAATGTGGGGGTAAATGATACCACTGACCTGAGTGATAAAGCCAATGCGCTCGTTTATCTGCTACGCGATGATCAAAAAGTAAGTCGCTAAATTAGCACTATTTTCAAACATCATGTGATGTCACGGCATTTATTTGTTCTTTTTTGCAGGTGAAAATAACCGTGAGAATGAGTCCGATCGAAGTTAGATCTGAAATTTCGATATTTAAGCAGTCATTGTCCAATGTGACGGGTGCCATTGTTAACGGTAATATTACTATCAATATGCATTATTTTCAGAGGGCGGATATGTATTTAGGTACAACCTTTTCATTTAATGACGACCGACGGTCAAGCTTTGCGGGTCCCCTACTTTTAGGGTACAAAAATTTCCACATGTCAAAATTTTTTTTCAAAGAAATTCTAAGTATAAAAAATTCCAGAGCGTTATATTCGGAAATACAAATTTTACGACAATTTTATAGTTTTGTTTTTTTTCCGTACATATTTCGTAAATATTTTGGCATTTCCTTCGTAAATACATATCAGCCCTCTGATCGTTATTATGAAAGTCATTATAAAGGCTGGTGCAATACTATTATTATTATTCTTCAATTAGCCGACGCGAGTTTCAAGTACCACGAAAATCGTGACGGTTCCGTGGACAAGACCAAGACGGATTTTTACATCCACCTGGTCCACCCCGACCAAAACATAGTTTTAGAAGCGGACGAAGTGTTGAAACTAATCGACCTCAACATTGAAGAATTGGACGACCTGTTCAAAGAGTTTAACGTCCTTGACACGCAGAAATCCACATTCACCGTGGGGGCGACCTTCGCCACGAAGGGGCGAGAAGAGACCAAGAATCTCTTTCTCGTCTACGCAATCGGAACAGCATTGTTCTTGGCGTTGCTCCTTCTGGTCGTCATCTCCATTTGCTTTGCTCAAAGGTCAAAGTACCAACGGCAGCTGAAGGCCGCCACCACAAATGCATACGGTAGTTATGTTAATTTTGCTTGCAATGACTTCCCACCTAGTCCGCCGTCTTCAGATTGCTGAGTAGAAAAAAAGTAGTCAATTATGGGACGAATCTATCCTTTATTCGTTAGTTATTGTTTTCTAGTTCTTAATTTAATGACTGATTTAACGACTGCATATTCTCGGTAATAATGGGTATTCTTAAGGTTTTACTAGTTTCTGTTCATGTAGAGATGCCTTCTAGTTAACCTTTACGACACACTTCTATATATTACATGTAACTTAATTAAGCCATATTTCCTCCTACTTTTATAATTATGCCATTAAAGTTGTGTTATTAAATCAACCTGCCATAAATACCTAACTGCTTTCACCACCACTTTTCTTTTAACGTGCACTTTCCTATGAGCGGCGAGTAGTTGTAAATAAGTTTTAAGGACTGAAACTTTCTCCAAAATGCAATATTGAAAGGTTCTTCGGATCATAAACTTTCTTATTGCTTTCTCCCAACTTCCAAATTGGAAGTTCCAATTCCATGCACATGGAGAGAAATTCTGATAACTATGCACAAACGAAATATATGGGTTGACATTTTTCATGCATTTCACTTGTGGTTGTGGTTGCTTATTGGTTCTGGTTCTTTCTTTTCTGACAATGAAAGCAAAAATTAAAGATGTAATTAGTGCGATAAAAATGCCCATAACTGAATCAAATTTGAACCACTTCTCATCTAGGATCTAGTGCATCAATAATTCCTAGAACTGGGAACGTGCCGAATACCAACGTGCACAGCGTCGAGGGTTCGAACCCTATTTGGATGCAAGCTTATCACAACAACTGGTACAAAGAAGACTCGATCAGGTAGTAAGTTGCTCCTGACTGTGGAGAAATTTATATACTTTGCAACGTTTGTAAATGGGGAAAACTCAGTATGAATAAGTGCATATACTTATTTGCTATTTCCGTGTGAGTGGTTGCATTGTAAATATTTATGTGCATAAATCATATGTGTAATATTTATATGATATGGTAGTTTTGCTTCCGTTTTTGTACATTTTAATCAGTTTTAGCTGTGGTTTTAATCACTGTCCAAAACCGGTTTTAACCAGTTTTGGACACCGAATTTTGGACGTCTAAAATTCCAAAAGTGGCCAAATAGAAAATGGGATAAAATGCTACAAGTTTTTCCTTATTGAACGTTACGATAATCTGTTGACGTCTATATAATCTCGCATCAATTTTGAGCATTTTGGTGTGTAATACGACATGGCATTAGCAAATTTTTCAATTTCTCGTAAGAAAACATGCCAAAACAAAAGTTTTTCCAAATTTCGTGGTATTAAATTACACTCTAAAACGCTTAAAATTAATGAGAAATTACATATATGTGCAAAAATTTGCACAAAACTAGCTAATATTTACAAAGCTTGTAACATTTTGCCCCATTTTCCAATGTTTCGCTTTTGGATATTTTCGACGCCCAAATTATTTTCTAGACCGTTTTGGACTTTGTAGTGTCCAAAAAGATACCGGACGCCCAAAGTTAAACGCTGATTTTAATGTTGCAAAAAAGTCCTCATTGTTGTGAATTATGTATTGATTGAATGATATTTGTTTGCTAAATTGTTACATAAATACGGTTGGGAGCTTCTTATTACTGGTTTCGGGTGGTATTTTGTATAATAAATATGTACGCATATGAAAAAGCTGTGCATGTATGAAATGCCTTTGTAACGATTAATTTGCTTATTTTTTGTGGAATACGTAGTGAAGCTTCGGACACGAGGGATTCTTTGGATGAAAACGCGATCGGAACGGAGTCCACTTCTCCGCCCTCTTCGCACATGAGGAGTTTTCTGGGGACGGGGAGCGGGGGGAGTGGATCCGGGGGTGGCGGGTCGGATAAGGAACTTTGTCGCAGGAACGACCTCAACCGAACGTACCATCGCAATCTCATTTACGGAAATCGAATCGAATCCGCCGCAAGTGGGAATTGCCTCATTTTGAAGAAGCATTTAGAAACGACTGAGTTGTAATTTTTGAAAATATTTTACAACGGGAAAATTACCACTATTTTTATTAGCCATTTTATTATTCAAAGACAAATTAAATTAAGTCAATAAGTTAACTTTAATTTAAGCTTTAGTATATAAATATGTATGTGTGTGTATCTACTAACTATGAATATTTTGTATATGTACATGTACACGGGACAAGTCAGTTTATAGTGGCAAAGTTTTCCAAGCTAGAACATGTAAAATATTTAGTGTATTGGAAAATTTTGGAGTAATTTGAAAATTGAATAAAATGTGCGTATTAAATACCTCATGTTATCTCCTAAAGTTTCCTTTTTGGATGTCATCCTTATTGGTCAGGAGCCAATCTGTGCAAGCATACGTAAAAACCATGCAAAAATTATTAATAAGTAAGGAAGATAGCATATTTATGGTAGGACTCGATGACTCGTCTCCAAAATCGTCAAAATCAACACATTTTTAATCATTTTTCTGAGCTCTGGGAATTTATCTGGGAAAATTTTGGACGATAAATATAGTCGTTGCCAATTTTTTACAAATATGCATTCCAGATTTTCATAGTTTTTGAAGGAGATCTCAAGGTTAACAAGCCTTTAGAAAAATTGGAACTCATCGAAACTGACTCACGGCCATTCCATTAATCAACTTACTGACTACAAATTAGTTCGTCCAGAATTTTAAAATAAATTCCCAGAGCCGAGAAATGATTATAAATGTGCTAATTTTAATGATTTTGGTGATGAGCCATAGAGTCCTATTTTAACCAATTTGAATAAATATGACACCTGCAATTCCGGTGAGTTGACTGTGCTGAAAAATTCCAACGAGACTGAAGAAAGTAGCATTTGTACCATTTCTCTCTTTCCACAAGGCAAAACATTTATGTGCGATTTCCTCCCAGTTTATGCAGTGAATGTAATTTTGTATTGTTTGATGTTCTCCTTTAAACCGAAGTCTCATTTTCATTGGAAGTAAATTATTGTCATCGTCAAATCTGTTCCTTTCCCCGTCACTTGTTTCGTGATACGTTAGCAATTCCACGTCCTCGAGTCCGTTCATGTTGGAAATCACGATGCTCCAATTTTTCTTTGCTTTCTCATTTTTGAGAATTATCCGAGTACAAATCTCATCCAGAGCTTTTGGAGTTACTAAAATTAATACACACATAGGTTTTAATAGCAGCGAATTAATTAACGTAGGACTTGGTGATTAATCCTCAAAATCGTAAAAATAATCAACACATTTTTAATCATTTCTCGGCTCTGGGAATTTATTTCAAGTTTGAGAAGCCTTCAGAAAAATTGGAGTTCATTGAAACTGGCCTAAAAAACTTACCGTCATTCTATTAATCAACTTACTGACTACAAATTTGTTGTCCATAATTTTAAAATAAATTTCTAGAACCGGGAAATGATTAAAAATGCGTTGATTGTGACGATTTGGGTGAATCATCGTCCATCGAGTCCTACGTTAAAGTACCGAATTTTCTTAATAAATCTATAACATGAAATGAGTCATCGAGTCCTATGCTAATAAGTTAGAAAAATCCAAATTCGCGAAAAGTATGGAATGGAATCATAACTAATAAATAATCAATGCATTATGACTCATGATCAAATCACGCAGGCATTAAAATTTTGTATTCTTGAGACTGAGAATTAAAATAAATTGAAAGACACGTAGAATTGAAGAATGATTCACAATCAGTCATGATGCAACTTACATGTAAAGTCGGCAGAATCAATAATAACTGCTGGAGTAGTTGAGCCATCCACATTGGAAATTTTTGAGGCAAATTTATCTCGAGAAAGTGTCAACTTTTCAAACAGAATTGCATACGAGGCTAAATCCGTATTATTAGCTTTCTCGCTATCGTTCAAAGTTTCGCTTTTATCCTCCTTGTTATTGGCTTTGGATTTTGTTTGTCCGAGGTAATCGATAAACTCGTCCAGAACGGTGTCATCATTTCTAAAGTACATGATTTACCGGACCTCATGAATTAATTGCATTTAACGTAGGACTGGAACGTAGGACTGGATGACTCATCACATTTTTTCCCCATTTCTCTGCTCTGAGAATTAATTTTAAATTCTGGACGACAAATTTGTAGTCATTAAGTTGATGATTTCAGTTTCGACGATTTCCAATGTTTCTGAAGGCTTCTTAAACTTGAAATCTCCTTCAAAAACTGTCAAAATCTCGAGTATTTTTTTAAATTGGCAACGACCTACTCTACATATTTGTCGTCCAGAATTTTAAAATAAATTCCCAGAGCTGAAAAATGATTATGAAATGTGCTGATTTTTTTGGCGATGAGTCATCCGGTTCTACGTTAACGATATTATTAGCAAAATTGTCTCTTATTATACATAATTGAGCTTACTTACTTTGACACTAAAATATCTAGAAACTTGTTACACCGTTCAGTTGCGAGTTCCACTTGATCAATTTCATGGTAGTCCGATCTTCTGAAATGCCCCCGTTCAAACAAGTGATCCGCTACTGTTAAGACATTTTTTAAATGATCTTGCAATAATTTCCGATTTTCTTTAATGATATTCTGCAAAATGGTTGGTTGATCGATGGTCATATTGTTTATTAGCACTTTAGCAGTTAAGTAGTCGGGGAATAAGCGAAAGCTCAGTCAGATCTAAATGAATATGAATGCAGGCTAATTTCCGTTTAAATAAATATGTGTACTTTTGGATAAGGTAACTAATCAACATGTAATCGGTATGGGTATGTACATACATAGATAAGATACGTGTATGCATACAGATTACAGAGTCCAGTTACGTTCCAGACAAAATTCTACCTGCAAAAAACTAATGGATGTGATTAAGTTTGTTATATGATACGAAACAACATGTCCGTATTTGCATACATAAATTTATCAACATTATTAGCTCATTGCAACAATTGACACCTTTTGACTGGGCGGGATTCATACCAGAATTGACAAAGTACATTTATAATGTATGTAGCATCGTTACAGGCATAAAGTTCTGATCACGTGTGAAATATTCGTAATGTCAAATGTGTTCTTTGTGTCCATTAAGGTCACGTCCACGTCACGGGAATTAATTTAGTACAATAATCTATTAAAAGAGGATGATCAAAAGGAAAAGACATTCACCTCCATCAAGTTTACATATCTGGCTGGATGGTTGGTGGTGTCACTTTCACTTTTTCATGGAAATCTTGTATTTGTACAGACCTTGCATGCAAATTCCTAAAGTTTTCGAAATGTGCATATTTATTATGTAAATAAAAAAGATATTCTCATCTTGCAACGTGTACAATTTTGATTTGAGATGAAAATCAGAGTCGATACCGAAGCAAATTTCCACATATTTAATTTGGTGAAAGTTACATGAAATTTTAGGGTGTACATACACTCTTGGAAAATTTTTGGACCGAAAACGCCCATGAAAGTGAGATTTATCTGATAGGAGAAAGATATCTGTGCAGCATATTACTTAGGGAATGATATGGTCCATTTAGATTAGTCAGCAAGTCATTCAACCCAGTCACATTTACTACTTAATCCTAAATCAAGTACTAGCCAAATGATGTTACGATATAGTTGGCACATACTCGTGTATGCATTCATTATGATCTCGTTGTTGTCGTCGGATTGCATGGGCAGGCAAAGCAAACATGTAATTAAGGTTAATCTATTATAGTGAGGTTGCCATTATTAGTTATATTACATAGTTAACTGCAAGCCATTTTCTTTTACGACCTGTGTAATCCAATCCAGCCCAGCTTTTTCTATGGACGAATGAAGGATAATAAAAGCCTGATTAGCCAGCATAGCAAAATGCAATAATTTCTTTATCGAGTGAGTATATAGTTTGATAACAATAATACAATTTTATGTCAACCCATCGTCAGTCAGACTTGCTAATTACTCAAATGGAGCCCCGTTCTTCTGGAAGTAAAGAAGTTGATTTATAAGCTCGACCATGATTTCCGGATCATAAAGAATTCCAAGATTACCCTTTTTCCTCGATACAATAATGGAATGTGTAAATAGGCCTTGAACTTTTCTTATAAGTCAAGGAAAACGATGTGTAGGTACTTCACGGCTTTCCACTTTCACCGTTGTCGAGAACCCCTTTCATCCAACTCGTCAATTGCGTCGATTTTGTAGTCGGTTCGGGAACAGAGGGCATTGAATATTTTAATTTTGGTTGTTCGAATTGGTAAAGGACGGAGCGGTTGATGTCGGGCCATATCCGGAAAATGCATTTGGATCGGATTTGATCTGTTCTGACAGGACCGTAGGATCTGGAATCGTTTGAATTTTTTGAGTTATCTCCTAACAGCCAGACGTGGTCTTTTGGGATCTGTGTATAAAATTTGAAATGGATATGTGAGAAACTTATCTCCAGAATATTGTAAATATGTACAGTTTTAGAAAGCTAGTTATCTATACATACTTCAACTTCAACAAAAGTTTTGCAAAATTTCATGGTATTGCACACCGAAATGCAAATAATTAATGGGGGATTACATATCTCTGCATATGTAGATTTGTAAAAAAGTCGTTAATAAAGAAATCGTAACACTTTGCCCCATTTTCTAATATTGGACGCTTTTGGACGTAATTCTACTCAAGTGACACTGATAATCAACACGTTGTACTAATAGCTCGGTATTAAAGTTTTACCATATCAGTAGCAAGTTTTCAGGGTCTGGTATAATTTTAATGCCAACTTTAACACCGAGAAATCGATGCCAGCATGATTATACCAGATTTATAAAAGGATACATTTTAATTGACATGCCTGATACAACTCGTGCCTGAAAATGACGAGGTCCCCCTCCTTGGCTGCAATTCTTTTGCAAATACGCGTACGACGATCTTCCGGAGATTTTGCAATGACGACATCTCCCACGTCGACCAAGCCGAGGCGAGGGCTGACTTTCTCCGTGATTAAAATATTTCCCGAGTTGAGGTGCGGTTCCATACTTGGGCCCGTACACTGCAATGCAAAATATGCAAATTGTATTATGCAAAATTTTGACAATGCAATGTGACACTGATTATGCAATAAATTTCAAAATAATTGACTTCATTTTCTCACAATTACGAAACTGGCCACGTAATTATTTGTCAGGAGGGTTGCGCATCCAATCGCCAAAGATCTCATGGCAAAGCTGCTGAAAATGCGTGACATTATTTTGACTGATTAAGAGTATGAAAAATTAAGTTGGAACCGAAGTGATTTTGGAATTTTGATTTGAATTTAGATTTAGAGCTTAGGAAAAATATTACCATATTTTTATTGTTTCTATTATTACAGAATTCATCAAATTATTCGCACAATATTCGTTCTAAGCAACCATTTGGCACATGTAGGGAGAAAGTCATTTGCAAAAGTACAACATATGCAAAGGAAAGGACATCAAAATTCTGTAAAAGTTACTCACAATTTTGAAAGTTTTAAATATGTAAATGCCAAAATTTTAGAATTTTGCGAAAAAATTGCAAAATTTTAAAAGAACCATGATTTCTCAGGAAGAAACTATTTTTTTCCAAAAAAGACGTCGAAATACGTATTGGCGTAAACATTCATATTTTCTAAAACTATAGGGCGAACGTTACCTTGATAGGTTAGCATGAAAAAAAAGATCAAATATCAAAGTCAAGAAGGTTCCTATTGTAAAAAGGTAAAAGGTCAAGAGTCACTCATACTACAATTTGAACCAAGAAAAATCAATATCGTATGCTTTTCTCGCTGTGTACTTATTTTCCCATTTGATAACCTTCGTTTTTACTGACCAGACTCCTGATAGGAGAAAATCGAGACATTTTTGATAATGCTATGACCATGAATTTCTGACTTTGAACGAGGCAATGCAATGAGAACAGGCAAACAAAATCCACCAAAAATACATATGCACATTGTACGTATGCGAATCTGCTGACCACCTTTTTTTAGGACTATCCGACGATGACATTTAGGATAACAATGACTGGTCGAGATCATGACACGACCCATGCTCTAAATATAGCTTTTATGCATATACAAATAGCCTACCACCACTCACAATCTGGGATTCTATGTAAATACATATTAGTTTTACGTACGTATTTTATTGATAAAATGTGTACCATGAATTTGTACCATAGATCCTGCATATTAAGATATGGGCATTACATGTACTTACATAACATGCATCTGTCTGTAATACAGATTCAGTATTACATGAGTAAGGGAAAAGTTTCATTCGATGTTGTCATTTCATTTCCCCTTCATTTCCATCTCTGAAATATTTAGCACTCACATATTTACCACTTACTAAATACACTATTAAATACGCTTAATTTTCTCTTAATTTTAGTGCGGAGCTTAAAACGATTATTTTTTTTCCATTTCAACAAAGGCATGTAAATTAATGCGGACACATTTTGTATTCAATGTGTAATAGAAGTCACTGAGGAAATCTCCCAAGGCTTGATTTGTTGCATATGTACATATGTAAATACATATGAATGTATGTATACCTACATCTGGAAATAGATTACATCCAAGCCGCAACATTTTTTAATGCGTCGCTCATACATAAGTAGAAGTTATATACATATGTACGTTGTCGTCCCAAATTAGGATATTTCCATTTTTATTTACTAGTGTGGGGGTTGAGCTTGTTATTAATGACGTCCAGGAAAAAGAAGCCGTTTGCCCTACCCCATTTTTAGCATAGACCAGTTTTATTACTGGAGTCAGATTTTTGGTCACAAAAAGAAATACGATGCATTATATTTGTATGTAACACTTTCATATTCATGGAAGTACAAGGACTTAGGACTACATAATATTAAAAAAAATGACATTGTTAATAAATGAAAACATGAATGAAAACAATGACCAGACCACCACTTTTTTTATTACAATCGTATTGACACAATACAATTGTCTGTATTACGTCGTATAAAAGCTCATAGTAATAAAACTTATCAATTTTTATTCTTTCATAATTCTTATTCAATTGAATGTACATAACATTAAAGTCGACCCAATCAAAATTTTTGCACGTATCTTTCTTTGCGTGTGATAAAAAGTATTACATTTTGAGCCAACAACATGGCTTAGGTTGCCGAATTGCATTACAATTTTGTACATGCATGTATTTCATTGCTTGGATTTGCTGGTAGCCAAAAAAGCTCACAAATATTTGTTTTCGAAATGCATATACTTTCGCGAATATCCGTCCACAAGCTAATTTACAGTTAAACTTTGTAAAAAGAGTGTAACCCAATAAATTTGCAAATTTAAGGAGGATTTAGTAAAAAGAATGAGTTTGTGGACGACCCTTCCATTGTTATGTTTCTGCGCCTTGTGGGCTAGGCTTTATTAAGCAGGCGAAAGAACTAGAGCTACTTAATGGGATTTATTTGTCCGTCCGTAACCACGATAAAGCTGAAATGGATTGTATTCTTTGAGTTTCGTTCTCTGATACCTATATTTAAATTTTAAAAGGAAGGATGACGCCATTAAGCGACCAAAAGGTCAAGGCATGAGGTCAAAGAAACATCGAAATTTTTGGTTTTGACGGTTTTAAAAATTATTTAGGGCTGGTTATTTATTTAAAAAATATTTCGATACGCAAATTGACCTAGCGTGAAAGTGATACATAGAATTTTCTCATTTTGTAGAAATGAGACATTTTAAATGACTCATAATATGTCGGGTTCGTGTATTAATTTATCTTTAGCACCTTGCCTTGCTCCCGCAACTTCATTATGTTTGTTGCTCGGGTTTATTCCTGTCTCTGTGCAGCTTCTCATCTGCTCGTCTGCTTCAGTCGTATAGTTCCAGCTCGAGTGTGAGTGTCGTTTACGGAATAATCACAATTCTACAAAATCCACTACACCTTGATCCACAGGTTAATTAAGAAACAAAGAAATAAACTGAAGGAGTCAATATTTAACACATTTCACCCCAAAATTAAGCCAAATAAGTGGACAAAAATTGGCCAGTGTGTCTATTTTTGTTTTGTTTTGCGAGGAGTGAACTCTGTTCACTTTGTGTTGTATAAATAGTGGGAAAGGATGGAACGTAATGCAATTAAGTAATGAAATTAATTGTGAGATCTATATTTGAAAAGACGATGTGGCGATGGGAACGTTTACCCGTGAAAGACTGCAAATTAGCTGGATGACCAGTACCCGTGGCCTATATTTGGCTGAAGGAGGAAGCTTTAATTAGTGATTCATCTTCTTGGTCTATCTGTATTATTATTATTAGTTGTTTAAATACGTCGAAATGTCGGAGAAGCAGAATCGGGGTGGAACCTCCCACCAGAACGCTTCGTCAAACCCTTCGAAACCTGTGCCCATGAAATTATTCTCGTCCTGGGAAGTGGATAGGACTCCATCAAACTGCATTCCTAGGTAAGTTCAAGGACTCACTTTTTTTGCACACGTTCTTGCTTTGGTTATTATTATGGTTTAAGAATTTCATAATTATAAAGAGCAAAAAGGTTAGGTAAGTTTATTCATGTGTTTAGTTTACATAGTATAGTTTGCGATATAACAAATGTACTTAATGTACGTATTTGTGGGTCCTCGTATATAGATCTATGTAATTAAGACTACTAAGGACAACTTACTTATTCTTAAAACGCGAAACTTTGCATAATACTTTAGTTTGTAAGCATCTGCTGCTAAGTCCGCAATAATCTTGTCTCGCGTATTAAGTTTTTGGCAACGACGAAATATGTTGGCGGATGTTGAACATTTCTTTCAAAGATGAAAGAATTTATGGCTAATTTTACTTTTTAGAATGCGATGCGAATACGTGTAGTCAGTCACCTTGAACTTCATAAGCAAAACAACCGAATATGCAAATTGTTGGCTTATACAAGAGAAGCAAGAGTTCACGGTGTTAATTGAGATAGACGTAAAGTTGTTAATAACAGATAAGTATGTAGCCAGTTAGCTAAGTATGTAGCCAGTTAGCTAATTTTATCGCTGATATTATCATTTATTTATGTAATTGCGAATTTATGTTTGGTAAACAACCTTATAAATTACTAAAAGAACAAGATATAGCATAACACCCATAAGCATTGTGAGATTAAATTAATGTTCCCATTTTTTTCTCATTCATTCAAAACTAAGATCCCTGTTTTCTTTAACCGCAGACTGTGTTCTTTGACACTGATTCGGCTTGTTGTAATACGGCCACTACCAACAACTGAGACGACCTCGATTGTCATAGCTGTCAAGATGGCTGGATCTCGGCGAACTTTGAGGTAAAGTATTGCAAACTAATATTGTAAATAAGTTTTTAAAAAAATGATGAACCTCTCTCATGGCAAGTCTCATGGTCTAATTATTGATTTATTATTATTATTTTTTAGATCAAATGAGATTCTAATTCCAGACAACGGGCTCATCAGCACCGACTTAGAACTGCATTTCTCCTTACAGGTACACAAATAAATAAATACACATCTCGGTCAGCACATGACCACAATTAGAAAATCATGAAAATAACAATAAATCATACTATGCTTCGGTTACCCTAATAATAACTTGCCCTTGCATTGCGTATCTATTTATTAGTACCCCCATTTTCTAAAACGAGAGGAAAACCGACTCCTAATAATGCTTCAGAGGAGGAAAAAGTACAAAAACAGGACTATTCTTGGATACAAGACTCTAGCAGAAGGATCGATAGATATGGCACTGGTGAGCTATTTCCATTACGCACCTACATTTTGTTCTTTTTATAGCCATTTTTGCCAGAACTTGGCAAAAAGTATGGCCATGGTCAGTCATTGTTTTCAACCAATTCAGGTGCTGCAAAGGAGCTATTTGGACATGGAATTAAGTCTTCTAGCCCCCGAAAGTGGTAATAAAGAGAACCATGGGCCAATTGCGAAGGTAAGATTTGTTTTTATTATAACATAAATATTGAAATTAATGTAAAATATAAAATCTCATGAAAAATAAACGTTTATGTAAACTTTTAAGGTGACAATAATGGGAATTGCTTCCCATCCAGTGGATGAAGTAGAAGGAGATAGGAAAGGGAAAGGTATACACACAATTTAAGTTATACATGCATACATAATGTTTCTTCGTTGTGTTGGCACTGGCACATAATTTCACTTAACTGTTTCACTTTCGCTATTTACTAGTGGTGTGATTTTTCTCTTTTTCCTTTGAAAAGTTGCGACACGTGTGTGTATTATGTATGTTGAACCTGGTAGTTATTTTCTTCTCACTTGAAATTGCACAACTATAATATGTAAAACAAGTCTAATGTGGAAATCTAAACTTTACTACTAACAATCTTCTTATGTGTGTCAATGTCACAGTGTTATTAACGTTCGATCTCCTTTACATTCTGATAAATCTGAACTCTTATAATTACCAACCTCTATTCTATTCATTCACTATTCTGCACTACCTACCTACCTACCTTTCTTTCTTTTCTGTCTGTGTAAGCCGCCGGTGGGTTGCGGCGACAATTATCTTCACCTCTGACCTCAACGGCTGACCCCACAGGCAAAACTCGCACTCCGGCCCTTGACCACGCACACGCCGACTTTTCCGAGGATGACTTTTCATCTCACTCGAGTGATGATTCGCCACAAGACGAAGTTATTATCAGGAAAAACTCAAAGTCACACCCTCACAACAGGGTAATGACAGAATGGACTAGTATTATCATCAGTTAATAACTTTGTCGAATTATTAAATTGTGTATTTTTTATTAATACAGAACCTCAAACAAAAGATTGTGAATTTATTGAAAAAATTCAAACAAACTGAGGACGGGCATAGGAACGAAGCGAAAATTGGTGGACCAGTTGCTGATATTGACGAACTTTTCGATGAATTGGAAGGATTGTCAGATTCAGTAAGTTTAAAATTGATTTAAATGACAATGTTGATATATTTTTAACATGTTCACTTATTTTCGTTTTGTGTGCGTGCAGGAACCTGATGCAGATACCTTATCTGTTGGATCATTCCCCAAACCAGTACTTCCTCCTTTCTTTGCCTCTTCTAAATCCTTAGTGCAATACAGTAAGAATATTTGTTTTCTACTTTCATGCAAATGCAAAGTGCAAGTTGCACTTCTGTCAATGTTTTTTATAATCATTTGATTGAATCAAATATTTTCTTTTATCTATTTCCAGTTGACACAATTCCCGAGAAAAGTATTATTACATCCGATGAGCGTGGCGATTCCGATTCTTGGACTGAGCCAGATCAGCAATCTGGCGAATCTCCCAAATTGCACATGAAATCTCCCGGAGCTTCTCCTGGAAATATATCATCTTCCACTGTCCAGTCTCCTTCAGTTACTACGAGTACCAAGAATTTAAATTTGGGCACAATATCTGACCAACTTTCCAGGGTCTTACCCCCAGATGACGGGTTTCCAGATCTCATTGTGTTCGTGTCCCTCGAAAATAATGGAATTGGGGTCGGGATTTTCTCAGCTTTGACCAAGTACAATGTGAAAACTTTAGGAATTGAGAGGATAGAAAGTGATCTCAAAGTAGCGATGCCGCACATTGTTGGAAAAGTCCAAAAATTCTGCAACAACAATGCTAAACCTCCTCCTCCACTAAATATTGCGGTCGTAGGACCTGACTCATTCCTCAGTGCTGTTACCAAGCATTACGTTACTCAGTTGTCTTCTCGTCCACACGACTGGCAAAACTATTTTTCGTTCATTTACGCACCATTCTCAAGTGAGTTAATAAACACGACGGTTATTGATGTATACATAAGCTAAAATTATTTTACGTACATTACCGTTTTAGCTGGGGGTTCAGTGTGGAGACTTTTATGTCAAAGTGATCCTCAATACGTTCAGAATTTCAACGACTTTACTGAACGAGGCAACGCTGAGGAACTCGCTCTTCGAATTATTGCGTTTTTTAGCGTTGCAAAGGAAAGGAGACACATTGTACATCTGCCGATAGCGTAAGGCCATGAAATTCAGTCATTTATATATGAGATTTATATATGACAGATATTTATTTGCTGCTTTATTTATATTTCAGAGAAGCTATGATAACATATAAAGAAAGTGACGAGTCATCCCAAGTATTCGCGCCATGTACGTAATTTTGATTTGTATTTGTTAAACTGATTTATAATCTAAACGATTTATAATAATTTCTTTTGTACTATAATAGTCATTAGTGAGGTTCGTCTGAATGTTGGATACTCCTTGCAACTTACACCTGGGGATCAACAGCAACACCATCCAGACGGGGAAATTTCTCACCTATCTTCATCACCACCGTCTCCTCCCCACTCACCGAGAGGAGAAGAACCCCTCGAATTGCAGGTAGATTTTTGGAAGGGTACAGCCAAATCTTCGGTCAAAGCTTACTTTAGGAGCCTGAGTATCCAAAGGACTCAAGATAATGCTCTTTCGATATCGTACGTCCTCAAGGAGCAAAAGAAGCAAAAAAGTAAATTTTATGCAAAAAAGCATTTGAATGTGTTATCATTGTCATTCAAGTATACTAATACTACATATATTTTAGTAATGAGATTGGGGAAAAAGAAGGAACGAGAATCAGACGTAAAAAATCTCACTATGGATGGAATCTCAAGATTAGTCTGTCTATCTAAGTCGCAAACCCCCATGAAATGTAAGAAGCTTCAGTCTGTAGTTCTGTACATGTTTTGAATTCGCTAATCATGAATTTTTCCCTATATTTTTAGTATTCGTGGATGGTGCAGAATGGCCTGGTGTAAAATTCTTCCAAGGTATTATTTATATTTTATAACTTGTGGCAAAATCAAATCCTTAAATAAGTACACCAATTATGCTGTGACTAAATCTTTTAATTATATTCCTTACCAGTGTCTGCTCAGTGGCAAAGTCAAGTAAAGAACCTTCCTCTATTGGTCTCAGCCCACGGTAAAAATGACTCTGGATGAAAAACTATGATGAAGAACGATAATTTTCGCCCAAACCAGCTTTCATGAACTACTCATGCTTCTTGTAAATCACACAGGACCACAGTAGCATACATATACATACATATACAGTGTACTTATGTACATATACTGGTCAATCAATGTAGTAGTAAAATGTAAGTAGACAATAATAATTGCAAGAAATTAGAACAGAATTTGACTACGTAAAACGTTGACGATAGATAAAAGAAAGATTAAAATAGAATGAAAGGAAGACTATTGGTAAACAAAAAAAATTGTCAACTTTTCTCATCAGCTTGCAAAGCCTGTCGTATAGTCCTGTGGCTGTCTTCCTCAAAAATCTAGTCTGCTCATAAGAGATATGTAAAATGTGTATTCTGATATGATTTCTACGTGCTGAGATTAATAAACGATTTTAGATAAACCATTGTAATTTTTGTAAGGATTTAAATTACTATTTTATTATTGCAAAACTTGAATTAGTGAGACAAGGACAGACGAGGTTACCATTCATACTCCTATTTAATAAATACATATTCATAATACTGTGAACCCTGAACATTTTTCATATAAAATATAATTCTTGAAAACGAAAAAATAAATGCCAACATCAGATATCATCACAAAAAAGATTCCCAAACTGGATCTACATACTTTATCGAATTACATAAATATCTAGTAACTAAAAATATAGACACATAAATCGATGTACCCCCTTAAATCCACTTTTCCTTTTCGGTTTCATATGAATCTCTACTAATTAATGTATTATTGACGGGTGTCAGACTAGAACATTTCAGTTGAGTACTATTGAATATTTGCTCCAAATTATTAAAGAACGACACTTGAAACAATATCACTACGATGTGCGTCAGCACTACTTTGGTTGGAGAAATTTTTATCACGGATTTTAATTGAAATCGATTACTTCTGGGTCCATTATTTGTTATTATTATTATTATTATCCTAGATTCGATGATTTAATATGCGGGTTTTAGAATGATATGGTACTTATCAGAAAGTAATTACTCGATGGAATTCGAAATTTAAAAACTCTAACACTATGATTAGTGTGGAGATCGACCTGCTGAAAAATTCTGATTGTCATTTGTATCATTATCAATGACAGGATCACTACCATATTTTGAAAGGGCAAAAGGAGATGTGCTTGATCCAACGCCACTATCTAAAACTTGGGCGTTTTTGGAATTCCTCTCATTATTTCCCGAGAAATCATCCAATAGTGATGCTTCTCCTTTCGACAAGTCCAACTTTAAATTATTTCTTGTATGCCGTAGCTGTCCGAGAGTAGACATGGGTTGGGAAGATTGAAAATTGAATGGTTCTGTAGATGCTCGTACTTTGAAGGAATCTTCGCGGTCTTCTTCTTCTTCTTCTTCTTCATCTTCGAGGTCTACAAATATCAAATGAATAACAAGACGTTAGAACAGAACACGTTGCTACTGTGATAAATACTGTATGAATACTGTATAAATACTGTATCATAAATACACATTATATGAATCTATGTATCATTACCAAATCCAGATATTCGATACATTTCTATTGGATCTGCTTTATGAACAGTGACCACGTCCTCATCTGAATCATTTGGATTTACGGGGGCAAACTCTAACTCTTCCTGAGTAAGATCCCAGTCTAAAATGCATTACATAAAATAGTTTTTTAATACAGGTTTCAAAATACAGTTAGCCAGAGCTATGTCTTACCTAACGATGAATGTAAAGGAATTGTAGGAACTTTATTGGCGTTCCTAATTCCGTACAGATCCTCGTCAGCATCGCTTAGTAGCGGTGGTGGAGGATACTCGTACACAACTTGCCGTTTTTTCCTCTCAAAGGAAACGGATTTCTTGAGACTAGACTTTTGATCTTGGTGCGACACCTCGCTAATAGTTGAAGGTGATTTTATAGCAGGTCGTACAGGAGCTAAGCTTTGATTCCAGGTGGAAGGCACAAATTCTTTGCATGATGATAAAGAAGAGGGACCCGAACCTGCATCATCGTCTGGGAGACAATTTCCTCTATCTTCTTCCCTAGGGTGAGATTCTGTCTCTTTGATTGCTTCAGTGTCTGCGATAGGAATCCAGGGTTCGACAGAAGTGCGGTTGGATGGATGCAATGACGTAGTTATTGTTGGTTGATTCTTGCAATCTTCTTCAACAAATGCAAACTTTAACTTTACATCCACATCATTTTCAAGGTCCATGGGGTGTGACTCTGGAACCAGCTCTATTCTTCCACGGTCATCTTCTAAATCTTCCATGACTAAGCTGCCTAGTTCCTGATTCGCAGAATTAATATCTTCCACAAATTTATCCGCCGAGTCGACAGTTGGCGAGATCACTAATGTCATTCCAGCTGCTGTAAAATCAAATACAAAACGAAACTTCACCTTGGTCTTGGTTAATAAGTACGAAAAAGATATGTGTAGATATGCAAAATTATTTTGACTCGAATCAATAATTCAACTACAAACCTGCCAATAATGACTTTGTGTCTGAAGCTGCCGTTGTTAAAGATTGAATCTGACGACTCCAAAATTCATCCATATCCACATCAGGGTCAGATGGATTGACAGGTTTGAGTGGGAGGATTTCTAATTTTAGTGGGACTGTCTGACTTTTAGAAATTGACTTTAATTCGGGCGAACTGTCCAAATCCTGCGTAGACACTACGTCCCACGACGATCCCACATTTGATGAACGAACATAGCCGTTTGAGCTGCTAATATTATCCCATGAATCACCACCTGTTCATAATAAAAATGTAATTATGCAACTGTTAAATCTTTAAACGTCGTCTCATAACCTTGTTAATTTGTTGTAATTTGATACCTTCTCCATTAGTAGCCATGAATTTAGAGTCAAATCCTTTGGAATTCAATTTTGACGAGTGATTGCTACTGCCACTGCTTGCAGGTTTAGCGGTCAAAGGCGGTGGTTGTCGTTGTTCACTCGTAACATTCTCAGCGACAATGCCGTCGCTAAATTGATTATCTTTAAAATACTGTTTTCCATTACTACTAACTACTTTGCTATGTTTTTCTGGTGGTATTGACACAAAATCTTCGGAATTGTAATACGCATTTCCATTGTCCAACTGAGAAGTTGTTACTCCTTGGAATATTCCTAGAGTTTGGACAAGCAAGGAAAAAAATAAGACATAATATTATTTTGATTATAAAATCTGAATAACGTTTACTCACTTAATCCTAAATCGTCGTAACCGCCTAGTCCTACTATAGTCGTAACCCTGTAATTCAGAACATAATTAACTAATTATGTAATGTCAGTTAATTGCAAGTTTGATAATAAAATATTAATAAATTTATCGTACAGTTCTCCAGATTGCATTGCACTTCTTTCTCGTTTTATGCTGATCGGGCTCAAGTTGCATGTTTCATTAAGGGTAATATTTGCATTGGTACTTGTTTCATTTTCGAACACAGCGTCCTCAATGTGTCCATTGGAATGATTCATTGGCGGCATAGGAGAGGAGGACCCCGATCTTTTCGGAGTGCTCGTATGACGCCTTGGGCGTTGTAAGTTTTCAGTATTTTGTGGAAGGGAAGTTTCTCCATCATCAAATTTGAAGAAAACACGACGTTTATTGGGAGGAGTGCTGGAAGAGGTTCTTTGCAGTGCAGTGGTTTCTGTAGGGTTTGAGATCATGGACGATTCATCGCAATCGGATTCTGGTCTTGGACTTGCTACCGTGACACTTATATCAATATTCGTTAAATTAGGTGTATTTCCAAGAGTTGATTGTTGGGGAAAGGTATCAGAGTTGCTAATTACTGCATTTTGATTACGGCTCCTTGAATTAACATTCTTTTCTGATGAATGGCTCTTATTTAAATTACTGGTCTCAGATTGACTAGATGACGTGGAATCTTGCATTGGGACTCTGGATCCATCCGACGCTTGATACTCTGTACTCCGAGACGAGGAGGGGGACCATAAAGCATCAGCTGAAGAAGGTGTACCACTGTCATTTTCATTAGTCTTGGTATTAGGCCATGGAGGAGAAAATTCCTCTGGAGTACTGGTAGTAGGATTGTCGTTGTCCTGACGGGGGGTTAAGTCGGTCAAGCTTTCAGGTCCGTGAAGGTCACTGGGCTCCACATGCGTTAATACCATAAAATCTTGAACACTGGTAGTTTTCTGCATTACCTAAAATAATATACATGGCGGATTAATTTGAATACATGGCAAATATTACACAACTAGTGTACTTGAGTGCTCATATGTGTGACCTGACCACTAACCTTTTGTGCTATCCCACAATCGTCATCATCCTCTTCCATTTCTTTGAGCCATTTATCATCATCTTCAATATTATCCTGCTCAGTTTTGCTTAATAGTTGTTCAGTTGATGTTTCCCCTTGCTTGGTAGAATTCAGAGTTTGGTCTTGATCAAGCTGATCTGCAAGACCTTGTATCCCAGTAAAGCTCACACTCTTCTTGGCTCCGCGAGCTCGACCATCAAATTCTGCACTGCTGGATGACGACATCCTAGCACCGAGTCGTTCCCATTTATATTCAAATTCGTCATTTTTTCGATCACTCTGAAGATTATTCAATAGAGTTTGCAGTTTAGCAACGATAGTTGAGATTGCTGGTCTTTGAGTAGGATCAATCGACCAACAAGTCGTCATTAGTTGGTACAACTCGTCTCTAAATGGAATGTAAGGAAGAGTTGGTCCTCGCAGGAAATAGTTTTTCTCAAACAAAACTCGTGATATAACTTCTTCGTCGCTGAGTTCAAAAAACGGGAGCTTGCCAAACTCTGTGACTTCCCATAGGACGACGGCATAAGTCCAAATGTTTGAAGATGCTGTTACTTTTAGAGTTTGGATGGTTGAGGGCGTACAGTGAATTGTTTCTGGGGCTGCCCAGCGTAGTGGAATTGGTACATTTGAGTTCCAGTAGTAGTCATCTCTGAAAATTTGGGTGGCTAGACCGTAATCACCGATAACGATTCTTCCTTCACTGGCAACTTGACAATTGCGTGCGGCGAGGTCTGAATGCTTAAATCCAAAATTTCCCATCCATTCCAAACCTTTTGCAATGTCTACGTATTAAATAGGGGGAACCATTAATTATCAAAAATAATTAAATTATTAATTAAATAAATTATATATATTATCATGATATGTTAATTAAAAAATCAAATCCAATTTACCCAAAGCCATGTTCAAAATGACTCCTTGCGTACTTAGTGTTTCTGCACGTGTCACATTGGAGATTAAGTATGATTTTAAGTCTCCTTGAGGGCAATGTTCCATAATCAAGAGGAACGGTAGTTTTTCGATGGAATGACCCAACAATTTTAAAATATTGCCTTGATTAGCATCTCTATAAATCCTACTCTCATCCAAAAAGCGCATTTGATCCAACTGACTTGCTTCTTGCTTCAGGCGTTTCACGTAAACGCGAATTTTTTTGGCGAATGGTACAATATCTTTGGCTTCAGCTTCTAAAACCTATAACGCACAAAATTTAAGTAAACCTTAAATATTTATTTATTGACAAATATTTAAATGAAGCTATTTATACCTCTCCAAACCACCCTGTGCCAATTTCCCTAATAAATTCCAAGTTATTTCGTTGAAAGTTTCGATATGGCTCATCTAAAAAAGACCTACATGTACACTGATTTTTTTCGAATTAAATTAAGAAAATGTATAATGGTCATACTTACCAAACCAATCGTGGGCATATAATTCTGAATCTTCATTTGCAAATGGAACGATTACAGCCGGACTATGAAAGTGACCTTCACCCGACATTGGCAAATATCTTCCCTTCGTATGTCTCTTGTCCTCGGAAGTATTCATTTGATTTAAGGATAGCGGCGACAAATCCTGAATGGTCGGAAGAGGTTCAAACACTACGGGATCCAATTCTAGGGTCCGTACATCAATTTGCGATAGTGGAATCGAGCTTCCATGGTTCAAGCCCAATTCCGCAACGACAGGATTGTCAAAACTAGTTGGGGCTTGTTGTCGTTGTCCAGACCTTCCAAACCACTGGAAGAAAAACATAGCAAACTTAACATGAAACCATATTTCAAATAATTATTTGGTATAAATATTTCATACGTACGTAGATCTTGGGCAACACAACTCCACAACATCCCCTCCCAGCTCCACATGTGAATAAGATGGAGATAAGCGTAATGACGGAGCAGATAGATAAGAGAGATAAAAATATCCAATAGTTATCTCCAGTAGGAATACTATGATCTAGACCTGTAATATAAATAAATATTATATAATGAAAATCCAAATAGCATGCGAACCAGTGCCTTAAATAAGAGTAACAAATAAACACGTACCTGACGACGCGTCTGCACTAATTCCGTCATTGGAAAAAGGTAGTCCCTCCGTTATAGTAAATAAAAAATATAGAAATAGGAATGATAAACTTGTCGCAGTGAAAAAGGGATAAATAGCTGATTTTGCCATGTTTGATTTACACAATTAAAAAAATTGATCAGTTCTCCTTTGAATTGTGCATGTTTAAGCTGGCCCTATCATTGTGTCTTTGCTTGTCTGCAGTTATCTTATGACAAGGTAGGACTCTTATTAAAATTAGCTACGTTAAACTAACTGACAGTTGTAACTAATTGTGAATGGAGAATATGAATAAAACTGATTTCTTAGCCATTGCCTTTGCCTTCAAATTGCCCACGAGTCTCTCAATCGCTCTGACATATGTGCTTTCATACACTTGCATAACCTAAAATTAAGTCTCTCAAACAATTTTATAGTACTTTTTATTATTTTTTTATACTTTTTACTTTACTTTCGTTTATTTTACTTATTTAGCCATCATCACGCATTTATTGAAAATTATCTGGTAATGATAGTAAAAAAAAGTCTCGTGTTTGGGAAATGCGAGACACAAAATCAAGCCGCCTTTGTTTTGTGTCTTACAATTCCTAATTCATTTAGTTATAAAATTTAAAAGAAGTTAATTGTTTACATGAATTGCTTTGTAATAGCAGCAGTTAACTGTTGGACCGGGTGGCTGGTGGACAGAAATTCTAGACAAGCGAGTAAGCACTTTATCTCTCTACTGAATTTATTCAGTACCTGTAATCTGCTTGCTAAGCAGTTCTTTAATGATTAATTAATTAGTTGATGGTTTGGATTTACAGAAGTGACCAGCTAAATCGAACTTGTATCATTATGCATTATTGAACGAAGGATTGTTAATTAAACAGATGATACAACTTTCAAATCAATTTATATAAACTAAGGACAAGACGAATCCATTGAACAATGACGACATCGTCCTTGTCCCCACCGGGCGAAGACGTATTATCATCAACATCCCGAACTGACCTGGAAAAAGAAGAAGAATTACTGCGGAGAGAGTTGGTCGTGTTTGGCAAAGACCTGGGAAACGTTCCCTGTTTTAGAAATAGTTTCTTGTACGGAATCAGTGGTGGGTTTGGAACAGGAATCGTGACCTTTGCCCTTTCAAGTAAGATAAAGACGGCAACAAAGACAGGATTTTACTCCTACGTGGGTATCACCTTATCATACTGGATATACTGTCGGTACAACTATACGATGACAAAGTTCAAGTACACCCAGCTCAAACACGCCATGGACCGAAGTGCTCGGATGGAGGGGACGGTACACGAAATGCCAAGGAGCAAATTATTGTAATAATTATTACATGTAAATTAAAATTTTAATTACTAGTCGCGTCAAATAGAAAACATAAATTAATGTACCTAAGAATTAGTTGAAGATGTGGTGTAATAAACGTGAAACAATTCATAAAGTATTACTGATTTATTTAATTAAGTTTGTTTAGTGAACTACTTAACAGCATATGATCATTTTCAAGGTATAAAGTCACAACTTTTGTATGTATACTTAAATACTTCATTATAAACGAAATAATATGTGAGTGATTTGGGAGAATACATAAAATGGATTTTATCGAGGAAACATTTAATTTAGCATGTTGATGTATAACAAATGTTGATATTTTTGATGCTCCAGTTAAAAATTAAAACTAGATTAATCCGTAGACATTTTCTCCGCTTCGGAGGTTACTTCGCATCGAACAGGTTCCATAGTTTGACCTTCTGGGAGCACGAGTACTTTCGGTCCATATAGTAAAACATATGCAATGTGCCAATCCCCACCTCCGGAAAGTTTTAAAATGTCCTCGGAAGTTACGGGATTCACGTTGTCATCATCGCACATGATCCAAACGTCATCCTTGTGCTTGATCCATGCTACGTAATGTCCAGAGTTTGAAGTTCGACCTTTATGAGTAAGAACGGCCTGCAACTCGTATAGTCCAGAATTATTTGAGCCAGGATCTATAATAGTTCAAAAGTAAATATTAGTTGTCAGATATCATGTTTATTTATTCACATCGAATATTATTTAATAGAAACTTACCATCTGCGAATTGAAAAGGTATAACCTGTCCAGTCTTGGATTTATTTTTTTCTTTTTCCTCTAGACTCATTTTCTTTGCTGCTTCGGCATCATCTATTTCCTTAAACTTTTCCCTCATGGGCAATAACTTGTCTTGAAGTCGTTTAGTGCAAAGATCATACGCGTCAAAAGATAAGGGAAACTTGACATCACGTAACATTTTCGCATTCGTTGCCGACCTTTCCTTGTAAGAGAAAAGAATAAAACAGAAATATAGTTGTAGTTGCAACAAATATGACATAAAAACCATTAAAGTTATTTCATGCTACCCAACTTACTTTATAGTAAAAGCGAACCATTTGGACGGTAAGGTAGGCAGGAAGTCGATCCACTTTAGATGTTTTCGTGTACAATGCATCCTTGTTAAGACTCGGAGAATTTTTCGTTATCTTTTCTACCAATTTGCTCACCATCCCAGATTGCATGTATTTCGTATCTTCCGATATAAAGCAGCTCAGTTGCAAAAACTTTTCTTCGCTCTTTATCACATCTTCTGCTTCAGCTTCGTCACACTTCATTTCGACAGAGAATTTACCTCCAAAATATTCATCGATTACGGAATCATACTTTTTTCCACTCTCTTCGGCCGGGAGCTTTTGTTGAAGCATTCGAACCACTTCTGTCCACAACCTAACATAATAAATTGCACATTAAGTCAAGCAATTGTATTATTATTACATGACTTTTGTTTGATTTTAATCACTCATTCGCATCCTGCTGCTGAAACACATTTCCTTCCCCCCTCTCAGCAAATCGTGGAAATGCATTGTGAAGGGTTTGTAACAAGATAATCGGTGGTAGCGACATTCCTTTATCCATGGCGTTGTAAAGGTCCCTGAGTGCTGCAGTGATCGCAACTGCATTTTCTTCTTGGCCAACTCCACCAGAAAACTTTTTTAGAGACTGGGTCAATGGTGGCACCGTTTTGAGACACTGGATCGTCGCGTTCATGTAGCAAGTGTTTCCTAAATTTTGAAGTCCAAGAGGCAACTCCATCTAAAAAGAGACACAGACACAAATCAATGTCTATAGTACAAATTATCCTGCACTTCTTGTACAGAGTAATTGTTAAGTAATTTACAGCAGATGCCAATTCGGTCTCATTCATATCCTCCATAAACTTGATTTTCTCGGGGGGCGGACGTGAAATGTCCTCTTCTTTCGACCCCATGAGCAGAACTGGTACTTTCGGTGCGATGGGAAAACTATCCCAACTCTCGCCTAGCGTCTTTCCTTTCACCATGATCTGATCAAATTAACAAAGTTATCATTAAATACATTAAACTTTAACCCTGAAGGCAAAGAAGAAACCCTGAAGATAAAATTATCAAGGAATTAAAACGGATAAAACGTTACCTTTTGGCGTTCAGGCAAAACTCCCGTCAGGGCGTACAATTGGGCTTTGAAGACCATCGGGTCATCGTCCGTATTAACGTCGACATCCTTATACGTCTCCCGTCCCCATTTCACACTAACTGGAAACCACAAGAATGAAATTATTCAGAGATTAGTAAATTTCTTAATAGTACGCAACAACAATTACCTAACTAATCATTGCACAGTAATACCACAAATTTTTACATATTATACAGTTTATTTGAAAATATACCTGGAAAAGCCGGCATTTTCTTGCAAAGATAATCTCCTCCTGTTTAACCCGTCGCGTGTAATACCACTAAAAATCCTACAGTGACACTAAAAACAAACCTTCTCAAACTAATCTTTACTTCATAAATTTTTTATGAATCACGCAAGTTAGTTAGTTATCGACTCAATCTAAATATTTTTGTAGCAACGCAACAACGCTGACAGACAACTTTTTGCTAAAATTTATTCTCACCACCACGTTTTTACACGCAGAGTTTAGTTTGACGAGGTTGGCAAAGGTACACGCCGGCTATGAAAAAATATTCATGAGGAAATATGCATTTCAAATTTTTGAAAAAAAAAATTGATTTTCAGATATTTTTGATTGATTGATTTTTGGTAAAATGAAATTTATGAAATATTCAAAAATATTTGGAATAAGTTGAAATTTTGAGATCTGATTGTCCATCTGCTTCTGGAAAAATCTCGAAATAGTTACCTAATTTTATTGCTCCTATTTTTGAACCATAATTCAATTTAGCGCAGAGAGGCGGATGTTTGGACACATTGTTAAAAGTGCTTGCTGCACCATCAATTTGCATGTTGCATATTACATGAGACATGAAAAATGCGAGATGCAACAATGAAATGAAACAAGTAGCTGAGACGCTAGTTGTGAATTTGTAATAGCCAAATTCTGACGTACGGTCACTTTCTCTTTCCTTTTAGCTCATCTCATTGCTCACACAAGACACAAGACGCAATTTTACACTGTTGGTTCAATTGTGTAGATAATATCGACCGATTTTTTGTAATAACACATAATGAACGCCTGACTAATAATAGCATCGCATAATAACTGCCAGATTTTTTTACCATGATTTATTTTTATTTAGTAACATAATGCAAGTGAAACGGTCGGGATCATTAATAAATCATCCATATTAAATACGTCTCCATTCGAATTTCGAATTGACATCAGGTGGGCGTAGTGTTTGTCGGGTGCAAGTAATCACTTGGGAGAAATAACTGCAAGAAAGTGGTTTATTGCAGGTATTTTGACCTGCAAGAAATGCAAGAAACTGCGCCCGGTCGCTATACTTGACTCCGCGCATGGCGTGATGGCGCATATTTCTTGCGCTTTCTTGCACCTCGCATTTCTGACACTTTCTGACTTTGCAATGCAAAAAATCAATGTAGCAAATCCGCAAAGAAACGAGACACTGGGGGTTTGGGTTATACATAAATACTTTTTGATATGAAAAGTAAATACGAATGAGAATCTCAACCCAAAGAACAAAAAGATTAATTTCCAAGTGGTGCACGAAATTTCATTTTCTTAGTTTAATTTCTCTTAAAATTGATATGCATTATAAGGTTCAGATCAGTTTAAAGATTCTAAACACAGTTTTTCCTGTGTTTAATGTCCTTCATTAGACCACAATTCGTCACGAGGGTGCATAAATGTCAAGCAAACATTAACAGACGCTTCATGATGAGATGATATACACTGCATTATTATGCAACAGGGTGCACTTAACAATGACTGACAGTAAGAATGAGCTGCTAAAAGTACAATAATGCAGCTGTCACTACATATTTTGTCTTTGTTTTTATTAACTTTCATTATCTTTAGTTGTATGTATGTACTTACGACCAATAATATAGGTAGGAAGGAAGCTGTAAGAATGTTGTAATATACAGTCTGGCATCAGTCAGTCAGTGGTTATAGCACTAGTTTGATTGACTTACAATCACAATCACTTTTTCGATGGCCTATTATTAAACTAGTGTGTAGCACAATCATCATTTAGTTACATACATTTCGTAGGAATATGTAAATAAATGCAAACTGCATTCTTTTTGATGTCTGCAGAACAATGGGAGAACATCGTACGTACGTATTACTTCACGTCCTCCTTTCACACGTTTTTAGTCGTGAGGTAGTCGTAGTAGTCCATTAGATTATTTATTACTTTTAATATTTACTTCCTACGGAAGTGATCGCTTTTTGTGGGATACATGTAATGTAATTGGGTAGATAAGTACTTATGTATTTACTGCGCATAACAAAAAAGACTATCCAAATAAGGTTGCATGCATTACATAAGTCATGAAATGTAAGTACATTTATTACGTTCAAATTATTTTAAACAGTTTATTTTATTCCAAAGTTTTGTTGAGATTCAGGCAAGTAAAAATGACACTGGATACATTTCCTTGAAAGTATTGCAACAAAGCTGGCTCCTTCCAGCCAAGAGAGTTTCTTTTTCCATTAAAATTCCTTGGGTAGGGCAATTGACCCAAATTCACCCAAGGGTACTCATTCATTGTTATTCTGTTTCGGTTGGGATTTTAATGTCAGGATTTCAAGTGAAAATAAGAGTGACTCAGGGATGAATGTATTTATTTATGACAGGATTTTTACGACAGGATGATGTGCATAGGTTTCCCTTTCAATCCTACTCCTTGAAATTGATCCCTTCATATTTTTCATGGCATAATACCCATTATTTTCAGAATTGTGGATAACTTAGCCTGTGTACAAAGCAATTTCTAACTATGTTATGTAACATAATATTCCAATATCTCATTTTTAATGAGACTATGAGACTATGCAACTAGATCCTTGTTCTGCATGAAAATTCAAACAATTAATCAATTATACAAATATGTTAATCGTTCCTTGATGAAACTTGACATTATAACCAGGAAGGAAGGTACTTGGACACGTAAATGCATCCACACAACAATGCCAAATTAGACTGGTTGGTAAGCTATTATGCAGTTTTAGCATGCATTGATGTCAGGATAAATATGCCTGAGCCCTCCTCCTTATCCTATTTTGTGAGAGGAGCCTAAATCCTATTTCACTATATGCGTATCCAAATATATGTGATCTCTTGAGAATATCATTCATTGTATCGATTGTGGGATGAAAGGGAAATATTATAAGGATCGAATTTTTAAGGTAGCAGCAGAGCAGCATGAATAGCGTCCTATTCCTGCGTAGAGCTTATATTTACGTAGACCTGTGGTGACTGGTAGTTGGCCAAGCATTGTTGTGGAGGAAGGACGTTGGTTTGGCAGAGTCCTCGTCGTCGTCGTCGTCGTATGTAGCAGCAGTAGAAAGTGGCCGAACACATTTTCACTCCTATTAAGAAGACGAATAAATTAACAAATTATTATGCATCCCTAGCACTACTGACTGCATCTTATTCGCCCAATAACAACTATAACAAGTTTATCAATAACGAACTGCAGCTGCCAAATCATCAAACTTGTTACATATATTTACTGCATGCGTTTATGCACACTTCCAACAACTGGAGAACGTCCAGTCCAGGGCACCGTGTAAAGTGAAAGTGATACCGGAAGTGGTCGAAACCGTGTGTGAACGGAGGGGTGTTTTTTTCGGGAATTTGTTAGTGTTTAATGTTGTAATTATTAATGACAAGAACTTCATGTCGGAGGTGAATACGTGTTTGTTTGCATGATAAAAATAAATGAAAATGGGCTGGATAACTACTGCTTCGATGAGACTGAGTAACTCGATCGTTCCAGTTTTAGGAATTCAATTCCTTCTCTTGAGCAGCTTGATAAATTTTAATCACAATGTTTCGTGTGCCCCGTCGCTGAAATTGTTTGGCATCCAACGCACACAAGGCAAAGATCATGTTCCTCCTGCGAACGGTCACCTCCAAGCCAGCAAGTATTTAATTGGATCAAATTCAAATGCGAGTTCGAATCATTCAAATGGGAATTCTGGAGAGTCGCAAGAGTACACGAGGCATTTGAGAAAAGTTTTGCAGGAAGATAAGGTAAATTTTGGGAAAGATTGACATGTAATGTCAAACAATGCAGGCGAAAACTTGCATTACAAAAAATGTGTACACATGTATGTACATAAGCTGAAAAGAGCAAGCGTGGGGCATGGGTAGAGGCAGCTACAGCTTCAGCCGTTGTGCCATTTGCATGAAAATGGCTAAAATTAATAATTGAATGAAAAATTTTCGAGTCCTACTACGGAATTATATTTTTAAGAATGAAAAATCGAATTGTATTAATTTTTATAGAAAAAATCATTTAATAATTAATTAGTGTCTAATTAAGCGAAAAGCGAACATATCACATAATGCCTTTTGTATTTGTCGCGTATTAGTGATTTACATATTGAGAAATTCGATTAGAAATGAAAATATTTGGTCAAACACAACCACAATGAGTTAGCGGAAAAAAATCTTGCAATTGCATGAGTGCCCTTTAATAATTCCTAAATTTACCTTATGAATTTTACTTTATGCATAATCGCATGATTAACTATTGCATAAAAGCTGTAAAAAACTACGTCTACATTTAAATGCACTTTTCTAAATTGCAGTTCCGAGGTCTTGCTGAGCTTCTCAAAAAGCCGACAGATCAATGCCAAGATTGTAGTAAGTTAAAACTCATAATTTTAAAATTAAACCAAGTGTAACATGACGGGGTTAAAAATACTTTAATACTTTGTGCAGCATGTGGCCTGAGCTACCGAGAGGAAAGAATTGTGGGTGGGACGGTGGCCGAAATAAATTCTTACCCTTGGCTGGCAGCCCTCATGTATAAGACAAAGTTCTACTGTGGAGCCACGCTCATCAGTGACAGATATGTCCTCACTGCGGTATGCACATAATTAGTTGGTATCAATTGATGCATTATGCGAAATTAATAAAATCTAAAAAAAACGATAGGCTCACTGCGTCCACGGTGTTCCCAAAGACCAAATCACGATCGTGTTTGGCGAACATGACAGAAACTTTACGGACGAATCGGACACACAGTACAGGAAAATCGGGACCATTATCCGACGTACATACTTTTTACGCAAAAAAATATTGCATGCGTACTATGAAATATAATGATTTTTGTCCCATTTTTAGATCCTGGCTTCAATCGGGCCAATTTTCATCACGATATTGCACTGTTGCGACTGGATAAACCGTTTCGCTTCAGTAAATCTATAGCACCAGCGTGTCTCCCGGTAGATTTGGGTATGCGTAAAAATTCATTATGCAGGAATGCATGTACAAGTATGGATTACTAGAATTCTAACAATTTATGTACGAATGTCAATCATGTAGAAGATGAAGACTTTGCCGAAGAAAGGGGGACAGTTGCTGGATGGGGGCGAACGCAGGAGAAGGGGAGACCCTCCCACATTCTGCGCGAGGTCGAAGTTCCTATAATGACTAACGAGGTTGTAGTTCTATAAGATGTGCATATTTTCTTACTGGTCTAACCTGGAAGTGAATTTATTATGTGTGATTATTATAGGAATGCAAAGTTTCTACAAACTATCAAGCCAAGGAAATTACAGATACGATGATGTGCGCTGGATATCCGGACGGGAAGCTGGATGCGTGTCAAGGAGATTCAGGTATGTGTTTATTACTTATTACATAATGATTGGGATTGACGAATAAGACCAATATTTATTCGAAACATTTTAACTTTTAGGTGGCCCCTTAAATTGGGAAGACTTGCGAGAGGATAGCAGCACTGAGGGGACAAAGTATGTGATTGGCATTGTAAGCTGGGGTCAGGGCTGTGCAAGGTAACTCACACAATTAAAAAGATTCATGCAGGGCTATTTCTAACGATATCTGAAATTACGCAGGTCAAATTATCCCGGGGTGTAAGTGTGCCTTAAAATGTCTTATCATACGTACAATGTAAGATAACTTATTGTTTTTGACTAATTCTAGGTATACTCGAATCACAAAGTACATGGAATTCATTAGAAAGAACACGCTGGACTCCTGTTACTGCCATAATCCGTAGTTATCTAAAGATAAGGACGGATTGTGACGTTAGCATGAAGTTTTAATTTACTACAATGAAGTAGTTAAAAGTAAAACCTTGTGAGATTCAGCTACTTCCATATTTACTCCACGCCTTGTATGAAAACGATCTCATGTCATGCAACTTACAATATTATTTCTACTATTTGAGGAGATGGTTTTAATTATGAAATCCGATTCAAGTTTCCAATAAAATGCCATAAAGACTTTACAGCCTTCTCCTCATATAAGTAATAAACTAGCCCTAGTCAATGTTCCCTGTTATTTGTTACGTTATCTTTAATTTCTCTTTATGATTTTTGATGTGTCAAGCATAAATGCGTTGAGATACTTATTTCATACTTTCATGTTATCAAAGGGTCGGGTTCAGGTGGGGATATATAGTGATTATTTGTTTGGTATCGACTTGGGTAAACTTACAATATGTTAAATACACACTTTTGAGCTCATCTATGAACAAAAACATAAAATTTACTTGGACATGTTTCTTCAGTTATACTTTATAAATAATATAAAATAAATTGTTTTGAATATTCATCTAATTAAATAATAACAGTTTTATCTAAGGATTTATTTATTTATTGAAGACTAACTACATGATTAGTTCAAGCTATAAAGTATGATTTGGGTTTCTTATTTTTGCTATGTTTGAGGTTCGGGGTAGTATTCTAACAGACGAGCAAACTAATAACTGCTCCATACATACATAAATGCTCGCTTTCATATTCTATCCTGCACATAGAGTGTATATTGCACGGAACTAGTATAAAACATGGCATGAAAAAGTTGGAAATATATTCTTTGCATAGATTTGTTTCTACCTTTGGCTGGCTAGCTACATAGTTACTCGAAATTATTTTCCAACCGACGATAAGACGCTCCTGACGAGGATGATGATCTTCTGCGACTTCGTTGTCCCCTGGGTTTTCGTCCCTCGACAATATAGGCCACGAGCTGCAAATAATGAGCATATTAAAATATTAAAATTAGGGTATGCACTAAAGTGTAATTGTTCAATTAACTCAATAATCTTACCCAACGTTTGTTGTGAAATGCCAAGAAGCACAAAGCCAAGATCGTTAGAAATAGGATAAAATAATTAAAATATCCTCCAGACTCGATGTTCTCAACCTCCACGTTTGGTTGATACTTGAAAGTTTCTTTTCTATTGGGAGTGTCCTGCAGGTTGTTTTTATCGGCAGGTCGGTCGCCGTCATTCGGCTTCTGCTTATAATTTGGAATATCATCATCGTTGTTGGTATCAATTGGTGGCATGTCATCACCGGGATCGCTCACTTCAAGATTTCCGGCCTGACCGCCCTCCTCGTAATCGGCAGTATTCTCCGATTGTACTGGCGCTGTGTCATATTTATTATCCAACGGTGGTTCTTTGTTTTGTGTTGAAGGCGAATCAGGAGCAGGGTGTTGGTCACCGGTTGGGTTTCCATCCTTTGAATTAATAACAGGCAGAGGGGATGATGCCTTTGTGCTTGGTTGATTTTTACCGTCAGTTTTAATCACCGGAGGAGGTACATCTATAGGATCTTTGAGATCGGTCAAAGATGAGGTTGAACTAGAAGAAGAGCTCATTCCTCCTCTCAACTCGTATTTTGAGGTATGCTTAATTTTGTCCAATGGTGTTTTGGGGGTTGAAGACCCTGCTGCTGAAGAACTCTGGCCTTTTATCGGTAACTGTTCCTGTAAAACATTAATTATATTTAGCATGGGAATTACTATCACTGTTTAACATTAACAGAATAAAACTACGAAATATTTAGTAATTCCTTTACTTTCACATCTTCATTCGTGTTCTTATTCAGGAATACTGGGTCCTTCCTCTTCGCAACGACGACACTGGCACTACTTCCCAGATTGGTCCCCACATCGAGAGCTCCATTATTTTTATTTCTTTCAGTTGAAGGAACTGGAGGGGACTGCGAAGTACTGGAGGAGAGTCTTCTAGCAACTAATGAATTGTAGGCAATACTTGATATGTTTAAGACAATACATAGTGGATTGAGTTTTAAAGCAGCATCTCCTCCTCCGAGGGGGTCATCCGGTTCAGGGTAGTTGATCTGACACACTGACTGACAACTCCCTTTGTGGGTTTGTGCATCTGCGGGGAAAAAGGTCGCATACAAATTTTGCAAGTCAGGCTTTGAATCCTTTCTTCGTTCTTGGGTAGCTTTGAATAACTCGTTGCAAACCGCATCAACAGGTTTGTCCTTTACTTGTGTGATTTCTCGACTCAATGAAACGTTGGTAGTAAAGTTGGGTGTTAGATATTGAGCAAGATTATAGTTTTCGGTCGAGTCACAAATAGAACTCAACAAATCCGCAATTAGAATACAGAGGGGTCCGCTTTCCGACTTTTTATAGTCTTCAGATGTCTGATTGCATAAACTATTCAGTTTTCTGATGTGTGGACCATCTTGGATTATTTCAGCCTCATTGAACGGGAACATACACTTTTTACTGTGAGAGTTTTGCAGCAATTGACCGAAAACTGTGCTGTTAAGTTTTCTTTCTTGAGAATCCTTCTCCGGAGGTGGAGGTAGGGCCGATAAGGAAACCGAAGAGACAATTGACCAATAATGACTCGTTACCAGAATAAGCACCAATATGACGAAGCTATTAGACGCCATAACGTTCTTCTGGAAATCAATAAGTTTCACTGCATCATCCACTCCAGCAACTGCCAAACAGGAACTGCGAATTGCTATATAATAAAGTTTACATTACAATAATTTACCACTTTATTTTACCGTATTGTAAATTTAAAAATAACAAAAACTCACGCGCTAATTAATCCAGACCAGTTTTAATCTTCAATCTCGAACCTCGTCGTTCTTTAAATGTACAAAACTTCAATAATATAAGCTGAAACCATCCAATCAGTGTTAGTACTGTTTTTCCATCGGTTGATCAAGCCATGTCCCCTGTCCTAAAAAAATAAGTTACATCATCAAATTAACGCCGAACGAAAAAAATTAATATTTACATATACTTATAACTAATCATTAAACTCTACTCTCTAAATATTATCCCTATTACTATTACTACTATATGTTATCACAACTTTTTAAACTAAAACAGACAAATGTGCTTGCTAAATACTGGAAAATTATTGCAATTAATAATAATTATTATTAACCAAATTTACCTTTCTATTTTAGCTCTGAATCATTTTCTGAATCAGCAAAATCAAATCCCGCTCTCTTTATTGCTCTATTGCTGCCAATCTCGTCCTATCAAAATGCAAGATTCGCACAATATTTTCCGGAAATGCAAAATTAGATTTAATACAAATTGCAACAATTATTTTTCAGAGACAATAGAAATAAAAATTATTCGAAATTCATTAACCTTCATAAAATTATTCCAGGTTATTCAAAGGAATCTTTATTCATGTGGGTGAACCAGTTTCCATGAAATCATCACAGGCATCGGATTGCATTGGACAAAGAGAATTTGCATTGGTGGGAATGTCCTGCTGGCCGTTGAAACTTCGGCTTCAGTTTCATAGCATCCTCAACTCAAAGAAGTGACGGCCGACGGGCAATTATATAATTGAGTGGATTTTAGTTTAAAATTACTTATCTACTTGCTTAATTTGGGGAGTTTGCCGGTGAGTGTGGAGAGATAAGCTCAAGCATGGCTTTCAGCAAGGCTCCTGTAAAACGGTTTAACGAGGAAACAGGTAAAAAAAACTGGTAGAAATTGCCAAAAATACGGTTGAATTTTGTATTTTTATTTGTGATTTATGAGGTAATATTATTAATAATGGGAAATAACAATGATGTTGACATGCTCATTAATAATTATGTTATAATTGTGAGCAGGGATGCTATGATTTTGTTTATTTTTACGGGTTTCATATTACAAACTTATGTATAATTGTATAAACACAAGAAATGGAATTATTTATAACATAAATATCTCTTGTAGCTTGTCACTTGTGTCCTTTTGGAACATTTCTTAAAATAGATTCCCTTTTTGATTTGTGACTTATTTTCAAATTTATAAATAACAATTTAATATCTAGATCTCCTTCAGCTACTGATAACTAACGTGTAATGATAATTATTGATAATTTGGATTTAATTTAAGGATGTGCTCCACCCTCCACAAAATACAATGTAAATCGGGAGCCGAGTGTCAAAGGGGCCATGGCGTTTGAACTCTACAGTGGCAGGGATGCTGGAAATATGGAAACTGGCAGTTGCGAATTTCTAGGTACATATAATCACAAATTCATTGGGTATCGTGTTACATTGTAAATTATTGCATATTTCATTTCCATAATAGTTCCAGTTACACCAGGAAGAAGCCGAAAGGTAGTTAAAAGTAAGCCAAGTTCGAGATCAAATTCAGCTGCCGGAAGCAGGTCACGGTCGAGTTCAGTTTCTAGTTTGAGACAAGAAGAAAGGTGGAATGGCGAGCGATCGTCCAAGCCGAACTTGCTTGAAGAGAATGAAGCACTCAAGATGGAAAAATTTGCACTTGAAGAAAACTACGCTAATGCGCTGGCGGCGAAGGATGAAGAAATAATAGCTAAAAATGCAGAAATTATTAGGTACAACGAAGAAATCATGGTGAAAGATGCAGAAATTTTGAAGAAAACTGAAGAAATAAGGGCGAAGGATGCAGAAATAATGGCGAAAAATGCAGAAATTATTAAGAAAAATGAAGAAATAATGACGAAAGATGAAGAAATAACCACAAAAAATTCAGAAATAATTACAATAAAAGAAGAAATTATGGTTAAAGATGCGGAAATTTCAGCAAAATGTACAAGTTTGAAGGAAGTACAACTGCAGTATAATAACGAGCGGTCATCCATCTCGCACTTGCTTGAAGAAATTGAAACACTCAAGACTGAAAAACTTGAGCTTACTCAAAGATACGCCTACCAGGTCGCGGCGAAGGATGAAGAAATTATTGGGAAAAAGGAAGAAATCATGATCAAAGATGCAGAAATTTTGGCGAAAGATATCAGCTTGAAAGAAGTTCAACTACAGTATAACAAGGAGCGGTCATCCAACTCGCACTTGCTTGAAGAAATTGAAACACTCAAGATTGAAAAACTTGAACTTAATGAAAAATATGCCTACGAGGTCGCGGCTAAGTATGAAGAAATAATAATGAAAAATGCAGAAATTACGACGACAAACGAAGAAATCATGGCAAAAGATGCCGAAATTGTTGTGAAGAACGAAGAAATTTTAGCGACAGGTGCCAGCTTGAAGGAACTTCAACTGCAATATAATAATGAGCGGTCATCCAACTCTCTCTTGCTTGAAGAGCACGAAGCACTCAAGATTGAAAAACTTGAACTTGCTCAAGACCACGCCAAGCTGATCGCCGAGAAAAGTAATAACTTGCTGGTCATCCAAACCTTACAATTAGAAATTGATCAGTTGGAGATCGACCAAACAAAGGAAGTTATTTCGAAAAACGAAGAAATAATGGCGAAAGATGCAGAACTAATTGCTAAAAATAAAGAAATCATGGCGAAAGATGCAGCAATAAAGGTAAAAGATGAAGAAATCTCGACAAAGGATGCAGAAATTATGGTTAAAAATGAAGAAATCCTGGTTAAAGATGCAGAAATTTCGGCGAAAGATGAAAAAATTATGACGAAGGACGCAGAAATTCTTGCCAAAAATGAAGAAATCGTGGTTAAAGAAGCAGAAATTATTGCCAAAAATGAAGAAATCCTGGTTAAAGATGCAGAAATTTCGGCGAAAGATGAAAAAATTACGACGAAGGATGCAGAAATTCTTGCCAAAAATGAAGAAATCATGATTAAAGATGCAGAAATTTTGGCGAAAGATGAAATAATTGCTACGAAGGATGCAGAAATTCTTGCAAAAAATGAAGAAATCGTGGTCAAAGAAGCAGAAATTATTGCCAGAAATGAAGAAATCCTGGTTAAAGATGCAGAAATTTCGGCGAAAGATGAAATAATTGCAACAAAGGATGCAGAAATTCTTGCCAAGAATGAAGAAATCGTGGTTAAAGATGCAGAAATTATTGCCAAAAATGAAGAAATTCTGGTTAAAGATGCAGAAATTTCGGCGAAAGATGAAAAAATTACGACGAAGGATGCAGAAATTCTCCCCAAAAATGAAGAAATCATGATTAAAGATGCAGAAATTTTGGCGAAAGATGAAATAATTGCAACGAAGGATGCAAAAATTCTTGCAAAAAATGAAGAAATCGTGGTTAAAGAAGCAGAAATTATTGCCAGAAATGAAGAAATCCTGGTTAAAGATGCAGAAATTTCGGCGAAAGATGAAATAATTGCAACGAAGGATGCAGAAATTCTTGCCAAGAATGAAGAAATCGTGGTTAAAGATGCAGAAATTTCGGCGAAAGATGACAAAATTACGACGAAGGACGCAGAAATTCTTGCCAAAAATGAAGAAATAATGGTTAAAGATGCAGAAATTTCGGTGAAAGATGAAAAAATTGCGACGAAGGATGCAGAAATTACTGCCAAAAATGAAGAAATCATGGTTAAAGATGCAGAAATTTTGGAGAAAGATGAAAAAATTGCGACGAAGGATGCAGAAATTTTTGCCAAAAATGAAGAAATCATGGTTAAAGAATCAGAACTTTTGGCGAAAGATGAAAAAATTGCGAAGAAGGATGCAGAAATTCTTGCCAAAAATGAAGAAATCCTGGTTAAAGATGCAGAAATTTCGGTGAAAGATGAAAAAATTGCGACGAAGGATGCAGAAATTACTGCCAAAAATGAAGAAATCATGGTTAAAGAATCAGAACTTTTGGCGAAAGATGAAAAAATTGCGAAGAAGGATGCAGAAATTCTTGCCAAAAATGAAGAAATCATGGTGAAAGATGAAAAAATTGCGACGAAGGATGCAGAAATTCTTGCCAAAAATGAAGAAATCATGGTGAAAGATGAAAAAATTGCGAAGAAGGATGCAGAAATTCTTGCCAAAAATGAAGAAATCATGGTGAAAGATGAAAAAATTGCGAAGAAGGATGCAGAAATTCTTGCCAAAAATGAAGAAATCATGGTGAAAGATGAAAAAATTGCGACGAAGGATGCAGAAATTCTTGCCAAAAATGAAGAAATCATGGTTAAAGAATCAGAACTTTTAGCGAAAGATGAAAAAATTGCGATGAACGATGCAGAAATTATTGCCAAAAATGAAGAAATCATGGTGAAAGATGAAAAAATTGCGACGAAGGATGCAGAAATTCTTGCCAAAAATGAAGAAATCATGGTTAAAGAATCAGAACTTTTAGCGAAAGATGAAAAAATTGCGATGAACGATGCAGAAATTATTGCCAAAAATGAAGAAATCATGGTTAAAGATGAAAAAATTGCGACGAAGGATGCAGAAATTATTGCCAAAAATGAAGAAATCATGCTTAAAGATGCAGAAATTTTGGAGAAAGATGAAAAAATTGCAACGAAGGATGCAGAAATTACTGCCAAAAATGAAGAAATCATGGTTAAAGAATCAGAACTTTTGGCGAAAGATGAAAAAATTACGACGAAGGATGCAGAAATTACTGCCAAAAATGAAGAAATTATGTTTAAAAATGCAGAAATTTTGGCGAAAGATATCAGCTTGAAGGAAGTTCAACAGCAATATAATAATGAGCGGTCATTCAACTCTCACTTGGTTGTAGAAATTGAAACACTCAAGACTGAAAAACTTGAGCTTACTGAAAGCTACGCCAACGTGGTGGGGGCGAAGGATGAAGAAATCATGGCGCAAGATGCCAGGTTAAAGGAAGTTCAACAAAGGTGGAAGAACGAGCGATCGTCGTACTCTCGATTGCTCGAAGAAAATGAAGCACTTAAGGTTGAGAATGTTAAACTCGCTGAAGATTACGCCAATTTGATGGGTCATGCCAATCATAGGCAAAAAATTCACCACATTGTAAACTTGAAGAACGAGAATCAGGCGTATAAACAGGTAAATAATTTTTTAACTGAAAGCAATAAAGTTTTATTGTCATTTTGGCTGCTCAAAATAGTTATTACATACTTTTAAAATTTACTAATACTTGACTTGTTTAGGAGAATGATGAATTGCGCTCGAAGCTCACCAAGCTGATATCTGAAAACACCTCGCTGCAAAAGACCCTAACTCGATCGGGAGGCGTCACCTCGCGCTTTGATAAATCCCAAGCTTTCAAACATCACAGTAACGAACCTTACATTCCAGCCACCGGGGTAACTAATTTATATAACAAATGATGAATCTAACTTAAATGTGATTGATTCACGGGTAATTAATTTACAGGATGCTCGTGGTGCAAACTCGAGAGAAACATTTGTGGTAATAAAAGCGCCCCCCGCTTCCGCAGGAGTTGCTCTTCGAACAAATAATGAAAGACACACTTCCCGTGGCTATTCTTTCGATATTGATTTGGAAGAGAAAGAAAATACGTCTCAGTAAAAATACTACTATAAATATAAAAGCTATTTTGTTAATTCGCAAGAAGAGATCGCCACCCACCAACCTTAATTTATATTTTTGAAATAAGTCACCCTTTTCTGTAAAATTAGTCATATATTTATTCTACACTTTTATTCCTTAATTCATTAATTAATACGTGTACGAACTTGAATATTTTACTTACGTGTTTAAATTTAAATTTTAGCCGAACGTACATGTTTTAAACCTATTTTATTTTACACTTTAATTACATTTTGTAAAGATTCGAAATATGAAGAAATCCTAATTTTTTACGAGGTACAATATATTGACAAAGTGTAAATTATAAAACCACTGTACACTGAAATTCATTTCATTAGATGCGTCATAATTCATCAATTGTATGGAAACACGCAAACACGGATACAAAGGCTCCAATTGAATCGTTCATTTTCTAAGCCCGATGCAAAGTTTATTCAGAGTTGTGCGTGTCTTCTATGACCTCCAAATCGTCATCTCATAAAATTCGTGTACCCACGAAATATGTCACGATCTAAAAAAAATATGCCCATATTTTCATTGAATGTCTTAATTAAACCACCTCCAATTTAATATGGATCTGTTTTAATAGCTCATTTTTATGTAGTACAAATTCGGAAACTTACTAAACTACCAAAGCAAATCCCATAAACTGAAAACATGACCTGGTTTAGCACCATTTGTGTCCTCCTCACTATTTATATTTTATCGAGTGCATGTGCAAAACTAGAGCCCGAAATTTCCTTATTGGTCTGGATCGGATCTGATACGTTTTCGAAGGGAAGTCGTTCCTCAGAATATTTGAGGACTCAAGTGTCTCATGACTTGGATCAGGAAGCTCCAGTAACCTTTGTCAATGGGACCACCTACATTTTAACTGCTGAGGTGACTCTCATTGGTTTCATGTGCAAAGCTCCGTATCCCGTGGAATGGGAGTTTTCCAATTCAAAGGTGCAATATGAATAATTAAATACACTACTAATTAAATAATAGTATAATAGATATTTCAAGATGATGTCTTCTGATCAAATTGGAAGCTGTGGGGACATTAATATCGTGGCATGGGGGAGGGAGGGGTTTATATATCATGGGCAGGTGATGGGGACATCGAATAACCGAGGGGACATTGTCCCTGTGCTTCCGCGTTTACTGCTTCCAACTAAGATTTTGCTGGTTATGTGCTTAAGAAATGTTCAATTTTCTTTGTTCCCTCAAAGTGGTTCCTCTTACAAGATAAGTCAGTTGGAATGTATCTCACGACGTCAAGGCGAGTTAGTGATGAAGACATTGATAACAAGGCGTCCTACAGATATTGGGCGGAATTAGCATTGTTTGGCGATTCCAGAATGTAAATATTTAGATTTTACCAAATTGCATATTTGCTTAGAATAGATGCAATAACGAATAAATGATTTATTTCTGCAGGTACATTGGGAATTACGTATGCAAAAGTTCAGTTGATGACCATGACAGAAAATCATCAAATTTTACACTCTTTTGGGAAGGTGCGTTATGTTATGCAGTAGTTTATATCACGACATGATAATAGTCCAAATTTTTGATATCTAGGAGGACCCTTCGATCAAGTGTTTGTTCTATCCGGCAAAAATATTATCATCTACATTGAACCCGATGACAGCGTAATATTCCCGTGTCATGTTAATGATCCTTTTGCCAACGTCACTTTAAAACGGGAGGATCAAATTCTTAGTAAAACGCAAAATTTGGTGAGTCAATTTAACTTTACAATATTCGAAATAAAATCTAAATTAATCGTATTCCAGAGCGATACTTGGGTTCCAGTGGGCTCTAACAACAACAACAAATGGGAATATCGACCCGAAATCGGATTTATTTATCGAGGAAATGGAAAGCTTCCGGTTGAAGATTATCCACCATCGGGAAATTACAAATGCGTCTTGGAAAACGTTGAAGATCAAGGCCAAGGTTCGGAGGATGTCGTTTACATGAGTTTTTATTTAGGGGTCGAAAAAGATATCAAACTTGACAAACCGATCATCACCAACGCCACGCTGCGCCTGAATCAACGAGAAATGCGGTACGAGTGCTGCTCGAGTAGTGCTAAACCACCCAGAATTCATGTCCATTCATGTTGTGACCCTGCGACTTGTAAGGAACTTATTCCGGCAATGAAGACACAGGTTTCAAAAGACGGTTTTTTAATCATTTTGGATATTCTTAAATGTGTAAATCTGTAATTTTTCTCGTAGCAATCTAGCTTTTCCTCTGCGTCTCAAATGACTTCCGCCGTCAATAAATTCTTTGCCCCTCAATCGACGAACATGTTCAGTAGTCACAAAGGGAGCTGTTCCTACACTCATGCATGGCCAAGTCAGGCGGAAGTCGAGATTGTTCAGTGTATCGGAGATGGGATCACTGCTGTGGAGAAGTTCTTGCCAAGGAGTCGGAACAATCTATCACGTACATAATTTAATCACGACATAATAATTCCATATTAAAGTCGATGACTCATCGTCAAAATCAGCACATTTTTTAAATTCATTTCTCGGCTCTGGGAATTAATTTTGAAATTCTGTAAATTCTGTTAAAGTCCCTGCTCTGTAGAGCAGGGAGTTAAATATTTAAAAAATATACACGCCAGATTTTAACCGTTTTTGAAGGAGGGGATTTAAAGTTTAAGAAGCCTCAGAAAAATTGAAACGCATTGAAACGGTTAAAAAAAACTCACTGCGTCCAGAATTTTTAAATAAATTCCCAGAGAAATGATTAAGAATTTGCAAACTTTGACCGAGTCACGTTAAATATATCTACATATGTAATACGTAGATATGTATGTATATGCTATATTGGCTTTTTGTCTCAAGTTGATCAATGGGACAACGCCAGTCTTCAGAAATGGGTGAATCTAGTCCCGATGATGTGGCGAAACCCGACGTATCAAGTGAAAGAGGAATCCAATAAAACCGACAGCTATCTAGTTTATTCGGGAACTTCGGTAGTGTTCACTTGTCAGACGACTTACTACTTCTTTTCATATGGAATCAGGTTTTCGACGCATAATTCGGACGGAAAAAGGACGCTTCTTCCTGGTAATTAAATACTACTACGAGTACATATGTTTTTAAATGCACAAAATAAATGAACCTGTTTTCTAGATAACTTTGAAACGGAGCAAAGGAAAAAATATCCAACTTTTGAATTTATACTTTTGCTTCATAATCCTCCACTTGCGGCAGAAATCAACATTACAATCACTCCAGACATAAAATCTCTAACGTGTCATGTTCCCATCACCAATAGTTCGGCTTGGATGGAGAAAACAGTGCATCTGAGAGTTAAATGTTCGTTATATGCATGAATTTATTTTGTGGAGCTACTGAGAACGGAAAAGTTTGAATTATTTGTATCTTTAGCTGGAGAAAAACCAGGAATAATTACGGATGCTCAACTCTCTGAAACTATTGTGTGGACGCTAAATGCAACGCAAAAGAGTTTGATATGCAAAACAACAGGGGATCCAGAACCTCGCGTTATTTGGACCAAGGACGATAAAGTGAGTGATTGTAGTCACATCCATGATACGTAAATTGTTGGAAACTAATTTAATTTCCTTCTAGCCGATCACATCCAACTTTAACGCCACCAGGCACACCGACGGATCCTATATTTTGTACATTCCGAAAGTGACGCATGATATTCAAGGAAAATATAGCTGCATCGCTATGAATTTCAAAGGTCAAGCGGTAAAGACTTTCACCGTGTTTGCGGAAGGTTTGTTCGCATATGGATTTATAGTATATTTATTTTCGTGATGCGTTTCACGAATTAATTCTAAATTTAATAACTATTCTTACACATTGGTTTAAGTAACAATTATATTTCCTAGAAATGGAGACGACACACGCCGCCGTGATAATAATTATTACAATCTTAATTCTGATAATACTACTCGGCGTGGGCGTGTTGGTGCGGAGGACAATGTTACAGAGAAAGTCGTTGGATAATTTGCGAGAACACGTTTATCCACGAGAAGAAGGAATTGAACCACAGAACGGCATTGAGGGCTAATAAGTAATAATTGTAATAATTAAAAATAATAATAAGATATGCGTAACTATATCGTTAACGATGCGAGTAATGCGGCACACTATATGTATATATGAACTAAAAGTAGACATAGTAAAGGTAGATTATGATTTGAAAAAATATGTACTTTTAACCAACATTTTTAAAAAGGTTCCAACAATACTTTCGACTGAAACATCAAATATAAAACAGCATAAAAGACACTCTGTAAAATTATATTATCGACAGACGCGGAGGGCGCATACTATACTTTCACTTTGTCTGTAACTTCGTAAAGAACATACTGGACAATCTTCAGACTTTAACAAATAACAATGTTTTTACTACAAAACCTTGTTTTATAGATTAATTCACTATTCTAGCCCGTGTAGTACGATGTCCAAGAGATCATATAAAAATTTTTACTCTATTACTCGCCATAAACTTGAGATTCAATGAATTCAATTTCATCCATGGGGTGCATTGCATCGATGTGACTTGGGAGACTTTCAACCGATAAACCCGACGAGCAACAATAAGAGCATCTGTGGGATCCACTGATGGGGTTGTTCTAGAAAATAAAATGCAAATATTTCTATAAAGAAATACCTATACACACATGCATTTATTCGTGGTTAGGATATCATGAAAAAATAAATTACCTCCACGTGGAAAGCGAAAGAATCCCGTGTAACAAAAGTTTGTTCACAACTTTTACAAAAAATTGGTTGAAAGTCTCCAGTAGTATCGTCATTGGACTGATTATCATACATCCAGTACTGCCCTTCTCCTTGAGAGTTGTCTTCTTCTTCGACTTCTTCGAGATCAACGCCGTAATCATCCTCATTGCTATTGCCATAGTCGAAATGTGTGTCCTCGTGAACAATTTCTAAATGATCATCTGCGTTAATGTAGTCGTAATTATCTTCCTGTGCTTCCTCCTCTTGGGTTTCTTGCTGGTCTGCATACTGATATTCCGTTTCATCATCGCATTCCATCTCAGCGCTTCCGTTATCATAACCGTTGTCATATCCAACTATTTCAAAAGGCGCTTGATCTTCTTCTTCTTCGTACATGACTCGAATAGTGGAGGTCGACGAGGTAGGCGCAATAAGAACCGGATCTGTAGGATAACCACCATACCCACGGTTTAGTTGTTCTGTTTTAGCTCGTTGCTGGTAATTTGGCTGCGGATACACACTGCCAGGGTTTTGCAGCATCCTCTGTAATTTTGGCATACCTCCGTGATTCGACGTAGACGGCTGGTTGGAATGTTCTTTCATGTGTTCCCTTTAAGATTAAAATAGACATTGCAAATATATTTTCGCACATTTAAATTTATCGTATTCTTAATATTGAACATACTTTAAACCATTGGTTCCAAAGAATATTTGGTAGCAAATGTGACACTTGAGTTTAACGGGTCGAGGATTGGCCATCATTAATGTGGGTGGCTTCTTGATGACTGGAGCGACCATCCGAGATGTTGACGCAGAATAGACACTTGTGACCTTTGGAACTGAAGCAGGGACAGCCTTTGCAACAGGAATGGGTTTCGCGACTTGTTCTCGCCCAACTGCACGTTCCAAGCGCCCTCCTTTATGGTACACAAACTCGTGAACTGACAAACCTTTTGTGCTCGTGAACCGAGCTGGGCATTGCACACATCTAAACTGTCCAGACCCGTGACTTTTCTGTACCACAAAACAGCAACATGAAAAATTATGTTACAATTGCGATTACAAATTAACACAAATTATTTTTTCGACAAATTAACTGTACGCACCTTTACGTGAGTTGCCAAGATTCCAGGCAGGCGGAAAGACTGAACACAATGAGGGCATTTGAAAGGTTTAACATTTGAATGGACCGTGACGTGCAATTTGTAACGATTCAGTCGGTCGAAAGTCTTTCCACAATCGGGACAGGTATAACATTTTCCAGTAGGAGTGACGTCAAAGGGGATCGAGTCATCGTCGTTCGCAGCAGTATTATTAGCAGAATACGACGCTTCAACTTGCCTCCAATCCCATTGTTGTTCCTGCTCCTGTTCTTGCTCCTGATCCTGATATTCCTCATTCATTGTGTCATCATCATAAGGTTCATCGTAAACCACTTCCGCTTCAATTATAGGAGGACTCATAGACGAAGAGGAGGAAGCTATGTCAGTTATTGCGCCACCACGACCACCGCTTCCAGTATTTGAACTATGTCTAATATTGGGGTGCATGAGCGTATGATGTCGAGATAGATTTCCTTGCGAATCGAAACTGCATGGACAGAAATCGCAGCGAAAGGATCCTCCACTATGACATCCCTAAAAAATAAAATAAATAGATATACCGTGAATTAAAAAAGTCACACAATGTTTATGAGTAAAAACATACATAAATATTTAGACTTACACTCATATGTTTATGATAATGCGTTCTACCATGAATTGCTTGTTGACATATTGGACAGCTTCTATAGTTGTTTGATGCTGCAGCGGTTGGCGACAAATTCTGAGTACTCCTTTCGTCACCATTAGAAGTTGGGGGTGGAGTAGGTGCCAATATGGGTTTTTGAGTTCGATGGACTTTCTGATGCTCACTGGTGGTTACAAATCAATAAATTTTCATGATTATAGATTACGACCAATCTTATTTGGACCTGCATACTTACCTGAGAGAGAAAATAGATGGTAAACCAAGACCGCAGTGACCACATTGGAGCATGGAACTTGTGCTTGGTTTGTTGGAAAATTGCATTTGAGGTGGCTTTTGCATCTTGAGAGTAGCAGATTGTGGTCGGATTTGCTGCTGCTGAGCACTTAGTCTTTTCTTCAAAATGGGGGCTTCAACCGAATACTGATTGGATTGAGCAGGTGGATTAGTCGCAATGGGACGTCTGGTCTGAAACGCTTTATCCCGAATAAATCGAATCTTCCTTTGTAGGTAATCGTGAGCCTGAGTGTTGTGAAAAATTCCTTTGTGCCTACTTAATCCTAAGTTCGTCTCGAACGCACAATTGCATCTATGTATTGATGGGTACAAAATTACTTAAGTGCATTACAAAGTTATGTAATATTAAAGGTTGTACTTACAAATTGCACTTGTAACTTCCTCCGCGATGGCTTGACTGAAATCCAATTTAGTAAAATCTTATTTAGTAAAACATAACAACGTCACAAAATCTTTTATGATAATTCTCATTCACCTTTTTATGATCATATAAGGTAGATGCAAGTCGAAAACGGTGACCACATAGCTGGCATTGATAGGGTTTCTCCCCCGAGTGAATTCTCATATGATTTCTGCATAATTGAACAGATAAATGAAATGTACATATTATTCATGAAAATTCAAAAGTATATAAATTGGAGGAGAAAAACTCACTGCAAATGTAACGGCTTCTTTAAAAGTTTTCCACACACGTGACACTTCCAATTGCCATCCATAGTTCTAGCCTTGGCCAAGTTTACTTGGGGTGTGATAATTTCTTCGCCATCATTTTGTCGTTGTGCCTGCACATGCACTCGGGGTACGGCTTGATTATATTTCACAGGAGATCTGTTGGACTGCGATGGTTCTGTTTTGATAGCCTTTGATTTGTGATGAATGTTAGTATGCATCGCCAAACCTTGACTTTGGGAAAATTTGCATGGACACTGGGGACACTTATAATGGGAATTAATTCCATGAGATTTCGATTTGTGCTTCTTCAAAGTATCCATCGTGCGAAAATGTAAATTGCAGATTAGACACTTCCATGGCTTAATGTTTAGATGAATCAGCATATGGTTACTACAAATAAAAGTACAATTATTAGTTATTACTTTAGATAATTAATAATTACTATGTGCAATTTTTACCTCAGATTTCTCTTGCATGACACAGACTTCCCGCAAACATTACATTGATATTTTCCCCCTTGAGAGTCATCATCATTATTGTTACCGTCGTCATCTTCGTTATTATCGTCCTCATCCATGTCGTTATTATCTTCCTGCATATATTTTTGAGATGGTGTAAACTTTGGAGCTGGAGTAAGTGGTGGAGGGCGTGGAAGAATTTTTTGTAGAGGTGGAGGTGGAGGATAAGCTCGTGAAGGACGATTCAAAGTATTTGATTCTACTTCTTGCTTAATCTTGACAGGGCTGGTTGCTTGTTGCTGATTTCGTCGATGTTTGTCAACCTCAGTTTTACACTTGTTCAAATGTGATTGAAGAGCGTGCTGATTATCCATTGAACATCCGCATTTCATTGGACAGACAAATCTACCGTTAGGAACGTGGGCACTCTGCATATTTATAATAGAATCATAATTAATTTCACTCAATTATTTTTAAAGAATTGTGTACTTACAGCTAAATGCCGCTTGATATTGCTTTTAAAGGTGAAACACATGTAACATAGGGGACATTTGTGGGGGCGTATATTGGCATGAATGTTTAAATGATCTGAAATGCAAATTAATTAAATTATTAATTAAGTCAAATAATAATTTACTAGAAATAATAATAATAATAAATAACAACCTCTAAAGTTCCCAGACCCAGTAATTGTTTTGTTGCACTGTTCACAGCGATAAATTCCAGGCGAAACTTCCAAATGTAGATATCTCTCTTTAAGGACTCGAGTTCCAGCACGTGATGGTTCAGCAGCACCCATTTCTGGTACTTGCTGGGGTTGTGTCCTCTGCTGTAACTGTGTATGCGGTTTCGCCCTCAGTCCAGGTAGTGGTAGGGGCCGTGCATTTGGAGTAGCAGTGCGCGACTTATCTGGAGATTGAGAACCCACCTTCTTATTCTGGTGTTGATGACGTAACGTGCAGATAAGATTTACATGGACTTTCAGACTAGTTTCGCTCTGCATTGAGCATCCGCAACCATACGGGCACACAAAGTTGCTATTTTCAGTATGGCAAGTCTGTTTATAAAAAATAAGTTAACAAAGTGTCAGTAAAATTGCAGATTCCTTTTTTGTTATTAAACGAAGGAATGCTTTTAATATATATTTTGTGTGACCTTGATGTGACGAACAACGTTGCTTCGAAATGAGAAATAGTAGTCGCACAAGGGACACTTGAAGGGCTTGAGACCATAATGCGAATTCAGATGATCAGATGCATTTCGAGATCCAAGGAACGTCTGGATAATGAAGTCAAATTATATTGTAATATAATTATAATATAAATATAATGTTATAAAATTGCAATACCTTTTTGCAAATTGTACATTGAAACCTAGCCTTGGAATCGTTCACACCTTTGCCCAATTTCTTAATGTGAGAATCACATGCTGCCTTCTGTTCCTTTGTCATGATGGGTACTAATTGCTTAGCGTCGATAAATCTGGCGGAGTTCGGCTCGGTCTTAACTTTCGTGGGAGTAGGAGGAGCAGGCGCTGCTGGTCTACGAATTAACTTCTTTTTAAGTTTCATCGCAGTTTTTACTTGAGATGGTCCATGAGCAGCGACATTCGCCGGATGGTTTTTTACTTCGTGCACCATCCTTCCATAAGCGACAACAAAACGGCATGTGCAAAATCTGCACACATTCAAAGAATTTAATTATTAACCAATTAAGCTAATGTAGTAGATATGCAAACTCATTTCAAGTTCAACGTACCTGCAAGGGAATTGATGACTTGGATTGTGACAGGTCTTCATATGGCGGCTAATATTTGATGCTGGAATATCTTGATCGCACTGATGGCAATGAATTTTGCCTTTTCTTCGTCTACCTGTGGAATATCCCAACTTTGCCCTAAAACAAATCACGTGGTTAAATTCAGCAATTAACATAAAAACATAACGTTCGTACAAGTTTTAATTTCAGAAGCTGAAGTTGTTCGATCAAAAAGTTTTGCAAACCAAAGTTGTCGGAGGAAATTCGGGAAAGACAAAAGAAGCGACTCCCAAAGTCCAACAGAGTTTCCAAAACCGGTGTTTGATCAAACAACGTTAGTTGTACTTCGTCAGCTATTGCACTTACAGCTATTTGTAGAACAAATGAATTTGACAATAGTGAAATTATCTACCTAAACCTTCCTTTGACGCGACGACCTGGGCCCTGTCTTCTTCCCGGTTTCGAAACGACAGGAGCCGAAGCTTCCTCGTCATCGTCGTTATCCTCCTCGTCTCCCTTTTCTTCTAACCCATCGTTATTCCCGTCGCCAACATCTTCGTCCATCGCTTCCTCTTCAACTTCCTCACCTTCATCATTAAATTTTTTCGCTGCTTTTTTCTTAGTCGTCTGCCAATACTCCATACTGGAACGTTGGTGCAATGACCTTCGAATATTGTTCAGATCAATAGGTTTTGTATGTTTGTCCTTTTCTCGTTGATGCTTCAAGAAACTATCGTCGGTTAGAAATGCTATAACACAGACAGACACACATCTTGATTTAACCAAGAATCTTGATTTAACCAAGAATCTTGATTAAGATTGCAGAAAAAATAGATTTACTACAAATCAGGGGCGAGTAAAATACTTTGTTATAGGATTTTGAGCTCCGTTCTTCCCAGGGTTGTTACACCCAGAAAAAGATTAGAATTTACGTAAAGACTGCAATGATGTTACCAAAATACACGTCGTTTTGTGAGGAAATTAACTTTTTATCGCTGACAAACTTCATTGTTTTCATGATGTTTTATAAGAAAAGTATTTTGACAGCGATAAAATGCGAAGTCAGTGAAGTTCCCCACAAAACCTGTATTTTCGTACGACCGTTGCCTTTTCCATGCAGATTAGATTCTCGTCTTTTTGTGGGTGGTGGAACAGCCCACAGAAATCCACGGAAGGACGAAGCTCAAAATACTGTATTTTGACAAAGTATTTTTCCCACCTCTGCTAAATATATATATATAACAATTAAGCAAGTAAATAAATAATACAATACCTATCCCGCAACAAAACGTCACACTGCCCGTCTCATGAAGATGAAGTAGATTCCTTTCTGAAGATTTCAAGAACAACACAATTTTATACAGAGTTACAAATAAATCTTCATAAATTGAGAATTAATTAATAATTTACAAACTTTCGAGTTACGAAAATGGTAAATGATTAATATTTTTCCATCCAGAACAAACTTCTAGACTAGAAATTCTAGTATTATGCTTGCTTGCTTCCAATTTTGTTTGACTTACTCTCAGGCGGATTTACAATCACACGGCCACTTTCCGATCTGGAGTTGAAGTCGGTCACAACTTCTTTGCAACTCAATTTTAGTGGTTCGCATGTTAATGCCATTGCACCATTGCTCCTTTCTGTCCAGCACACTCTTTTTTAACTTTACACCAAATCGTCCTTATCGTCAATAGTTCTTAAAACAGTTTTTCTACTACCACCACTACCACATTTGCATCTCTTCTTCTTGGATGATGAGGATGACACCAGTTTGACGAATAAAACGCGAGTAAACTACATACATTTCACATACTTCAATGTGAAAATAGCATTGATGGAGGATTACTAAGTATCGTCCTATAAATAACTAAACTGTAACTGACTACGTTTCGTTTGTACCTTTTTCTTCACCTGAGACTACAACTGGGTGAGCGGATTTCGTGTGCTTTTGTCCTTTATTCAACCCTTTTACAGGATTCGTCGCATCATTCTCGTATGTTCAGTCTTTGGATTGGATTTTGGAAGCATCCTTTGTAACGAGTGAGAAGAGCAGCATTTCGAGCAACCGACTCGGCAGAGCATCATCAAACAAGGTTTTCGTAAAACATGGTGATGTTTGTCAGCTTATAGCAAAGCCAGGATGGCATGCATGCTCTGCTTCGTGGAAAGATTTCTTCCCGACGACGTTCGCATTCGCGTAATGTAAATTCATGGATAGCTTTTTGGGCAAAAGGACCGACGAGAATCGTCGGGTTTCGTTGGTTGGTTGGAGGAAGTACGTTTGGAAGAATGGAGTGAATGTAATGCTGACAGACTCGGCTGCACGATAAATATGTTAAGCCACGCTGAAAAGTAGACAGACATAGTAATGGCTGCCAGGATCTTATTAATACGCCCCAGCAGCAAACTAGATCGTCTGGAATTGTGGAACGGAATTGTGGAACGAGGAATGTCTATGGAATGCTTTTGATGATGAAAAGGTCGAATGTAAATCAGGCTTCAAGAATGTATGTAAATGTCTTGCAAACAATAAACTTTAATAATTTACTTTGATGGTCAGATTCAATTTAAAATTTTACGGTGTAACATTTTGTCACAAATATTAACAGAAAATCACCTCATTACAATAATTCGCAGACATTGCAAAAGGTATCGTTTGATATCAATTATGTAGATTAAATATATAAACCTGAGCAAATACAAAAGCCTCCGAATCTATAGTCTGAAGTACTCTGAAGGACGAATAAATAATTATTGCATGAATTCTCACAAGACATGTCACGACGAAGACTCATCGCATAAATGGTCAAAATCAACCCATTTTTAATTATTTCTCGGCTCTGGGAATTTATTGTAAAATTTTAGTCAGTAAATTGATATCTAGAATGGTGGCGAGCTTTTTTTAAAAATTAAGGTCAGCCAGTGAGTTTCGATGAGCCCAAATTCCTCTGAATTCTTAAACCCTCGAGATCCCTCCTTCAAAAACTGCCAAACTCTAGAAAAATTGGCAACAACCTGCTGTACAAATTTTAAAATAAATTCCCAGAGCCCAGGAATGATTAAAAATGTGCTGATTTTGGCGATTTTGGCCACGAGCCATCGAGTACTAAATACGTTAAATCAATGTTTTTATGCAAACTTTCGATGCCGAGCTGACATCCTCATTAGAAATATTTTTCAAATAACATACCTTTTTAATTGTCATTTCAATTAATCGGTTCAGCAAAAAATACTCGTTCCAAAGGTTTGAAACGTCGTTGAGAACTAATAAATAATACGCATGACTTAGATATTAATCAGCACTTTCTTAACGAATCGCCATACTTTGTTGGGATATTTTTTTTAAACTTAAATTTAGTATGTAGATATTATTAAGCGTTTACATAGGATATGGCTATTCTTATAAAAATAGCATCAGTCTTGCACAACTTAATAATAAAAATAAATACATTTAACCACGTTTGTCTTTGTAGTGTCTTGCATATTATAAATGGGATGAAATTTAATTGTCCGCATTATCCATTTGGATAAAAATTACACGATTTGTATCCGACTCCAAATTCTAGAAATAAACGACATCAGTATTTTTCAAATTTTCGGACAAACTTTTATTAGTAAATTTATACCTTGGCATGGTCATCGGACACCAAAGGCACGTCAACGATATCGAGTCCTTCCAGCTGGCATGGACTATCTTTAAACTCTATTTCGATTTCATAATCCTAAAAAGTTAACAAACATTCCACGATTTATTAACAAACCTCATTGAGTCAATGACTGTTTTATCTTAAACATACTGGTACAGGAACCATTGTTGTGTTAGCTTCTTCGTGATCTTTCTCAGATTCTTCCATGCCGGTAGAATCGTCATCGCCATCGTCATCTTCAGGTTGATGAGTCTGTCGATTTGAGGAGTTGTTAGAAAATATTCAACACATTCAATCAGATATTGTTGTACCTGGCTATGAAGAATTGAATCACACGGCGAAGTCGCCATATACCCACAGACGAAGCAAATTAAGCTTTCAATATTCGCCAGGGCCTAAATGATTATGTCTGTTAGCTGCAATGTTACTACTAATGGGAGTTCAAATCATGTTCTCAGAGTTTTCTGTAACTCACACAATTCGAAAGAGCAACTCTTTAGTTGGTCTTTCGAACTGTGTGGATCACAGAAAGATCTGGATTTATCATAGTTTGGGCTCCCATTGCTAGTTGTTTGAAACTAAATATTTAAAAATAGTGTACCTGATTATGGGCATGGGCGTCCTCCAATGTCATGGAAAAATGACCGCACTCGTCACATATCAAGCTCTCACCTACTTCCGGTTCATCATCTTCCCTAGAAATTTATCAGTAAATTTTTACAGACCATTCGAGAATCGGATTAAGCGTCAGGCTAATAGGAATGTTTTTTACATGGTTTTCTCGTTGTTTTGGTCTTCATTTTTATCCTGATCTTCATTTTGTGATCCCGGTCTAATAACACCCAACAGGATTATTTTTTTAACTTCAATGTCTTTGAAATTAGTTGGTATCGTTTTCTTTAGGAAGAACTTACAATTTTCCTGTATCCGTTGAAGATGAATCCTTCGACTCCATTTTTCGACGACGTTCAGCACGCCCAACTGCCTGAGTTTAGAGAAATAAAAATTAATACCAATACCAATCCCCAAAATAAAATGGGTGGATTTGTAATTACTTTTGATATGGGTACAGTGCTTTCGTAGACGATCAAAATATCATCTGAATCTGGTGGTGGTGGGGGCAACGATGGCTCCTATATAAATCAGGGAGTCATGCATATAAAATATAAATATTCTTCCTTGTATTTATTCACTGCAATAGCTTTGAAGTGAAGAAACATACTTCCTCATTTTCTACGACTTTATCTGAGGGCAAGTCCGGTTTTTTATGTATATTTTGCTTATGCTCGTCCATCACGGTTTTCGTGCCAGATACAAACGCACATTTTTTACAACGAAACAAGTGTGGCACCTACACATCAAGTCAAATGTTAGATTTAGACATTAGCACCTAGAAACAACGGGTTACAAACTTAAACTTACGCTCAAGTGAAAAATATACGCCTTGCGGTCACTCAAGCCGAACTTGCATAATGAACAAACGTAAGGGCATTGCTCGGACGATTTTGAAGCAGTGCTGTCTAATTGGCTTCTACATAAAATTTATTTAAATAATTAAATGAATGAACCATACACAAGTGAGTAATAGATCTAACTTACTTTAGCCTATCCTCTTCGACCAAATGATTCCTCCAAATGTGCTCCTTGAGTTTGAGCAAGGTACCAAAACTTACTTGATTGTCACAAAGCTTACAAGTAAATTCCTTAAAATTTTCTTCGCATCTCTAAACAAGTAGTTAAATATTCTCTGATTGTAGTTTGCTAAGCTTTGATTCGAAAAATAAAATTGATATATTTATTTTTCAGTACTTACATGAAAGTGAAAGGTTAATTGTCGAACCGTGTCGAAACTGAGCGCACACCTGGAGCACGTAAATCTCATGAATTCTCGAAGACCTGCAGTTCGCTTGTTGGATTCTTGCATTTGTTTTGCATTTCTAACAAGGTCTGTGGGACGCTGTAATGTTGCAACTTCTTTTAAAGACTGCCGATCGTTAACTTGTTTCATTACTTTCGCGTGTCGTGCTGATTTAGAGATCTTGGGGCTAGCTGTTGTATCATTTTCAATCAATTCATCGTCTTCCATATTAGTGTCTTGCTCATTTTCTTCTGATATTGAGATAATGCTTGGCGGAGCAGAGTCCAATTTCTTCCTTTTCTTCACAGACTTATTTTCAGCTTCGTCAACAGTATCAAGCTCGTCGTCATCTATTTGCTCGGATTGAATGACGCTATCGATTACTTTCTTGGCCGCTTCAGCACTTCGTCTTGTACTTGTTCGGGTTGAAAGGGGTCTCTTTAATGTATTCATCACTTCTAGTTGAACTTTTATTTGTTTTGCTTTCGGCTCCACACTTGCCACTTGTTTGGATTGTTGTTGAGAACTTTGTTCTTCTTCTTTTTTATCTGGACAGTCTGATTTGCGTTTTCGAGATCGTAGACTCCTCCTGCTTGGTACCTCCTCCTTTCCACTTACATCATCGCTAATCGCCGCAGAAGCTTGAGGTGGGGTATTATTTTTCGGCTCCTGCGCATTTTTGTGTTTCTGAAAAATATTTGATGATTATTTAGAACAATTTAGAATAAATTAGTGTGCATAATGTCTACCACCACCAATAACAGCACCAATAAATTACTTACTTCTTCATGACGTTTCAATTTTATTCTTAAAGACGTTGTGAATGAACACTCGGAACAAAAAAATTCGTCCGCTATACTTGAATCTTGGGATGAATCGTTCAGCGCTGCAAGATTAGGTGAATTTGGATGTTCAACCTGCCAAGGAATGCATACAATATAAACAACTGGAATAATGATTGATACAAAAACGGTAATGGCTTTGTCCATACATTCATGTGAGCAGTTAGTTTGACTGACTGGTTGGTAGAGAATGAGCATTGTGAACACCGCAATGCCAATTCGGACGATGACTCGTCATCTTCTGATTGCGAACCGTCGTCCTCTTCAACGTTTTGATAGGACTGAGGGATAGAATCAAATTTGCTTTTACATAATTCAATCTCTCCATAGTTTGTTAATTATTAGCGAACATGGTGGTATTATTTTTTTAGCGTACCATTTTTTCTCTTCCTGCCAGTACTACGGATATGTACTTTTTATGCCGGAGTTTAAGATGGTTGTTAAGCGCAGCGCTTGTACGATAAGCACATGGGCAGTATTTACAGACATACCCACCTTTGACGTGTGCCGTCTAGATACAATAAAGTAAACAATTTAGGGACGTTTGGAATAAAAAATATATATGTGAATTGTTCAAGGCTTAATTGCATACTAATTTATGGGCTTCCAAATTAACAGGGAGACGACATGTGTAGGAACACAGATAGCATTTGTGAAGCTTTGCTATTGGAATTGCTGCCGGAGTTTCCTTCTCTGATCTGGATGCCGAGGAAGTCGAAGGTCGAGTTGACTAAAAAACGTGAATGGTCAAATATTTAAAAAATATAATAACGCAATATCAATATTTGATAAAAGTTATTTGTCGCTCACCAAAACATCGTCAGTTTCCTGCACAGAAATCTTCTGCCTTTCTCGTAAATCAATAGAATTCCTGGTAACGCGGGTGTGAACAGGCGTTGACGACTTACGCGTTGGCGTCTTGTGCGAAAGAGCTACATGTTGTCTGAGAGATGTTTCTGACTTATAAGAACAAGTACAGAAAGGGCAAGATATTCCGTTTTCGATGTGTGCTCTCTTAAATAATAACAAAGTTTATAACGCTACCTCTTAAAACAACCTACTTCAACATCAAGTATTAAATTACTCACCGATTCGTGTTGTGCGATAAGAGAAGGAGCAGCAGTGTACGGACATTTTGAGCACTTTTTGTGATTGGATGGCTTCGAAATATGAGTTTGTACAGGGGTCGTGTCACTGCTGATGTCAGACTGAAATGACAAGCAATTATTAATTTCGCCAATTCTTCAACTCCACAATACAATTGGAAAAGTGTGATAAAGTTTGATTGAGTAACCTTTGACGATCCCTTCTTCTTACTAAAAATGTGTTTTTCAAATAAATCGTCATTCTCGCTGTCAGAGTGCATGTCATCGGGCCCCTCAACTTCGGCATACTTCCGCGCTGCCTTTGCAATAGCACTGTTCGATAATACATCTTCAGTGGTGCTGTTTGGGGTTTGTGCTTTCGATCGTGCACCATCAGTTGAGCTGTTACTTACTCGATGAGCGTGTGCTCGCTGTATAGAATAAATAAATCATTATTGCTGTTTATTGAAGAAATGACGCCATGTAGTAAACATTAAAATTTAAGTAATCGGTTGTATGATTATTAGCGGTCTTACAATCATGTGCCAGTTGAGTGAAGTGCCATTATTAAATAATGCAGAACACAAGTGGCAATTATGGTTCTCCTTGGCTGGAGGCGCAATCTTAGGCTTCTGCAAACCCCTTGTTTTCTTTTCTTGCATTCGCTCAAACATTGTCGTGTGTGCTTTGAATGATGGTTGCTTCTTTTTAGAGTGACATTTATATTGGTGTGAGCCTAGTCCTCCTTGGCTTTTGAATCGACAAAAACACTGGTCGCATTTAAAGGGGTTCTTTGCAGAATGGGCGGCCTGTACAGTGACAACCCACCAAATATAAGGAGAGATCGTGATAACACGGAAATTATCGTAATAAAAAATTAGCGCACCGTTAAATGAGTGATGAACCCGGATTTGTTGACTGCCACAAAATCGCAAAATTTGCACTGGAAAGGATTAGAATGCTGGCTGCTGGTTGGTTCGGTCGCTTCACTTTCTTCGAGATCTATGGAGAGTAAATGTGTAGAGCGATTTTGATAAAGCAATTTTGCACTTAAGTTTGGGTTTGCTCGATCAAGAAGCTTTATTTTCGCAAAATAGAACTCTGATCTTTTCTCAGCAAATATTTCGAACGACTGTTTAATTCTAACTCGTTTTGGCTCCACCCTGCGTCTCAAATCTAGATTCTCAAGTTTCCCGTCTTCGAAACTGTTGAGCTTGAATGCGCTCAGGATTAGTTTCTCTACAATTTTTTTAATCTTTGACTTCGCCAGTGAAACCAAGGACAGATTTAAAATTATTGTATGACGAGTCATGAACACGGGTCATGAATCGCAAAATCGTAAGCAGGGAATACGAAACCTCTACCAAACTCCGTTTCACATTACGTGAGTTCATCACATTGACATTAGTTATTTTTATTTTGGCGTTTAAATCATACGAAAGTGAATAAGTTAAACGCCAAAATAATAATAACTGGTGTCAAATAATAAGATAATTCAGCTCATTTGGCTAATGTAATCAATGTGATGAACTCACGTAATGTGAAATGGAGTTTTAGTTTAATAATGGATACAAGAGAAATAATAATGTACCGAATCTCCTCCAGTCGCTGGAGCTAGAATCTTCGTTATTTATGTCGTTCAACTTATGGCTGATATGCATCGACTTTATGTGGTTGTCCAGAGCATCCTTGTCGTTGAATCGACAGGGACAGTTGTAGCACGTGAACTTGGCTTTTGGGCTGTGTGCACTCTAAAATAAACAATCGAATAATGTTATTAAAGCATTTTTAAATAGCAATAACAAATTAGATGATTTGTGGAATTTTTTGGTACGAGCAAAACAATACCTTCATATGGTTTTCCAAAACGAATTCTTCGTCTGCTGGAGTCTCAAATGTACAACCACTTATTTGACATTTTAAAACAGCAACTCCCGTAAATAACTCATCTTCATCCTCCTCGTTCTCAACGTCTTGATCGTCAATTTCATCTTCTTTTGAAGTAGGTGCTATTATGGATTGGTCAACATTAGCATGGTACATTTTCACGTGTTTGTCCAATCTGGTTTGTGAATCAAAACGGCAAGAGCAGTATCCACAGCACAGACTTCGCGCAGAATCATGAGCTGCCTGTTAATAACAATAAAAATGATCTCGTTAATAGCCGTTAGCAAGGATAAAAATGACGGAGGTACAAAATTTTCTTTCGCTTACGGCAACGTGACTCTTGATATGTGTGGTATACTTGGAAGTGAATTTGCACCCTGCGTGTGTGCACTGGTAGCTGCTGCCCTCCCCCTCGACAGTGACTTTCTTGTACCCAACAAGACTAATTTCTGGACTCTTTTGGTTAACTAGCGTCGGAGCCTTGCTTTTTTTAGAAGAGGAGGCGTTGCTCGAGTTTTCACGATCATGATCAGCCGTTTGATGTTGCAATAATAATGTGCTGGTTGAAAATCGGTATGAACACACGTGACAGGGATATTTATTCGACATTAAATGAAGGCCCTGTAATGTGAGTGCAATAAATATCATTGTACTTCAAAAATAAAGATATTGTATTATGTTATCTTATGACTTTACCTTGTGAGATGCAATCATGCATTCCTCTGAAGTGGAGAATTTACATTTGTTGCACTTAAATGAACGCACCCCATTATTAATTATGGAACTGAATCCATCAGCAACAGGTTTGTAAACCTGGTGACGATCTTTGCTAATCCCGGCTGGTGATAATATTGGCATTGTTGCATCGGCCTTATGTTTTGAAGATATATGTTTCATAAGGCCTGCGGAAAAGGCGTAACGGCATAAGCATTGCGGGCACTTAAATTTATTTTTAGGGTGGTGAGCAGCCTGCGAGTTAAAAATGGTTTACAATTAAATATTTGAATTTCCTTAATTTCATCAATTTCATACATACCGTGATATGTCTTTTAATTTCTTTTTCTTTCGGACTATTTTGTCCACAACCATCACAAGTAAACACGCGCTTATTATTGACCACCTGGATAGAATAGCTAGTCTTCATTGTAGCACTTGCTTTCGGATTTGTCTTTTTTCGAGGTGGAGTTTTTTCAGCTGGGATGTCTTCATAGTCTCGCGAATCTAGACCAGCAGCGTCATCACCAACTTCATCCATATCTGGATGACAATTAGATTTGTGCACGTTGAGGAGTCCAACCGAAAAAAATCTGCATGTGCAAAGGCCACAAGCAAACGTTCCATTAGGATCGTGACTAACCTGCAACAACAAAATTGAGGATAAATAATTGATGCCAATTTAAAACTTATTGAAAAACTAGAATCAAGTTATTCACCAAAATATGCTGCCGTAGTTTTTTCCCGTCAGGAACCACGTACGTACACAATTTGCATCTAAAAACATTTACACCCTCGACAGCAAGAATTTCCATTCCGGGCTCGTCAGAGTCTACTGTATCTTGACAATATTCGGGGTGGCTATTTGCTACATGTAGACCCAGCGTTGCACTAGATGAAAATCGGAAGGTACAATATTTGCAAAAGTGTTTTGCGGAAGGGCCATGAGTGTTCTGAAATAAGTTCATAATCATACATATCTATATAACATCAGTAAATTAGTACGCATGTCAATCTTGTAAAACTTGTTACATGAATGTGGGCGCTCGTAAGAGGGAGATCGCGTGCCTGAAACCCACACGCTTCACATTTGAAGAACATCTTGTTATCGCTGAAAACCAATCGATAAGAATCAGTTGGTGCAGTCGGTGCAGAAGGAGGCATGACAATCTCCGTCTTTTGTTGGTGACCATAAGTGGACGGTCGTTTAGTTGGTGAGACTATTGGATTGTCTTTTGCTGGTTTTCCTACCACTTTGGGCACTTGGTGTGAAGTTTTTTCAGACTTAGATTTGGGAATGCTCAATTTCGGTTTATCTGGATGTTGTCTTGCCACATGCAAGTGTAACGGGGCAGCTGCTGCGTACCCACAAGAACAATATGGACAAACAAATTTTGCATTCGTATTGTGAGCACTCTGAAATGAAAGGAATTTTGTAAATCATTTTATAAAACCAATAATAACTTATTATTAATAACTCAGACTCATTCATATCGATTGAACACAATTTTTACCTTGGAATGAGTAATAATTGTTGCTTTTTTTTTCGTCATGTATTCACAGAATCTACATGTGTACATCGTCTTGTTGTTGGTAAAGACTTTGTTGAATGAAAAGACTCCAGTTTCAGTTTTGAATTGTCCAATCTGTTCATGGGAATGAGGGCCAGTTGTCTTCTTTCCAGAATAGGTCACCAAATACTTTGGGGATGGATTGGTTGCTTTGGGCAAGATTTTTGTCGCGATGGATGCTGACGTTGGGGTAGAATTTCCTCTTTCCACGTCGTCTTGCTTGTTCTTGTGAACCATTGAGATATGTTGAGTTAGTTGATTGCCTTTGGAATACTGACACACACATTCCGGACAGCTGAACTTTCCGTTCGGGTCATGGGCCGACTAAACAAAGAAGAAAAAATAAAACAGTAAGAAGTAATTAGTAATAGTCTAATTTTAATAAATATTTTCTGTAAGAATTTTTAGTTTCAACAAACATTCATATAAAGCAAAAAACAAGAATAACAAAAGAACCACATTAATTAGTCAATGGTTAGTTAATCAGTAATAATAATAATAATATCAACTTTTGGCTAACTAGTGAATAGTACATATTAGATATTTAAATATTTTCCGACACTTACATGAACATGTACTCTCAAAGGGTGCTCAGAACGATTCGTGTATCCACAAGCTTCGCAACAGAATTTACTTTTACCATTCACCAGGACTTTAACAATATTAGGTGTCGATAGAGTTCCACCGTAAAGTCCGTGAAACATTTTCAAGTGACGACTCAGTTGTGATTTTGTTTTATATCGGCAGATACAAAAATCACACAAATGTGTATTTGATGGGTCGTGGGCACACTGTTAAATACAAAGAGATACATACATGCGACACATAATAGACACGTATAGATTAGATAGATGGATGGGTAGTTGATAGGACAGAATAGAATTTATGAAATGAATACAACATTCCAACCATAACATGAAAAGCAATTTGTTCCCCACCCTCCCAATAAACCCAATAAAGCAATTACCCACGTATATATACAAGAACGCTTACTTTTGCATGAATGTTTAAGTTTTTCTCTTGGACGGTAGAGTAGGTACAACCAGGAAAATCACACTTCCATTTGCCCTCCTGTTCCTGTCGTCTAAGAAATTCAACTCTTCTGTCATTGTCCATATCTGTCGATCTGGATCTGGACTCCCTCTCGCTGTACGTAGCTTCTACATTAAAATTGGGCTGAATTCCAGACATGGAGTCAGGATCGTTTCGCTCATATTCTCCATAAATTTCAACTTCTTCCAATTCATCCTCATCCCATTCGGTAAGCATGACATTATTATCGTCGTCGTCATCTTCGTTTACGATATTTTGCCACCCTTCATGCTCAACATCATCGTCCTCGTCATCATCTTCATCGTCATCCTGTCCTTCATCCTCCGGCGATAGTCCGATCGGATCTCTTTTATTGTCATGTCGAAACGATGATTGAGCAGCATTCTTATAGGCATCTCTGATGTATCTGGAAATATCCTCTTGATTGCTTTCAATCAAGGCACGCGGTTCCTCTTCGAAAATGTCAATGTCTTCAATATCCTCAGCCTGGAGGGATTCAACAGAGTCAATTATGGGATCAAATTCATTGCTATCGTCCGGCTCCTGGTCCTGATCTTCTTCACCAGACACTTCGTCCAATGGATTTTCCTCCTCTCGTGAAAACGGCGAAATATTGCTAATCTGACAATTGGTTTCTTGTTGATGATAAAGTAATCTTTCCACGGTCAAGTACGCAGTACCACAGCAAACTATCACTCCCTCGCTCGAATGTCGAGGCTGATGAGCGTCCATTAATCTTTTCTTCAATTCTATTTGATATAAAAAAATACATTACTACAAATATTAATAAATAAATCCAAATTCACAGTTCACAATTACCTGCAGGAGTTCGAGCAGCAATTACCCTTCCTAAACTGCTTTTAGCGGTGTTTAAATGTGCATCATCATGAAGAAGCGACATGGTGTCCGTCCCTTGCAGAAAAAAATTGTCTCCATCGAAGGTGTCCCCTTTAAGTTGCGTACCCTCTCGTCTGTTAATAATAGCACCAACTAGCGATCAATTCAAATTCTGAGCAGCTTACAGTTACACGAATTTCCTAAAATAACAAAGGACAAAGGTTGCGTTAATGACGAAACGACCTCGTCTTACCAAACAATAACACAACAATCCATAATACATTCGACTTAATTATCATAACTTATAATATTAGAGTAACTTATCAATTACATACAGCTAAAAGTCAAATTAATAAGAATTACTAAACGGCAAAAAAATCAATACATCAAAAAATAAGGCTTTGACCTCCGGAAACAAAACAAAAATAAACAAACTCTCGGTAGTCAATTTTAACTCGTCTCCATCATGTGTGGCACGGCGAATTTGCTTCCGCAAACTTATCCACGACAGGCTTATCCTTTTGGGGTTATCTTTCCCAAATTAATTAGGACCGTCTGTCACAACTTTTTTAAACTCGAAAATAATTGCACACGAAAGACAAATAAGCAACGTGAAACTTGTGCTTTTTTGACTCGATTGGGAAAGTTGGAAGCTCGAGCTCGAGCAAGTTTAAACTCAGAATTTAGCTCGTTTGGCTTCAGCAACTTGACTTGAAGGGAACGGTTGTCGCGTCATGCATCATAAAATATGCATGAATATCATAATAATATATTGCAATTATTATCTATTTTCTGTTTCAAAAAGTTTATTTCAGGTAGATTATTAATTAGCACCATAAATAATATTTAGACAAGAATATTATAAATAAGTGGAAGATGAAAATTCAAAATTTTATTTCAGCTCAAATTAATAAATTTTTTGGAAGAATTTTCGAAACATTTGATTCAAGAACGTTTCGTCCGAAGTCCATAAGTGCTCTGGTAGAGTTGTGCCCTTTGCTGGAGGAATGGATAAGCGTCTCCTTTTGGTGCATCTTCCTCGACAACTTGGTCATTATCCAGGCCAGCTGTGGGCCAACCATCGTTCAATTCGCCAGATTCGTCGCCGGATTCTTGCTTCCATTTTTTAAATAGAAAAGTTGGTTAGGTTATATTTAAAGATAAGTAAATATGTTAACTTATGCTTTACCTGGTACCCTGTCCCAATCGATGCCGCGAGGGACACGGTCATCAAAGCGAACAAGAGAAATGCGAGGATTACGTGTTTGTTCATTCTTGAGTAAATATTTTTCAGGAAATTTTAAAGGATTTATTTATTAAACAGACATGAACCACTGGGTGAAATAAATGTCTTAAATTCTTCAGAGTATTGTATTTTATTTTGTATTAATTATTACAATCATTGTAACCGATCTATGCCAGTATATGTGGTGAATTTGGTTGGTGGTTTCCGGCTCGTATCGTTCCCCGAATGTTATGTATGTATTAAACGTTTCCCTTGTTTTTCGTCAACTAATAGTAAGCAAAGACTCGACTACTAAGTTATTAATGCTATTTAGATTGAAATTAATAAGGATATCGATCCATCCATGATATGAAATGAATGCGAAATGCTAAGAAAAACCGTACACATTTCCAGCAACGTTTTAAACACATCAATAATTTTATTCATTATAAACCTGGAGACACGCATATTATTTTACGTACGAGCACGCTTCATGTAATTTAATATTTTAAAGTGGTTGCTTAAATATGTATGTATGTGTCGGGGCCATATTTATGTAGATCATATTTAACTTTGGTGTTCTAGCCATGCATGTCAACTAGAGGTATAATTGCGAAACCATATAATGTATGTATTATATGTAATATGGTAAAGGTTATAATTATTAACCGGCGTACATATGTAATTGTAGATCGATGGAACTACTATCTAAATACTACATTTCTTTGCTACGTCTACATTTTAAGATTACATTTGACAAGATTTGAACCGGACATTTATTTATCTCTCTTCCATGAAACAACGCTATATGTTTTTCATCAAGATTGAGAACAAGTACACACAATAGGATCTTTCTAGAGAACATCAAATATATACCCGTATATTTACATATGTAACTAGTACTTAATAAATAGGAGGAAAAACTGAAGTTACTCGTGCTGATGTTTAAAGCATAAAAACTTAGGACTAAAGTGCTAATCTTCATCTTCATATTTTATTTTTATTTGTACCGACCAGTATCATACGTAGATAAATTTTAACCATAAATTTTGGCAATAAGATTATTTTCCTACTGAATTAATTGGATTGATTCGTATATAAATGCCTCATTAAAGACGTATGGCAAGCAAGTTTTATACAAATATGTACAAAATGGTAGACAATTGAATTATCCGAGATTACAGATTTAGTGGAATTTATACAAGTTTTTATGTAAATTTACATGTATCAAAATTTTGTGCGTACTTGACTCAAGTCGCAAGTTGAAGCAATATGTATAGCAATTATTAATTATAACAACACTTTACACATGTAAATTAATGGATAGAACGAATTTGAACATTTTGTGAAATGACGGTCAGCCTTTTTAACAATATTTACAAATTTGTACAAACGGATCATGTCTTTAGTTTAGTTCTTTTTGAAAAGAGAACGATCAATTTTAAAGTACTCTTTTCCCGAGCGAGGCTTCATACTCGTGGATTTCTTCGGAGAGGCCGATATGTTAAGATTAACAGCGTCACTGTGATGCGTGGTCATTAGAACGTTATGCGGGTTTATCAGCGTGGCCACCGTATCCCCAGATCCTCTTGAGCAAGACGATAACGTTGATAGGGTTTCAATATAGTCCGAATCTGTGCAATCTGAATTACCACTACTCGTGCTGTTGGCACCTGAAACTAAGTTTCGTCGGCTTTGTACCATTTCTCCGCATTTTACTGCGGCGACCAAGGGGTTTACAGGGATCGGTTTTGCAAGTACCACGTTATTTCCTACTTGCACCTCTCCTCCAGTTTTGATAACCTGTCCCCCCGTCGAATTCGACTCTGCTTCTTCAATCGTTTCGTAGTGTCGGTTGGCTAATGCGAGATCAGTATTTGGCGAAGTTGGGGAGGATGGATTGATAGGTGTACTTATTTCAACCTCTTGCGGCCGTGGTGTAGACGTGGCTGAAGTATTTTTACCGTTCGAACCCCCAGGAGAAGTGCGTTGAGATTTGCGAGGGAGTGATTCATGGAGCGATTGGTGGTACCGACTATAAAAAAGATTATCGAGGCAATTTAGTTATTTATCATGCCAAGTTATCCATATCTCTAGTTAACTTATAGACATATCATAAATTATAAAGGACACAAACCTTCCAATATCGTTTAAAGGAGAAGAATCATCGAAAAATAATCCACCATCGCCAGAAACTCCGGAATCGCTGGAACTGGCTGAGCCTCGATTGGCATGACCCCCTTTGCATGGCACACTTGAAGATCGTCTCAATGGAAGGGAAATTGCTTCATCGGACTCTTGGCTGCCTCTTCGTGACTCTTCCGCACTGGTGGAGGTGGAAGATGGTGGTGAAGTGGTGGAAGAATTTCCCTTGTCCTTTATCTCCATTCCTGAATCGGTAGCAGACGAAGGTTCCTTACTTTCCGAACCACTCGTGATAGCAGTCGTACCAGAAGCAGTAGGAGCAGCAGTGGTACAAGTGGCGTCCTTTGGTGGTACAACAACACTACTGGTTATTTTTGTGTCACATGATTTCTTTGCATCTGCACCACCATCAATCGCAGCAGCAGAGTTTTCATATTCATTTTCCAGAATTGTTTCAATCTTTGGCTCCGGATGGACTAGAACTGTAGTTTCTTTGGTTGTGTATTTGGTTGCAGTGTGTGAAAAATCTGAAGAAGAAATTTCCTTCGCATTTTCGTAAAGCTGAAGTGACTCGGCAAACTGTAGATTAACATAATTCGAGTGTCCGAATTCCATGGGTAGAGAGGAATCCGTAGTACTCGGATCGGGTGCAGGTGGTTTCATAGTTTTTATATTGTGATGCTGTCCACATCCACCAACGCCACCACTTCCTTCCACCATATTTGTGTACGTGGGCTGATGCTGGACTGAATTTCGGTTCTCGTAGATCGGGAGGTTATCACAGTTTGCAACGACGAATTGTTGCTGATTTGGAGGACCTGGTCTCGGAGTCTTTTTCGACTTGTCCACTTGAGCATAAATCGCGTTAGGGTTGTTGGTAGGTCTGGTAGGAATGGATCCCGCGACGAGGGGCATTTTTCCCTCGCCGTTGATGCTGATGGAGGTTGAAGTTATTGAATGCTGCATGTTGGGCGAAGTGAGGGCGACATTGTGCGGATTATTGTGCGGGGGAATATCATAGTTTTCAAGTCCATTTCCCCGACGGAGAATGCAGGATGGATTTTGGGTGTGATGTTGATGTTGGACTGGAGGATATTGTTGCACAGAGTGTTGATGGTGATGGTGTTGAAGATGTTGATTATTATTATTGTTTGGGGGAGGGTGTTGAGAGCAGCAGGGACATCCCGACGTGGGATTTTGCGTGCAACATGGGCAATGCTTCGGAGTATCGTAAAATTCTTGGTCAGAGGACGAACCCACGAGAGAGATCGAGGTGGAAGCAGTCGTTGCGATAGAACTGCGGTCCATTGGAAGCTTCTAAATCAAAGGAAAATGTGAAAATTAGTCATTAATGGGCAATTACAGACTTCTTATATGGGTGGTAAATACGTATAATCTGCGTATATAACTTATTATGATGGCGATATATACGTGAGGATGAATTTAATGGGCACTTTACACAAGGAAACTTATTTTCTTATAAAAACGAGGAAAGAAAGTGGGGTCGAAACCAGAATTATTAAGTGAATGGACAAGTTCCTACTTAAATAGAGAGGAGTCTCTTTGGGACAATTTCTTATCAACCCTCCCCTTATCCGTCACCATCAATCGCGTCCCCCATTTTTCTCACCTTATTCCAATCAATCGAAGACATTGATGAAGTTCCATTTAAGCCGATTCCACTGGTACTTGCCCCTTCCGAGTATGGGTAGCAACCCAGCCCTGGATTTTGTGCAGGAGGAGGGACGCATCGTGGAAAGTCGTAATTTTCATAAGGTCCAGGTCCACCAGTCGTGGCTCCGGCCATATGAAGATTTATTGGCTGTGGTGGATGAGTTTTATTCCCTCCGAGGGATTTTTGTTCTGCAACCCCGTTGTAATAAATATGACCACCACCACCACCGCTCTGCTGTTGTCCACCCATCACGGAGGGTTGTTGTTGGCAGTGACAATTTCCCAAAACACACACCGCCGCCCCGTTATAACTCTGATTGGGACAAGGTTGTGGTTGTGGAGCGATGGAAATATTATGATTCCGTGGACCCCGACAGGGTGATGCACACACCGCGGTGCTGGTAATGCCTCCCTGTTGTGTCTGACCACCATTATGGCACGGATTTGACATTTGATTACTGCTCCCATTCTGAAACATGCCTGGAGGTGTGTTTGATCTAGCGTTACGTCGCATTTCTGCCACCAGTACGGACCTCGGCGTGTCATAGTAATACTCTGCAGGTCCACCACCACCGACACCGACACCACTACCACTTCCGTGACTTGATATAGATAATCTGTCGCTATTTCCGGACCCAATTGAACCCTGGAGTCCGGTTGAGGATGACGGTAAGTTTGCAGTACCACCACCACCACCACCCATGCTGGCGGATGCAGCAGAAACGTTTAAATCCATGGTCCACGATGGGCTGAGAATGTCCGTTTGTTGACCCAACTTGGACATGCAGGATAAACATCGTTCCATCGCGGAGGGGAGTGGTTTCGCAATTTGTAGAGCAGTACCGGCCGGGTTTCTGGCGGGGGAGTGGGGTCCCACGGTCACCGTTCGGGCGGAGGAGGAGGAAGGGGGGTAGTTGTTGGGGTGGTGGTGGTGAGAAGATTCGTCTACCCCTCCTGCTGCTGGACACATGGAAATGCTGTCGCAATTGTCAAGTAATTCGCATCGAGAATCGGACCAGATTTGAGATTGGTGATTGGCTTGTTGATGATTCATTTCTCCAGCGGAAGAACAAGCAGAACATAACGCTTCCGCACTCCAGCTTTCTCTCGGAGCGCAAGGAATTGTGGAGGACGAGGATGAGCTCGACGAGGGTGCTGGTTGATTCATGTTGATGACAGAAATGTTCGCACTCGACTCGTGGCACGGCATGGATGACAACGTTCTCATTTCTGATAGGCGACTGCTCATCGACTTCCGGGGGGAATCTGTAACTAGATTTGATATTCAAATTGTGAAATCAGCATTCATTCACACCTCGGCAAGGTGGGTCTCTTTGGTGAAGTGGTAAGTGAGATACATAAATCAGGATAATGGATTCGTATGTACAGGAAGAAGCTGAGGAGCCAGTTAATCGGAAGTGAAATTAACCCAGAGGGTCTCCTCCGCAATATTAGCGTCATCTCATCCGTGCATTGGACTCGTATGCACACACAATTTCGTTATATTCCCACGAAGAGAGTTTCGAATTGAGACGAAATCGCCTTTGGGATTTATGAACTGCTAGTGAAATTACTTATATCTGTTCTTGGAACTTGAAAAGGAGGGATTAGAACGAGAGAGAGGATAATAAAGTCAAGTAGATTTGAATATTCATTACGGACTTATTCTTGCATGATAATTAATCTATGACACGAAATAAACTTGGTTCGTTCGTGGAGCTAAAGTTCTTTTTAGACTCGTATTCGCATCGTGTGAATATTTGGACGAAAGTTTATACCTACTAGGATGTCCTAGATGGAAGATTTTGGAAAAAAACGGTTTGCGACTTTTGATTTGGCAAAATTTCGTAAAAAAACCGAATTATAAAAATTTTAAATATAGTCTTATAAAAATTTAAGTATAAACAATTCCATTAATTTGGAAAAAATTTAGAACACTTAATTCTTTCAAATCGTAAGCAATAGTTCTAAAACAATTTTTATTCTAAAAAATCAAAAACCGATTTTCGAGTGTTATTAAATCGGTTTTAGGTAAATTTAAAACCGAGTTTAGGTTAAATCGGAAACCGGTTTTAGAAAATCGGAACAAATGGTTTTGGATGTTCTACATAAATGCATCGTTGATCTCTTCCTGTGAAGGAGACGCTCTTTGATATACGAATTTTCGCAATTTTCACAAATTGTAACTTTCCTTACTTATTAATCTAAAAGAAAAAAAAATGCAAAAATTGCTCACCATTTCCAAACCTTCTGGTAGAAGGACCTTTGCCTAATTGACCTTTCGATGACATGTCCAGTGCATCAATGATCAACTTCATTTGTGGCGGATCCGAAATCATGACATGGACACCTTCATTTTTTCCACATCGCGAACCCCCTTCAAACACAATCCGTCCGTCGACAATCCCATACCGTCTGCAAATGCAAGAAAAAAAAATTAATTATTCAACAGACTTCAAGCTCATCTCGGAACAATAAATCTTCAAAGAAGTACGGTTACAGGGTCTCAAATTTAGAGGTGCATTTACTTATATCTGAATGAACAAACCCTGCTTCTCTGTCAGTGATGAAGAACAATGTTCAAGTTCAACTTCATTTCTCATTCAAATTTTTCATTCTTATCTCCTCACCAACCCCAAAGTTCATCCCGGAATATGCATGAAGAAGACCGGATAGAACAATTTTTAAGGATTTTTGAGAATTATTAAAATATTGACTCCTTCCTTTCAAGGCATGAAAATTCCGAACGAAACCTCAAAAAGTCAAGCATGCCAAGGTTGGGTGTTCGTTCCTTCGCTTAATAATAAAATATTCTAGCTCATTTCCTATTCTCATTTCCGACAAAAAGATGCTTGTTGCCTGACTGCCTCTTAAAGTGTTTACTTTGCATATAGAGTGAGTGAGAGAGGAAAAATAAATTCTCCACATGCTGTCAGTAAGTGAAGGAAGATACAGTTGTTATTTTTAGCAAGTATTTTTTTCTTACTTTTCCTACCATAACTTAAAATTGGATGGAGATACATAAATTTTGCACATATGATGAATGGTAAAATTCGGACGTGCACATCGAGACGAAAGTTAAAATTTAAGTCGTGTGTGTTCTCGCATTTTAACAAAAGCTGGAGGAAGGAGACTTGTCTTCACAAAAAAACATGATCTGTCAACTGAATTTTGAGACTCCGTAGTTTTCGGTATTGTATGTGCATAAATTTAATTCGTCTTCAATCATGCTACACATTACAGTTATCTACATGCACTGATAAGTACTTACCTCAAATGAGGAATTTCCCAATGTCCCAAAAGTCGAGGTGGAATCCCTCCCGTGAGACAGAAACGCTTATCCGTCACGTGCAGCTTTGCTGAAAGGTTTCAGACATCAATTAGTCCATTTAATTAACCATGCCTGCATAATTTTGGAAATATCAATGAAGACAACTTTACCAGGTCCAGGTGTCAATTTGCTCTTGGCAGGGACTGAAGCCAGTTGGACCAAAAAGTGCTGCCCCTAAAGAAACAAATTAATAATTAATAAATACAAATTATATACCACAGATACAGGTAATAGGTTAAACATTTGAACAACCAACCTCGCCCAGATTGTTGGCTATTCGGACACTCCATTGGATCAACCGTTCACGATTGTCGAACGCTAAGACGACGCATAAGTCTTGACAGATGATTGCCAAAGTGTGAGACTCCTTGTCCAGTGTGAAGCCTGGGCATTAAAAAATATAATATTTATAATCTCTGTATTTATATATGGATAAGGCGTCGTTAATGCAAAATGGGTCATAAATTCATACTACTTTAATATACCGTTTCTTAATGTATAATCAAGTCGTAATTTACACACCCTTCTTGCTTGCATTACCAGTTTGACGAGCTAAATTGACTTTGACTTTGTACATACATATTTAAGAAGTGTTTCAAAATGGAAAATATTTATGTATGTACAAGCAAAAGTTCTGGATCAAAGATCCGTGGACTTTTTATGGATGGTGAGACGTGATTATTTTGAGGAATCTTTTTTAACCCACCCCTCATCTTTGCCAAGGCATAAACTAAACTTGCCTGTTATGTACATATTTTATTTTACAGAGCGTCGCTTTTTTATCTGATAAAGAATTTGACCTTGAATAACCCCGGAACGGTTTGTCGTAGCGGGTCAAAATTTTGAACAGAGGATCATGTTATCCTCAGGTAGTTGTGTGCAAAATTTCAACTCTCTACTTTCAAAAATACCTCCCCCACAGCCCCCAGAAGGTGAGGCAGTCATAAAAACTCGTTGCAAACTTAAGTACCCGTCTAGCCTAAAAACAAAACATCTTAAAAGTGAAGGAAAAACATTTGCGAAATCTAGAATCAATAAGGTATTTAAAAATATAGGTGAAAAGCGAGAAATTTTGAGCTAAGGGCAACCACCACCCCCTCCAAGAAGGCAAAAAAAGTGTTAATTCCGACCGTGCTTAGGAAAATTTACCTCTTGACCTCCAAAGACAATCGACCGACCCAAAAGGAAATTTCCCTTAAGGTTGGGGTGTCTAAGCGTTGAGTGAAATGAGAAATTAAGATTTTGAGAACACGACTTCGTCGGAAATCTCGTGTGCATCAGCTGACAGAAAAACAAGAAAAAAATCGCGCCCGCCTTTGCAAAAAAATTTATCAAATTTTCTGTCAAGGAATAAGAGTAAGGTTTTGGTGACATTTGACGAAGCACTAATTTCTCTACAAAACACTAATTGGGTTCGAAGCGCTTACTATACGACAAATGCCGAAAACAATTCACGCAAGTTGGTGCTTTCCCGTGAGGAGAACTTTTGTAACAAGTTTATGGTTGTGGGTCCAATGTCGGGTCGTGGTGTCCTCCCACTTATCAAAGTCCCCCAAAAAGTGAAGGATTCATCGAAGCATTTTGTGGACCGTGTATTGAAACCACTTTTAGAATAAAATTTTACTAAATTGCACGGTAAAAAAATAATTAAGATAACTTTTCATCATGACGGAGCGTCTTCCCAGACGGCAAAGTTGACCCAAGATAATGCAACGGACCTTGAAGCTAGGTTAGGGATAAAAATCATTTCGAATAGTGAAATACCTGTATAGTCCCCCGATATAAGTCAAATGGACTTATTTGGGGTCGGATACTTGAAAACAAAATTTTTCTGCGGAGACCGAATTTTTTAGACGGAGTTTGCAACGAGTTTTTATGACTGCCTCACCTTCTGGGGGCTGTGGGGGAGGTATTTTTGAAAGTAGAGAGTTGAAATTTTGCACACAACTACCTGAGGATAACATGATCCTCTGTTCAAAATTTTGACCCGCTACGACAAACCGTTCCGGGGTTACTCAAGGTCAAATTCTTTATCAGATAAAAAAGCGACGCTCTGTATGTTCCTACTTTTATGATTGGTTGGATGGAGGATGTTCTGGATTTGTTTTAATAGCTCTCTTGTTATTTTTGGGCCACCCTCATCAATCATTCTTTATTCCAAAATGGTCAAAATTTAAGAATCAAGACTAATATGTGCAAGTACATAAGTGTGTCGATTTGATAAAGCAAAGCTTCATAAAATGGTCCCCAACAATGCTTGTAGAGAAAAACGTATGCACTTCATCAACTAAAAATAGATACTCCACTCCACCACCCAGTATTAAGGCTAATATTTTATGTAAATTAAGTTGTACTCTTTTTATTTATGTCCCATGATTATAATGGTTATAAAGTCTTAACAAGCCCTTTTTTCTCGCCCAATCCCTAAATAAATTGACGACTGTATGTACAACTTGAGGGAGACGCTTTGTGCATTTAACGGGTGTAACAAATGAGACGTTTTTATACACTTTGTGATTCCTGTAGTTTGTACGATACGAAATGTATCACCGATATTTCCAGAAAATGTACATGGCCTAATTTTATTTTATCTACGAATCATCTAATTGCTACTTTAGCTGCTCTGATGAGATAATTACCACTTGTTTCGACAACACCTTGGTTTAAAAAACTGTTCCACATCTACATCTACATGTACCGTTTAGTAGTTGTATGTAAAGGTCTCATTTTTTCTCATAAAATTAAACCCTACTTGTTGAAACTTTCAACTTGAAAGACACGATGATTCAACTGCCTGGAGCAGCCTATAACCTTGTCTGTTGTTTGGCCTTATTTCATGGAAACTGGAAGTTGTTCCAGTTTTCATTTTCACCCCGAGTGTCTCATCTCGTGTTGTAAAATGTCAGAAATGAAACTTTTTTAGGAACACATGCTGATAAAACAAGTTGTCCTGCTTGTTCTGTCTCAACATTTCAGCTCGATAGACACATCTCGGTGTTTGTAACTTGTCAGGAAAAAGGTTGATCTGTTCAGTTCAGTCATCAGTCCGCCTCTTCCTAGACAAGTTACTACGCGTATGTAGATAGGTCTGACATTTGATAACATTATTGTAACATTTCACATGCATCAATCGAACAGAGTGAGAACTGCAGACCAGTAATTAAGTAATGGTTCTCATTTTTTTTAGAGCTACATGGAAAATAAGAGATGAAAATCAACTCACCCGTCTCCATCGCCAAGAAGTCTTCCATGGATAAGGACGCCTTTGTGTGACCATTTCTGGCTCGTTCCTTCTCATCTCGATAGACTTGGAGTTGGAGGCAATCTGTAATTCAGGAAAAATATTCATAAAAATACATGAACAGCGTTCATTCAGATATTGTGATGGTTCAAAACGATCCACAGTATGGTTTTACAGGCCAAAAAATTAAGGGGGCAGTGGATGCACACAAGACACATTCTTAGAATAACAACTTTGAAATGAAGGACGAGAATATCTAGGAAACTAATTATCTCGAAGATGCATGTAACTCTACCCTCGGAATTTCGAGCTTATATGATACTTTCTCATACCTACATAGTTGCATATATTTCATCATCATTACATACATACACCTCCCTCAAAAAGATGCCTTCTTTCCTGAGAGGCTTCTGTTGTTCATCCCACTAATAGAACAAAATGATGTCAAAGTGTCACCCAAGTATTTCAATTCGTGCACGCAAGAATTCCAATTTGAAGGTGATTGCATAAGAAATAACAATTTTAGGGTTGCGATGATTCTCTGCGATGATTCTCTCTGTAAAGAATAATAAGTAAAGAGCGGAAAGAAGAGCACCGCTTCGTTCGGTGAGATGACACGACGCAGTTGCATTTTAAATGGAAACGAATAAGGGTTGCAGCAGGATTTTATATACTTTACGCTGTTTCTTCTCTAAATTATTGTCTTCCTTCCGTTCTGGGAGGCCTGCTTGATCCTTCACTTTTACTACGACACGAGCAAGGACTACGATGCAAAAGATGCAGATGCACCGCACACCAGTAAATCTAAACTTTGTGAAGAGCATTATGAAGATAAGATGCACTGGCTTATCCTGTAATGGAGGGAGTTCAGATATTTCCCTTCAACGCAACGCACGCATAAATATATTTATTACATCAAGTTTCCAGTTTAACCAAGATATATGACTTCAACTCGTAAAAGATGCACAATTTGCGCAAGAAAAGGACAATAAGTTTGGGAGGAATTTAGCGATAAATTCTTATCGTCGAAACGAAATGAGGACATACATCATACACATAAATTCCCACCCTTTTGACCGAATTGTGTGATGATTATCAATTTTTTAGCAAAAAAATGTTCATAAATTGAATTTATGAAATCCAAATGCAATACATGTACTTGTCCGTTTGATCATTATGATCAGTATCCCGCAGTAAATCATAAATCTGCTTCTGTATCTCGTATTCCATCTCGATTTCGAGTCAGGAGTGGTGGTGGTGGATATTTAACCAAGAACTAAAACGCGTAAGGAAGCAGAGATTGAAACCAATTTTCACAGAGATACGTACTCATCCTCAGCATAAGAAGAATACGGAGAATCATTTGACAGTTTGTTGGTTCGGTCGGTGTGAGATTTTCGTCTCTGGAGTGAACGGCAGATAAATGGGAGAATAAACTGAACTGAAGCAAACCAGGGAGTGATTTATCATACGGAAATCTTCAATTTGGACCTTTTAAAAGGAAAGAAAACACCCTTTTCTTCCTTCTCCCGTCTCAATTTTCCAGCACCACCAACCAACCAGCCGAAGACTGTATATGCATCATCTTATCAGCCTTTAACACACAACCTCATCGTCATATTACTGAACCGTAACAGATAACAGAGAAGAAGAAACAAAGAAAGTCCAGATTTAACCCTTTTATGATATATGCAGGAAAATATTATGAGGATTTTCACAATTCTTAAAAAAAAATATATTGATCTTTACATATGAATTTCTTATTTTTACATTTTATCCCGTGGTGCCTGCAGCCAGCAGACGTCAACTTTAAACAACATGCGATGATTTGAATATGTTGGTCATAAAAAATCCCCCTCAGATTGCAGACAAGATTGAACCCTATAAAGTAAAACAAATAAATGGGGTAATAATCCCAGGTGTATTTTAGGTTTATATTTAGATTTTTAAAAGGTTGGGGGTATTTCTTCCGCCCCTACATAAATTCCAGAAGCAGATTTGTTTCTAGAAATGGGAAAAGATAAGCTGTTCTTCGTGTCTTGTTAGTGAATTTTGTACATTTTTGGGTTATCTTTTGTCAAATCGGGATCAACTGAATGGTTTCGTGTACTCTTGTGAATCGCATAGTTTTTAAATTGTGCTTGAAAACTTTCTCAGTAAGCAAAAATGATCTGTGCGATGGTTCAGATTAACTCATTAAGCATGAACTGCATACATACCATTATCATAATATAGGCCAAGATTAGAACAGTAGTATCATTAGGCCTTTAGCATTCAAAATTCCGGTTCTTAAACATAGATTCTTAAGAAACTTAAGAAAAAGTTGTACAAGAAGCTTGACTGGAAGTTTGGACGACAAAGTGGAGACAATTTTTTCACATAGAGAGATGAAATGTTTTCCTTACTCTCGTACAGGTTCAACCAGAAAGAACCCTCTCCACTTTACATTGAAATTCGACACAATGAAAGGATAATTAATGGTCTAAATTACAAAAAGGAGTCAATTAGGTTCCCATAATTGTCTACATCTGTCTCATTTCTCGTAATCTCATCGTCACTCAGACAGAAGCTGATTTTTAGTTTTAAAAATAGTATACATCAAATATTTTTTTAGACAAAAAAGAGACTTCCAGAAAATAATAAGTATGGCTTAATTGTACTTGGCATACATTTCTCAAAAATGTCAATACAACCTTCGTACTTAGGCAGTAGGCACTTCTAATAAATCACGATTGTAGTCAGACCCAAAAATTAATATCAAGTCAAGCAGAAATGTTAATTAATCCTTTTCCTCATTACTTATACATATTACATAACTTGTGATGGAACACAACGATACGACTGCATTGGCTGTAACTGAATCCAACAATCTCACGCACTTTCTCTCTTGCAAACTAAAATTGGATGGTTTCCTCATTTCCGTGATGCAAATATTTCATTTATAGAGCGCCACCACACTCGACTCGTTTCTATTTTACTTTAGGAAACTTGCTGAAAAGCAAAGTCGGTCTGTTGCAAATGAAATTATATCATCCATCCAACCCGTCATTTGGTTGGTGAAATGTTGAAATGGAAATTAATCCAGGCTTATGAATCGCACGAGAGAGAGAAAGTGCTAGAGTCAGAAATTGGTTGTTTCAACATACCATTTTGAGTGCGGTTTCGAAATTAGTATCAAATTGATGTGAGTCCGGGTGTAATGCATACTTACTCAAAATGAGAGAGACTACAACTCAAATACTTGCATAATATGCAGATACCGCATAATTTTAGAGAAGCAAAAAGTCTTAATGGAACTAGTAATGCACATGTAATGCAGTCGTGTCACCGCTGCACTTTCAGAAATTAGGCAAGTTCCTACCTAAAACGAGAACTAATTGACAATTTAGTTAAACCAGGCCCGATTTGAGAATTTTCTACGACGCTCTGAGAATTTTTCTGCCCCATAAAAGTACAAAATTCGAGTGAAAAGTTAAAGCTTAATGGTTTCGCATCCATAAGTTTGGTAGAGAGTGGATAAGGTACTTATGTACACTGTATAAGGTGCTTATGTAACTTAAGTGATCTCAACTCCTGATGAGCAACTAATTCTAATTTAGGACATCCATTAGTTTCACAAAATCACCGATGGAATTACTCGTTTAGGTCTCAGGTGCACTTTTACCAGCTCGAATAGAAAATCTCCTTTATTTTATGGATTCCTCGCCCAATTTACGATTATTGGACAAATTACTTCATTCACACTCGAATTTTTCCCCCCATTAAATTCTGCTCAAGAGGAGATGCATTTTCTTTCTATCATCGGAAGGAAACTCGTCGCGCCACATTCTCGACGCAATGAACGATGTAATGGTATTCCTGTAGGCCTGATTGTATGAAGAATCCTCCAAAATTCTACATCACCCCAGAAAATTGTTACTGATGCAACCGATACAATCAAATGATAGGAATGGTCGATTGTCAATTGTCACTTTGTGCGTCGTTTGCACCAAAAATTTCTATTTCCGATCTTGATATTCAGTTTGGTGTTGTGTCAATTTAGTGTTTCGTTTCTTGCGAGTTTTGCTACATTTCTTGCACTGGAAAGCAAAGAAACGCAAGAAATGCGAGGTGCAAGAAACTGGGAGAAAGTGCACGAAATATGCGCCATCAAGCCACGCGCCGTATGAAGTACATTCGTCGTCGGGACGTAGTTTCTTGCGCTTTGCATTTCTTGCAGGTCAAAATACCTGCAAAAAACCACTTTGTTCCCGTTATTTCTTGCAAATAGTAGTGATTACTTTCACCCGAAACACTGTCTACATACATGTACGGGAATTACACTAGCATTTTTTTGCCCCACCAACCACCAAGCATATAATAATATCTATACGCCATCGGATCCCAACCAACACTTGGCAATGACATTTCATTCATTCGTGTGCATCGTGGAAAAGAAAGTTAGCTTGGGTTAGAAGAAGGGGAGGCTTTCTCCTCTCACGTTATTTTTTGCCTTTCAACCGACACAAGTATATTTTCCCCAAAGATGGGCTGGGGTTGTGGGTGGGTGCAGCGCACTATCTTTTACTATCGCAATCACATCTCACACTAAACTCGCTTCACTGGAAAAACTCTCTTTTTGGAGAAAGGATCACCGCACTTTGTATGAGAATAGGATTGCTATACAAGGTTCACATTTTACCATCTTTGATGGGAAAATCGATCCCCCACTTCCCCTTTTTTGGGGGGATTTACTTATAAAATAATTTTGGTTAAGTCAGTTCAGCACGGTTGAGAATGTTACTTTTAAATTTGTCTGTTAATTACAACAGTACAGAATTTTCAATCACAATACAGAACGTTGTTAGAAAGTATTAAAAATAATAGAATACTCAAAATAAATTCCCGTTTTAGTAAGGTGAAATTCTCGGATAAGCTAACTTTGCATTGCATTACATAAGAAATAGCACCCCAACCATTCAAGCAGCAGCAAATCAATGATCATTTCTTTGAAAACCCCAACTTTCGGATCAACTTTCTCCATGAAGGCGTTTCAATATAATTTCAATTTCTTCTTGTGGCTTACACTTCACTATCAGCGTTGC